CAGACCAGGTAGTGCCACCAGTACAAGTAGTCAGTATTCATCTGCTTCCGCTTCATCAGCCCAGACTGTGATACATAGACCTCCTAGTATTCTAGAGGGGCAAGAGGAAAGTAACAATAGTAGAGACTCCTTGCCTAGTACTGCTGGGACATACACACAGAACAGCTCCTTTGAGCGCTATCCTTCTCCCAGAGGGAGTACTTCAACTCCTCCTCAGTATAACACTGGTAAAATGGACTATAATTCATGGAGACAGCATGAACCACAGGGTAATGAGAGGTTGTCCAATGCAAACCACATGGCAGTGAGTCCTAAAAATGTCCAATCATGGCAAGGGTATCGGCAGTCGCCAAATCAAACGCCAAATCACACCAGGTCAGAGTATGCAGAGGAATATGAATTGAGTTACATACAGTCCACCACACAAAGACCTGACTATAGTGACACTGATGAAAGTGTGTCCAGTCAGGGGTCAAGACCAACTATGCCAGCTTTCTTGCAAGGAAAATCTAACGGCAATGTTCAGATGTATTACATAGACAGTGATCGACAGCCGGTTAAGAAGACTCGTGTACTGCAGTCGTCAAAATGCTAAAAGGTGTAGTTCAGAAGTACACATTGAAACACTGATTTGATTATTAGAGTCAGTTAAATATTTTGGACAGGCATATCTAGCTAACAAAATATATAACCAAAAACTGCACTGAGCAAAGAAAGAAAGTTATCATGAACGTTATAAACGGTCACCTTCACATATTATGCAGGCACATTTCTTGCATTTTATTCATACAGGTTCACTTTAGAACTATTTGTATTTTCAAACAAAGTCACAAATCAAAGTGTACTCAAATTTAAAAAAAACTGTACATATCAAGGGAAAGATGTAGGAACTGGATCCAGTAATGAACTTAAGTTTACACAAAAGTGGCACATATATTACTAAAGTATTTTTGTGTTTAAACTCTCCATTCCCAGGATGTATTTGGGAGCAGAACTGAAAATTGTTTATTTGGAGAAATTTGTCTTAATCTGAGAACCAAGTACATGCTTCCAAAGTCCGTCCAAAAAAAAAAGTGCTGTTATAAACAGCGTGTGAAGCTTTGAGAGATGTTATTTATTCTCTCAAGGTTTATCCACACTCAAAAGGCTGTGTGATATTTTATTTTAGCTGCAGAAATCTCAGTATTTTAAAGGTGGTGAATCGCCTGTGTTTTGGTTGTGATAAAAAGACTGAGAAAAGCACCACAGATTGGATTGAATCCACAAGGTTGTTCATGTATAAGTGTACATTTTTACAAGTTAATTTATATAATGCATTAGAAATGATTTTAGATATGCATACCAAGCACAATTTGTTGTTGTCAGGGTAAAGATCCCCACAGAGATTAGTTCATGAGTATGTTGACTTTGCAATAAAGAAAGTATGGCAGATTTTAGAAAAACAAGTTCAGTAGCAATATTTATGGCAGTAACAATTGCAAAACTGCAAGATTGTTTAATTAAGTACAAATATGAAAAATGTTATCTGTTTGACTGCTGTGTAGAGGTTCCCTAGATTATTTATAAAATTATTTCTAGTCCCAGGGTTGTGTGGAAAAAACTCAAAATGTTTGGGTTGGTAGTTTATATTCTTTTGTAAAGGTTGTGTCATTGTATCTACTTATTTGTAGGTTTTAAAAGTTTTTCACGTGACTGAAATCTTGTAAATATTGTATAAACGTATCTGTACAATGGAAAAAAAAGTATGCAAAGTATGAACATTCAAACATATACCATTCAAATGTAATATATTCATATATTTTGCAGAAGGGCAAATAAATATAAATATACAAATGCAAATATTACATTGTTTCAGTTTATTGATTATTACGGACATTGAATCACACTTCACTGATATGACATTAACAATGGACGCAAGGAGTATGCTTGTGCTACTAGGTATATAACATTTACATACATTTGGATAATTTTTCTTGGAGTTTAAAGTTTGTTTGTTTTTTCACAAATTTGGATTTTCCAGAAATGACCAAACTTCCCATGGGTACAAGTGCTGTGCTAGATTAAATTTCCAATTGCCCACAATACCAGAAGTACGAAATTAAAAACTGGTAGCGATTATGCTCCTAAGCATTGTTATATTGCACAATTACTGACAAAACATTATCATAACCACAAAAGATGAAACTTCTTACTCTCAGAACTTGAAGAAGATTCATAGGAATAAAATACTGCTTGAATTCAAAATTGGCCTGATTGCATCATTTTTCTTGAAGTTGTGTAGTTTTTTTAATGAATCTTTTTTATTTTTAATTTTAAAACGTATCTTCAAGGTGTGAGACAGTAATTCCACACTTGACTGATAAAGATGCCTGGGAAACACTAAAAAAGTCTCGGGAGATATTTGTGGGGAAAAAAGAATACATAACATTTGTCTGTCCACTTAACAGTATTTGCTTCCTTGTTTTTTTTATGATAAGTTAACAATTTACTATTATATAGACGTAGATATTTCACTTCTAGAGGTGCGGGCTCAGAGTTTAAAATGCATATGATCCTGAGATGGAAATGTAACAGAGTTTAAATAAATGCATGGGGAAAAATTTAACATTGTTTGGTAAATAATTAATGAGGTACAACAACTGAATCTGAGTAAGAGTTCAATTTTAAGAGACTTTTACCATGACACACGGCTGGTTGTTGAAAAAGTCATTATTATATTAATAATTTGAAGAGATTATAATTTTAAAAACTGCCACAGAAAGATTCTTGCAATTAAAATGTCAAAAGTACAGTGAATGTAACAATATTGTTGAAAACTTGCACCCAAAAGTATCAAACACTGCTGTGACTGTTGCACTAAAATTACATTCAAATTCCATGGCATTATATAAAATAATACAGTTTAAAGCAGTACACCAGAAAAGTAAATCTCTTAAATAGCCCTTCGTAATCTTTGAAACACCACCTTGGCATGTATGGTCTTCTACCTCTAATCTAAACAGACTAGAAGAACTATGCAATACAAGTTTATTCCTATCACAGTTTTGATCACCTTGCTTTTCTGACCATAAAATAACCTTATGTTAAAACAAAATTGTACTTGACCGGGAAGAAATGCTATAGTCTATTTTACACTATTAGGACTTGGACTCTCTCCTTAGTATCCACTTAGTGCCCTCCTTACCATTTCATTAAAGGAAGTAAGGCAGTTCATCAAAGTTACAATAATAGTGATATATTTAAAAAAATAAAAACAGGATACAGAATGGATCTTGCAAGATGTTGAAATTTTGTGGAGTTAATAAATCTGGAGTTAATCTATTATTCTGAAGGAACTATTATGGTTACCACTGTACCTTTAAAATTGTCATTGAAATGTCAGCATTATGTTTGTTGTGTGGAGTCCTTTGTGTTTATGATATGTCACAGGTGATGCTTCTCTGGGAATTAAAGTTCCTCATCAGATGCTTCTTCAGAATGTTCACTGTGTAATTGATTGTTAGGTTGTATAGTTTCCTGTATATTTTCCTCTGTAGATGGTTTGCTTGTAGATGGTTTTGACCCAAAACTAAGGGAGTCTTTGTCAAACTTCAGAAGCATGCTGCCCAAATCACCATCAAAGCGATTTTTTGCCACCTTTAAAAAAAAAAATTTCAACAGATTATTATTTTTCTTTGTGCTCTTATTGCAAAACAAAATATGCAACAAATTGGACCTTTTTCAAAAGTCTCTGCATTTATCATCTGTGGCCTAGATGGCCAGGTCTTGGGGGGAAATGTGAGTTGTCAGTTGCCAAACCTAGATAACATCACAAACATTATGGGTTTGCCCTAACAGTCAATCTTTTAAGTAAAAAAAAAAACATCTGAATCAAGAAAAGATATCAACGAAAATCTACTTTTAGCCATGATAATAGTAAGAGAAAGTGTTAGCTGGTACATTTTTGCATAGTGAGTTTAATAGCCTTCTGTCATAGATGAAAGTATACTTTGGTCATTTCTATATTACTGCACTTTTTACATGGTCGTGAGTTTATTTATCTGTGCTGATGTGTCCATATTCTTAGTCGTTGTAGTGCATGGTAGTTTATATCAGTTCAATTCTCATGGTGTTGTGCCATACTAGTCTGTGAACTTTTACATAAGAACCAATAAACATAACACAGATATAAAAACCTGCATATTCAGGTTGTATCACTGGTAATCCCACTATATTCTCCATCTACTTTTTTGCATATGTGTCTATTTTCTTGTATATGTACATATTTTCTTAGTTGTTCTTCTGTGACACAGCATCGCTGGGGCATGTGAAAATAACATCACTTGCACACAGAATATCACCATTTTCCCCCCCAATCTCTTACCTGTATATACTTTTTTGGTTGTGTCGTGACTTTCATATTTTCTACTAGCTGCAGCAGCAGTATGTTGTCTGCCTCTTGACTTGCCTTAGCACTGCCAAAGATGGACCCAATGTGAAGGGCTTCTCCATTTGGTTCCTGGAATTAAACCACAACTAGAGATAAAAGAATGAAATAGAAATCTGTTTATGCCTTAATAGAAACTTGACTACATATATTACTACAGAAGTTTAAACTGCAAAAACTCAAATAGCAACTGAATGAGAAAATAAGAACTTCACAAACAAATCTTTATCATGTATTACACTAAATAAAACAAATGACATATTTCATAATTGAACTGTTGGTGTCAGCAATACATTACCTTTATCACAATATACATGTATATCTTTTCTGGCTCTGAGGCTACCAAGGAACATGAACACGTGCTTAATTATGACTACACTCAACCTGGCTTCTTCCCCTTTGACACATTCCACCTACCTTTCTCGGATGAATGACCAAGGTCACGTGGCAGTTTTTGGAAGTTGCAAACTGGCGAAAGGCAGCCACCACCTCATCCTGTTGAGTTAACCTATCAAAATTGCGGTTCCTGTCCCCCAGTTGTCCCATTCCCATCATAAACTGCAGGTTGTCCACTATAATGTGGGAGATGTCATGGACGTACACTGCGTGGTCCATGGTCTGGAATACAAAAAGTCACACTTCATCTTCAAATTTCACCAGTATTCATCGAAAAATAAAAGCAGCTTTTGCTGGTCAAATATTAATCAGCCTATGTATTGTGTTTGTCAGTGATGTCTTAATTAAATGATGTCTGTAATGAAACTCATACTACTGGAATAAGGAGATACAAAAAAAAAAAAAAAAAAAAAAACAATTGAAAAATTTACTCCATTTGAAGCTTTTGATTAATAAACTGAACAATAACTCTAAAAAAGTACATTCATCTAATTATCAATGACATGTATTTTAAAACAAATAAGCATGAACTGTGTATCCACACAGATGAGCAAAAACTTTACCCTTTCACAGAAAAGTCATCAACAGTTATATAGTCTCAATTTAAACAGTACCTGCACACTCAAGCACTCCCACACACACATACATGCTCAAAACAATGAGGGCTTACATCTATAACTCTTTTTAAACTCTCCTGGCCATGGAATGCCATAAAATGCATTGGCAGTTGTTCAAACTGGTCAGCATATTTATCAAATTCTGCAAAGTGAGTGGCTAGGTTTTTCCTAAAAATTAAAAGCCAGATAATTTGTGTTCAATCATTACATAAAACACAAAACATTTATATATACTTGAATTTTTTTTGTTTGTAAAGCTCTGATTGAGAACTTTGTATGAGCATGATATTATCTTTAAGGCTTGTTTGATTAAAATTGCAACCTGCCTTGCAAACTGGATCAGCATTGTTTTCATCAAACGTACATTCTTGATTTCAAAACTTCCCCATAGAGTGTTCACCTATATATAGTAAAAGTTTATATAAATTGACGACATAAAAAAAAAACATTTAAAAAATACTTTGTTAACAACAGTTTACTGAAACATTTGTTTCAATGAATTGAATGCTTTCCCAAATCTTGCTTCCCTCGGTATAAACAAGAAACATCTCAAATGGGTACAGTTTCTTAATGTCAATTTATTACAAACATATTTGAGGTCTACGGGCTCATTGGATTCCCATAGACGCCATCAATCCAACTCCGCGGGGACATGCTCTCAGTTACACAGTTTAACACACTTCCTCCTGGCATTGAGTAAAATACAGAAAAGTATGTTGAAAACAGGAGGCAACGTGTCATTCAATTAAGCTGACTGCACTCAGCAAGAGTCCCCACAGAGTTGAATCAATCTGCATAGACTGATGGTGTCAATGGGAATAGAGTTTTATATCAATGAGGGATGTGGCTTACACCCTGTATGCAGAGGTCCAGGGACAGCTCGCTGATGAAGGTGGTTTTTCCTGAACCAGTGGGCCCAGTAACTATGGTCAATTCCCCCCTTCTGTGTCCCTTCAATAGCTTGTTTAACAGTGGGAATCTTTTAAACTGAAAGTATATTTAATGCCATGTTTATAAATTCTACCAACTCAATTAATGATTTCATTCTTATTTTCAGTGTATTAGTTTAAGACTTTCTGAGCAAATAAAAACATTTTTTTTCATCATTTTAGAAGCTTAGGAACCATATCACTCTGGAAAATATCTTAAAGTAGCAAATCAAATGAAGAAATATGTTTGACCTGATACCATTTTGGTGCCTTCTAAACAACAACACCCTTAAACATAGTAACTTAAACCATAATAAAAATGCTAATTGCTACATCAGAGTATTTACCTGAATTCCCTTGACTTGCTCCACAAGAGAGAGCTCTGACTGGACCTCAAATCTCAAATCCTTAAAGTGCTGTATAAACTGATGACCAGCACGTGTGGCAAATTTTAAGATTCGTGACAAGCTCTTGCCCTGTCTCAAAGCATCCATGGGTGTCGGGACTGGAGTCAGAGGTCTTTCAAGGAAGTAAAAATTTCAAACTTGAAATTATTTTTGCTGTTGTAAAATATATAAATGTATTAATTAAATTACCAACTTTCTGTATTAAGTGTGTCCACTAGAAGTTCCCTCATGATTCCTTTTCTGACATCAGAAATAGTCTAGAAATACTTTGTTGATCACTTTTTAGAGGTTACCAATTTTGAAAATACTGAGCAGCAACCAATTTAAAGAAGAATAGCGTAACCTCTCCTCTACTTCTCAATTTTGTAAAAAAAAAAAATTGTAATCTGCTCACCTAAATAACGAGCACCTCTCGTAACCCAGTTTCTTAGACAGTTGTCTGGCAGCATTGAACCCAGTGATGTCATTCCCAAACCACAGCACTATATGGTCAAACTGCTCAAGGAATGGCAAAACCTGTAGACGGAATAAGAATAAATTAACTTTTGGTATTGGAGTGATATGTAGCAACAAGCTTTTCATAAGACTAAGCACAAATTGAAGAAGGCATGTCACTCGGCTATTTCATGAGTGAATCAAGGCTAACTGATTAAAATCATACTGCAAATAAAACTGGCAATTAATTGAATTCATTAATCACACAGAAGTTGAAATCAATTACCTTAATGTGATGCAATATTCCCCATGCCAATCAGATGGTTTATGCCATCACATATAATTTCAGCAAATTTTAATTTAGCTCTAATGCCTGCAGCTTTTCACCTTGGATGTATTTACATTAAAATTAATACAGCCTTTACAAATACCTCCAGTGGCAGAGTATCATTGCCCCATGGAAGAGACAGTACTGGCTGCCTCAGCTCTTGAAATACAGCCATAGCATCAAACTCATTGGCTGTGATTATAACCCTGTCGGTTGATTTTGCTGTGACAGTGTTTATTCCAAACAAACACCAGTAGCTAAGTCTGAAAAAATGTCAAACAAAACAATTTGTATTCATATAAATTTAATGTTGTCAAAGTTTTCGATGTGCTTTTCAAATGTGAGCCAGGCATCAAAGCAATTGTGTTTGAGGGATCTTCTTTAAACACAAACTTACCAAGAAAAAAAAACTGATGTTTCTTAGGTGAGCAACTGTTCATTATAACAGATTTTCATTGTATTTTAGATCCATTTCCCTTGAAGTGATTTTTTCATTCATTCAAAAGAAGACAATTAATAACAAAATTCTGCATACTTTTGATCAATCAGAAAATTCAAAACTTCTTTTTATAAGCAATTTTTCATTTTGTCAGTGACAGTCAAACAAATTCATTTAATTGGCACCTATTTCAAGTGAATTGCCATCTGGAAGACTGCTTTTATTATGAACTTGTCACAATTCTCTCTATCTGTCTCTCTCTCACTCACACACACACACACACACACACACACACACACACACACACACACACACACACACACACACACACACACACACACACACACACACACACACACACACACACACACACACACACACAGNTAAGATAGCTTTATTCAATTCCTGGAAAAAACAATAAATTCTATTAGACTTGAATCAATTTTATAATCTAACACAAGCACAATTCATTGTTCATTGTTCAGATTACTTGGTCTGGCCTGCTTTTCTTTTTTTACAAATAACTGCAGTCATAAAAATACAGAATGCCACATTTTTTACCCCTTCAATAAGCATAATGCTTTAAACAGTGAATACTCTCAAATGCATGTAAATGTAGGTGCATTTTCCTCCACTTTTTTAAATTCATTAATACCTTTATATCAAATTCCAAAAGAATGTCATCAATGTCAGAATCCTCATGTATTGCTTCCGTTGCTTCCCACGTCTTTAACAAAAGCATTCTATCTTTCTCATTCATTGAATCTTCACCAACACATGCCTGTCTCTTTCTGAAGAGAAAAACGTTTTCATAATCAAATTCAAGATAACAAATCTATAGAACCAGGCTGAAATATTAATCAGTTTGGGTACAGATTGTGTCCAAAGACCATTAATTTGTAACAAACCAAAGCCATGAAGCTTACATGTTAGCTAAGTCCAACCTGACATCACTTAGTCATCATTTTTTATTCAGTCTGAAGGCCTTTGTCCAAGATGGCCATAAGCTACATGTAAGCATTAAATATTCTGCTTGTGTGTGATGATACAAGCCTGTAGCCAGCAATTTCAGAGGGGGATTTGTTTTCTGAAAAAGTGGACCTTTTACAATAAAATCCTCTTGAAAGTACATAGGTCAAATTTTACCCAGAGTGGACCTTTTCCCAGCAAAAAGGGTGGTTTTTTCGAACCCCCCGAACCCCCCCTGGCTACGGGCCTGTGATAATTGGGCAGAACCATTTTCGTCCATGTTGTGTCTGATTAATCCAAATTATTTGCACTTCAGCATAATTCTCCTATCACTTAATATAACTTTGTAAACATACCGTTTTTGGTCTATGTCTGAACGGTGCACAGCAATATTGTCTTGCAGAAGATCCCATGAGCCACATTTTTTACAGTTAAGGCATACAAAATATCCTGAAAAATTAATGACATTGATAATAGAAAGTATTTGATCCATAACAATAGTTTCAGTTATGAAAGACATGATCATATGACTGTTTATCTTAAAATGTTTTATACATCATTACTCTAACAGATAGTCTGTCTTTTCTTATTCCTCTATCCACATTCTGAAAAACATGAAGTGTTAAATAATATCCGAAGTTTGATTAATCTGTAACCACATACCAGTTCTCAAGTTGATGAACAGCTGTTCTTTTTGTGAGACTTTTTCTTTGGTGACTCGAGGACATGTTATTTTCAGGCAAGTATGACCTTAATATAAAATACACTACCAGTATATAAGTGACAGTAAATGGACGAAAGACTACGATTCTGCAAATTTGAAATTTATAGTAACAATTCTGTGGCCAGGTCTTCTTTGCTTTAATATTCTGTTAAATGGAACAGTTACATTAAAAACCCTTCACATATATAATGCTTTAAAATATTACCCACATAAATAAAATAAAACTTAAAGAACCTCAGCAATCATAATTTCACCAGAAAACTTCTCCGTTTTACACTTTACCTTGCTCTACATTAATCTCATTATCACTCAAGAATTTCTTCATCTCTGATGGAGTAACAGTCTTCTCCTGGTGCAGGAGAGTCACTGACCTGACTTGCTGAGACAACACACTGTTCTGCTGAGCGCAACCAACATTTGGCCACTGTTTACAGAGACACAGAGTAGAAAAAGCCCTGGGACACATCCCAAAAACTGGGGGCGATGCAGGGAGGAACCTGCTATGTAAAACACCATCTTGGGGCCTTCCACTCCACTTCCATTCTGCTTTAGCAGTCTGTGATTGTTTTTCTATGTTTTCATGACAAGAATGCAAGTTATACACTGCAGGTTGAGCAGGCCTTAGAGACGTGTTCAGTATTTTGTTTGTGTCAAGCTGCATAACACAGGTCCCCCAACATCCACTGTCATGACTGTGAATTACATCATCATTGGGATAATGTTGGATACTGACTGATATAATGGGATCAGAAGATGTTGATGTTGATTCATTTTTCCTTTTAGACCAATGTCTTTTCTGAGTTGTCAAATGGCTGGCAGTTTTCAATTTTGTCAAAGCAGACACTTTTTTCAATGCAGCCATTGTCTTTATTATCCTTCTTGTGGTAAAAACAAATTGGAGCTTGATTTCCAATACTTACTGTTTCTGAAACATAAAGTAAAGTTCAATAATGTCAACATAACCACAGCATATTCTTCTTATAAACCATAAAATATTATCCCCCTTCAAAAATGATAAATAAAAGATAAACAAAACAAAAATAAAAAATAAATGATACTTGTATTTCTACCAACTTTATTCAAGCAAGGTATTACATGTATCTATATCCTTGGGTCAAACAAATTATGATAAGATGCAATTACATCTTTTTCCTTTTTCAAAGGTTATTAAAAGAGCCTTATAAAGGGCAGCAAAAACTAAATACAGTTGCACATACATCCTCCAAGCGACCCGTAAGCCTATTTATCACCGCAAACATGGCTACATATTCTCAAGTAAAATGTATGGGTAAAAGGGGTATGTCACTTCTTAAAATTGCATAGGCCATGGTGGTTCCTAATAAAGGTATTAGTAAGGATAAGAGGGTTATGGGGTCCAACAGGCTATATTTTTCTGCATGCAACAATTTTCTTTTAACCCCCCTCCTCCAAATTTCTGCATGTTTGCAGTAACCCTCCAGTAGTAACTCTGTGGCATTCGATGTCAAATTACATCTTTAAATAAGCAAGGTTGACGGAAAGTACAAAAAGAAACAATGTTTTATCAAGATCTTACTTGTTCAAATTCGCTTAAAATGAAATTTTTTCGTAAGTTTTAACCTTGGCGAAGAGTTCCACAAGCATCTTGCTCAACTTGTCACGTTTTTCGATACCCGCGATGTTTTTGTCTTTCACGCTTATCAAATGGTCCATAGGTGGCGAGAAAACAAGCGAACACCAAACCGAAGCCCTTTGTCAGATTTCAATGGCTGAGACACGTTATTTAGCACGTGGGTAATGGTTCAGAGGAGAAATAAACACATTTCGTGTTTGATAAGTTTATTAATAACAGTTTACATTATCGTTTTGTTAAAAATATTTTGAAAGTGGAGGATCCAAAATTTAATGTTAGAAAAAGTTAGGCAATATTCTGTATAGGGTCTTCAAACTTCACTTCTCAAACGGGTGATCAGACTAACATAAAGAACACAGAACAAGATACAAATATTTGTAAAAGTAAAGTAAGTATTTTATTGCGTAATTATAGTGTTTTCCTAAGAAACTTGCGTACAATTAAAAAAATTAATATATGGCAAATTGGGTAGTTAAAAAATTAAAACTGTCGATTACCCTGATAGTCATATTGTGCTCTAACAAGTGTAGGCTACCCTTAGGCCTAGTCGAACATAACATTTAACATTTATCTTAAAGCTTTTCACTTAGTCAAACATAAAATGTTATTTTGTTCAGAGTTTACTCTCTTCCAGCAATGACTTCCACCACTCTGCGTTTATGTTTAATTATTTTTCTTCCTTTTCTTTGACACCATCGTTTCATGTACGCTGTTTTAATATGAAAACGCAAGAGCACCTAATCCAAACTGAATTTGACTAAACCTTGGATATTACATGCAAGATCCGGTGGGTCTCACTGAAAATAAATATTTACAAACAGACGATAATCCGACTTTAGGCACCAGTTTATAAGTAAGGACTTTTTTAAATGAAAAAAGAGCGTGCAATTTCGAAGAGGCACCACTATAGGCCTATACGAAAGGACAAAAATTCCCCGAAAATGTTCAACTCACACGTCTAAGCCCTTATTTAAAATGTCAGATTGTCTATGAAAACTTGTTATATGTAAAAATAGATTACTTGAGTTTTGAACTCTAGAGTCCGTTTTCACACTTTTTTTCATTTTGATTATGTAGGCTACATAAAACTATTAAAATCAACAGAAAGCGCTTTCGGGTACCCTGATTAAAAATATAAACGTCTTAAAATACTCTTTCCTTCACTTCTAGTTAAAAAAATCGAATTCCAAACGGAGGATATGTAACTGACATTTTTCTTTTATACATTGACCTATTTTGGAAATAACGCATTCTAACGCCTTTAACAAACAACGCGAACCTCGCTCAGCGAGATACGCCAAACTGTTAACGACCATATAAATAATCAATATATTGAGAAAAAATATTTAAAAATTCATATCCAGATAATGAATACATGTTAGTATAAAAAGGCGTAATTTGTGTGCCTATACTTTTTGCCGGACTCCTTTTTAGCCAGTTCTATTCTCTTTGCTTGTAAAACCTCAGAGATCCATTCAGGATGCACCACACAAGACAGAGGCTTGCGGGGGATGGTATTATAGAAGAAAGTGTCATAGTTCTGCATTTGTCCAGTCAGTGGATTCGGTGGGATCTCTGGTTCTGGACATTTGATGGTATAGGCCAATCTTTCTGGTAAAACCGTATTTCTGAAAAATTAAAAGGTATAAACACTGATTTGATTTGTTGCAAAGTTGCAAATGAATTGCACCTTAATTTCTATTTTGTCAGCGGATGATGGCCAATTTTGCAAATATTAACAGCATACATGTTCATTTGTTAAATCTCCTACAACTTATTGCACCTCCACTCTCTCGGCTCTTTGAAGCTTGAAAAAAAAGCGTTGACAGTTTTATTGTAAATGTCACTTAAACACAATTAAAATACTCATTAGTTACCAGAATAAAATCACATTCGATGAAAAATAAATGTTACTCACTTGATACCATAAGGGTCTCCCTGAACCTCCGCCCTCCAACCGTACTTCTCTATCACTTCATCGTACGACATCGACGTCGGGGTCTTTACTTCAACATGTTCTTGCGTGGTGTCTGGGGTTGGGGTCGGTGGGACAGGTTTGTGTGGCCGTCTATCACTGGGCGGCTGACTAAACCGTTCTTCTGAAAGCGCGCTCTCTGAGGGCCGAGGTCTCACAGGACCTGCAGACTTCACAGGCCTTTGTGGCGGTTTGGAGATTTCTCTACGTATTGTAGCACTTTTCACTCGGACGTTTTTCCCCGGTTGTGTGATGCTCATCTCCACGTAGGAATCGGGCGTGGGAGCCTTAGCAACGACTTTGCCAACTCGAATAGGCGTAGCTTCTGTGACCCATCCGTGTTTCTTCGGCGGCGTTGGCGCTTTTGGGCGGCCTGGCGTCAAAGACATTTGGGAGGGTGGCGCACTCTTTGCTCCCCCGCCTTGAATGCGAAGGTAGTGTTCTACAATGGCCTGGTTAGACACGGGGGTTCTTGGCGTAGATGAGACGTGGGACGCCGGGCGTTGCAACATGGCCTCGTGTTTAATGCGGATAGGCGTGGGAGGCTGTGGGGGTGTAACACCTCTGGTGCCATGGTTGGCCTGACTTCTCCAGTGGCGGTACAACACCTCTTTTTCTGTAAAAAGACGACGATATGCTTAATCCTGCATTGAGGTACCGATACTTAAGTTAAAATGAAACCATATAGATAACTTAAACACGTAAAAAACGTCACATTTGATCCATGTACGTGGGTGTTATGCGTTATGTATTATTGTCACTCTTTTTTTTTGATAATATCAAAAACACAAGGAATGCGAGAGGCAAAATATGGTCTATGGTCGCACAGAAAAACAAAAAAAAAAAAGACACTGACATATTATAGTATATTTCTTTATCCTCTTATATACTTATACAGCATATATCTAGTTGCACTGAACGACGAAATAAAAAAGCAGGCCTTCATAATTATGTATTCAGCACACAGACCATCTGTCACATAAGCCTGTTTATCACCGCAAATTTTTCACAAACACATACCGTATTTTAATTTCCCTCTTGGAAATTGCTTAGCTAAGGGGTTGTCGTATGTGTTGTAAGCAGCCGGATACCATCCATATACCTTTTCGCGCATGGTGTCGCGTTGGTTTTGTGCGGTAACACTTGAAAAACGGCGTCGCCGACAACCACCACGCAACGGTGCACACCTAAAAGGTAAGGAAAATGACATAAAATAACAATAGAAATAATCAGAGAAAAACTCACCTGAAATAGAATCATATGTCACAAACCCATACAAGTTGATCTAAAATACTGCTAACAATGGCTGCAGATTACCTCGGTGCAAGTCGAAAAGGTGACAGGTTTACAACCCGGTGAAATTAATTAAAATAGTTTTAGCTGTAAAGTAGTTGTAGAGGCTTAGTGGCCAGAATCTGATAATGTCTACAGCCCAACATATTTCACTACGATCGCAGTCTCCAACGCCCTGAAGTGGAAAGTAGGAGTAGGATTTATACAGATTACCACAGTCACACAGACCAGCCTTGCAGAGAGATTTACTCTGGGATTATACCTGCACATTTACACAATACAATGAATGTATTCACTCGTTTCCATGGAATCGCGACATTAATATGATACTTGATCCCACAGCAATAGTGATGATAGCGGATTCAAGTCGAACAACGGAAATTATAGCGCTATCTGTAAGTTCTAGGTTTAATGGAGTAAATAGCAGGCAAAACGATATGCGAATAAAAAATCAATTACGGAAGAGTAAATTCGTGTCTGACTGAGAAGCTACAATAAGTATAAATGTCAATATTAACATTCTAGTCAACTATTGAATGTTCGTAATTTCCCGTACAATGGACACTGTAAGAGGGTCTTGTTAAAGGCGTTGAGAGGAGACGCGTGAGGTGAAGACTTTTGAATACAACATATTTGTTGTTTTTGACATACATATTTACCCTACTAAAATGAATAGATGTAGAAAAAAGAAACGGATGACTGAAAGAGAACGAGAGAGAGAGAGAAAAGACATGAGTCATCAACCTCCCAATCCCGTCAAAAAAATATAGAGGACAACGACGACGACAACGACCACAACAACAACAAATAATAATAATAGTTATAGCAATGATAGGTATAAGCTCTCCTCAAAAAATCTTGGTCATCCTGTTGATACTGATATTGTTCATTTTTAGGGAAAAACTCCTAGCGAATGTGTTAACCGTGACCTCGCGTGTTTCATATTACAATATCAGATATACACTGTTATATGTCTTGTATTATCTGCCGTAAGTAGGCGTTTGGTAACGTCTTAGACAAGGATGTGTATAGAGACGCGACCCAGACTCGTGATAAATGGGCTATGTCGCGAAGCAAATTTCGATAAGATGTTTAGATGACAGCAGCGTTACTGGGTTGTCAGGTTATGTCATAGATGGAGTTTTCTGTCCCAAGTCCAGAAAACGAGGAGTGGAGTCAGGCCCGCAGCCAGCAAATTCAAAAGGGTGGTCCTTTTTCTGAAAAATTGGACCTTTTACCATGAAACCTTCGTGTACCTAGATAAAATTTTAACCAGACAGACATTTTCTCGGCAAAAAAAAAGGGGGGGGGGGTCTTTCGAACCACCCTGGCTACGGGCCTCGAGTACTACTGACAGAAAACTCGAGTTGTCCATTTTAAAGGAATAATGTGACAGGGATGACTCCGTCTCCATCTGTGGGGTGGAGTCTTTATGAAGCTTTGGGTTTGATAGTTTGGAACACGAGGATATTACCAGAAAAGTATGGGGTGGGGGAAGGGTTGCTGTCACCCTTTAGCAGAAAATTCAGTGAACAAATCTGCCCAGATACAGCGGCATGTACCGAACCATGTCAATATGTTCAAATACATTCTCTAAGAAACGAAATGTCATTTCACAATTATTCTCCTGAAGTAGAAATATTGCCCCTTTGGGATATTACTGAAATGGAGACAAATGCACTTTTAATAACAAATGGGTTCACATAGGTCTAGCCTTGATTCCGGAATTTCGTGACTTAAAAGTACTATGAAAAAGTATACTGGTTACACATTTTTGTCTCACTACACTGGACGACCGGCGTGTACAAATCGGGCTTTTTAGCTTACAGCATGTTAACAAGTTTCATTCATTACCTAAATGCCTTCCAGCGGCGTCGAACTGATGCCTTAAGAGGACAGCCTTGTCATTTTAGCTTTTCAGTGCTAAATTTATTTAAAACGTCTCAGTTAGAAGTTTTTTTTATAAAATACTCCTGTGGCACGAAGGACGGGTTGGTTAACTACATCACAATAATGCCTGTGTTTCAGCGATACACGTTACAGACCTTGGAGAATAACTTTGTAAAACAGTGGTTCGAAGTTACCTCGTTTAACCCCGAGTTTGATAACTTTCCAAGGTTTTTAATCCATCACTTACCGGTTCAAAAGTAATTAATCAATTATCTCGCTTCTGTCTTGGCCTTGTCGACGCTTCCATAGGTATTTCTGTCCACTCTCAGTAGTCGCCGATATTCTTCCTCAATCGATTCGATCCACGCGATAAAGTTTACAATGGGTGCCTATTTAGTCCCACTGAATAGAGGTAAAGTTTATCGGTCTCCATGGACGCGGGCAGCGCATTTGTTATTTTAATGTAGGACACACAAATGTGGCTTAAATACCCACAATGCTGTGCGTGTCAAGTTTGTTTTGGTATTTCGGGATAACCTGTGACTTGCGTTTTCAGTGAAGGTTCTCCGAATGAGTCATTTATAAGTTTTGTTTTTTATTAGTTTCAAAATATTTTGATTTCTGTTGAAAAAAAATTAAATGCGGGATATTTTAACAATAACCAGTCAAAACAAAACACTTATGGATAGGCCTACATGCCTTTTTTTATTCACTAGTAAATATACCTGCAGGCCTACATGTAGGCCTACATGTCACAGTAAGCAGTAGGCCTATTGTGAAAAACAACAGCGAAATCAAAAATGAAAACCGGCAAACCTTGAGTTTTTTCAGCCAAGTTTTATTTCAAAACATTTGAATATTAAAAGGAATCTAGAAATAAACGTTAGTCTATGATGTAGTAAAAAAAAAAAAAAAAAACACGAGGGGTGGAATCAATAATCGAGATGGTTTTTAATGCTTCTCTCGCCAAATACGCGGTCGTGCAAATCCACAGTGTACTTTCCAATTTTTTAATCTTTAACACGACACATAGGCTCTGTTCTCACAACTTTTAGATCGATCTATCACCGCGGGGAGTCTCACTAGATTACTGTCAGATAATCCCCCTTAAGTGTCCGTCCCCGCCTACTACAAGCTTTAAGGGGTAATTAACTTTCGTGTCCGCCCGGCTGACAGCTATTTAGCGTGAACCCCCAGGGAGTTAGGTCGATCTAAAGTAGGTCGATCTAATCTATGAGAATGGGGTGATAGATACACATGTTAAAGGGATAATAACTCTTCGTATGAGATCTATATTTCACAATAAAAACATTGTGAATAACTCATAGAAATATAATATATTCTGTTTTACCACAAAAACGGCAGTTATAGCTATTATTCTGATATCTGAGCTTGTCTTTAGACCTCGTGACCTCCACTGATGGCTGTACTCTGTTAAAATCTCTTAAGAGATTTTAACAAAAAACCAAACTTTTTCGAAAAAAAACAGGGACTAACTTTGAATGTAAAAATGAATTCATTAACCATTGGTAAGTATGGGAAAATTGTTGTTTACTCCAGGAAAATTAATTTTTTGGCCGAAACGAAGAGTTATTATCCCTTTAAATACAATGAGGGCTGAGATCTTTTCGGGCGGGGGGGAAGGGGGTTGTTGTTATACTGAGTAGCATTGTTTAAACAGTTTAAACGCAACAGCAGTAACCACATAACTTTATCTAAGCCATGTAAGCTGTTATTTTCTTTTTAAGACGATAAAACAAACTTATTATTCCATCATTTTGTGGCTGATCTGGCGCTTGTTTTAAAAATATTTATAACGTAGTACTGATAAAATAGGTGTCTCATCTTGGATTAGCGCCACCTATAGCGTATCAAAATGTGCATTGAAGATGGAAGATCAAGATGACGCCGAGGGTCAGCAACCAGGTGATCTGACCTCCGTTGCCCCATCTAGTCTCGAAAGATCGTAAGTACTAGCATCTCCCTTGTGTTTTTTAAGATGTGGACCTAAAATTGCAATATATTTTGGTTGCATTAACGCCACCGTCGTGCAGAAATCTCTGCTTAAACGAAGGCACGTTCAGGAGACGGTGCCCTTGTTTGGCTTTCATTGATTGTGTTGACAAAGTTGAGGAGCGGTATCGTCCACACTCCCAGCTTATTTGCACCTGAGATTAGTTTTGGGTGTAATTGCTTTTTTCTTTTTCGATTATATTGCTATGAAGCTTGCAATCGAGACTGATAACAAGTTGATTTAGGCTATTATTTATTTTGTTGCGAACTTGTTGATCTGAACTTTACTGTGACAATGTGTCCCTTGGTGAAAAGAAATAACTTATTTTTTCTTTCTCTTTTTCTTTCTTTTTTTCCTTTTTTATGTAAGGCAAGGATCACAAAGTGTTAAAGATAACACTGTTTACTGAACTATATCAGCAGTATAACAGCAGTTGTAAATACTAAATAAACTTTGGACTTCTGCTAACTACATTGTTTGATAACACAAAGCATAATTACAAAAAAACATCCTAGTTAAAAGAGGATGAAAAGAATATGTATCATCTATGGGGAACTTTGAAGGACACAGTTCTGATTTAAATTCTATTTGGTAGCTGCAGCATGCATTTTTGTAACATCGTTAAAGTTGTTTGCTGACAGTGTAGCCCCAGTGTAAACAACAAACATTTAAACAAACATAAACTCTACCAAAATGCATAACAATATGACTTGTGTTGTATGTGTCTGTGTTATTTCATTTCATTATTTTGCATGATATTAGCTTTTTTTTTCAAAGTACAATTTGTTGTTTTTGATGGCATTCTATATTTCAGGCCTGGAAATGACTTAACAAAAGACAAAAATGAAAATTTCTTTGAGGAAGAATCCCCCTTAAATTCAATGGATATAGAATCTGCCGACCCCTTGGCTCATTACAATTTCAACAATGTATACAGTGGCAGGCTGGCCAAGCAGGAGAAATTGCGGAGTGTGCGGGGAAAAAAAGAGCCCAGAGACAAACTTTTAGCAAAAACAAAACTCAAAGACATAAATACAGTGGACCAGGGGGATGCAATAACCAATCCTGAAAAAGATGAAAGCCCTGACAGGTTCAATATTCAAAGGAGAAAACATAAACTGCGAAAAACCTCCAGAAGTCTTGAAAGAGATCGAAAAAGTACATCACACGTAGAAGGACCACAGATGCTAGCAAAGCAAGAGCCATTAAAAGTAGACTCTCCAAACAGATTTTTATCACTTAATTCAAAACCGGTGACAAACGTGCCTCATGAAAACAGTGCCTCTCCTCTTGAGCCTTTGCGTAGTTATCAACGAAGGCAGCTCTCTCATCATCCTGAGGAATGCCCTCCCGACAGAGTTTCGTTTCACGAAACTTTTAAATTATTGGTCAATATGGGGACCAAACCAACAAAGGAAGGAAAGAGGGAAAAGAAAGACTACAACAGACAAATTAGCTCAGAACAGGAGATCTGGCAAACAAAACTGAATGATCTTGTATGGCTGGAACTGCAGGCTTGGCATTGTGCAAGAACAGTGAAAGAACAGGATATTTACCTGTGCAAAGAGAGAGAAAAAGTGGAAACTTCATTACAAGAAATCATGAAATTTATGTTTACAGAAAATGAATCAGCTAGAAGCTTATCAAGTGAAGGTGACTTACCCGCCTACATGTGGACTCAAGAGCACATATATAGACAACTGGAGGCCATAGAACAGGNCCGCTGATGATCTTATGCAAACGGAGTCCGCTACAAATATGAAAATTATCTTCTCGTCTCGTTTGGATCGCGTAGATCTGTTGCGAACGATTCTCCGCTGAAGACATGAAAATTGCCATCTCGTCCCATTCGCATTGCGAACGATCTCCATGTACGAGCCAGGTAATCGTTAAATGGTCCTAAATTGAACATGTACATGAATGGAAGTGACGGGTACATTTCACTTCGAGATAATATCTTGATTTTTTCATTGTGTCTTCCTCATTTAGGACAGCCGCCGATAACAATAACGGCGTTACAAATGACAAAGCCGCGGCCTGTGACTTCTATTTGCCAGCTTGATAACGCACCTTAAGCCAGGTAAAAGTAATGCAACTAAAGACAAAAGGCCGACGTTCCCGCAATTGTGAACGGGAATTCACATCTAAAGCATCTATATTGTGAGTAACCGCTCGCAGGGGTGCACTATTGTTCCTATCTCCCATTGAGAGTGTTATCGGCAATGATATCCTGATCGTATCATTGTCTTGAATCAACTGACGCATTACCTTCATGTTTGAGCTGGACAACGCGGCCATATTTGGTGACGAACTTTTCAAAAATTATCGATTACCTCATTTTTAAGGTCGACGAAGTTTTCAAAGGGAAAAAAATTACGTCGGCGGAAAATCGTCTGCCGACGAAATTTTCAAGAACGACGAAATTTTCAAGACTTTACCGTATATATTTAATTGCAAAACTTTTTATGAATAAAAAACATATTTCTTGTATTTTTTCACCATACAATCTTTTATTATTTTCATTATTTTATTCTAATCATATTGCTATAAGTCAACACTTTTTGGGAAACTAGAGTCCAGTGTTTTTACTCTGATACATCAAATTGTATGAAATCAATTGTACTTTTTATTCCAGGGTGGCATTCAGCTAGGTGATGAGGTGGCAGTGATGACCCACTCTCCGTCTTGGGACCTCTCTCCAGAAGTCATGCAACTTCTTGGGTTAACACGCGATCGGAGGTCCAGTCTCCCCATACAGGGTGCATGGAGTGAGGGTTTTGACAACATGAAATTACCCTCATTTCGCCCAGCTTATTTATTCTTAGTTCGCGTGCCTTTGGATGTCATTCATGAGTGCTTGCGGCTGAGGCTGGAGCAGAGGATTCTGGGAAAAGACCCATCTTTATTGAGTATAAAACAGGTATGAAATATATGTTAAATTGACCTTTTGGTATCCACTCTTGCATACCAAGTGGAAGACCATGATTTAATGGATATGAACATTTTATTGAATTTCCTCTGGAGTTTGACTTGTAAGTTTTTAAATTTGGATTTAAAAAGTTCATTTGCTGGCAGTATTCTGAACAGTTGCTTAAAACAAAACCCATCTGTGACAGAACCAAGGCTAGGGCATTCCAAGTAAATGCTATCTAGTCTAGTCCACAGACTTTGTTCAATAAAAATCCTGTTATTACATCACTACCTAGGTCATGACTGTTATTTGGCACTTTCCATTATAAAATAGCAACTTTCTCTGAACTAGACTTGAACTAAGGTTGCCACCTCTCTTGGATTACAGTATACATAGAATTGCTATATGTAGTTGTCTTAAGGCAAAATGCACTGATTGTTAGTGGGACTGTCAGGTAAAATAGCATTTTTCATTACTGAAGTAATAAACTTAACTAGACTGGCATCAGTGTAAAATTGTTCAAATGTTTCCATATCTAAAAAAATTGGCAAGTAATGTTCCAACTTATGGGTAGTTCAACTAGATATGTAAGCATGGTGCATTATATAAATTCATTTCATGACACTATTTACCTTTTTCATGTTTTTGCTGTTAAAAAAACAAGGTGATTTATAGGAAAAACTCTAAAAAAACAATATTTTAAGATACTGTAACTAATTAGCACATCTAGGTTTGCAGTGTTTGCATAAATTGGTAAATTGATACATCTTCCAGCATCACGCAGTGTTTTGCCAACTAATAGACATTTCCCTTATTGCGTATTGCCAGACGGAGTAGGAGTTGAAAACAAATTACTGCATTTTACAGTTTCCATGGGAAATAGGATGTTAATTCTTTGTTATGTAACTGAAACCAAGGCCACAACTGTTGCAAGCTTGCAGGTTTGTTTTGTCAAGCCACGGGCAGGGTACTTCCCAAAAAAATAACCCCAGGTGAAGTAATCTCAGTTTAAATCTCACCAGGTAGTTGACCCTTATCACAGTCAGGTGTGTTGGTCTGAGGTAAAAAACGGTGATTCAGATAAGGCTCTGTGTGCATAAACAAGTGCCTAGTACTGATATATCATGATTTACAATTCTTCTTTACTACTGACAGTCAGTTTATTTGTTGATCTGATTATTTAATTTATTTATTATGGTTGATTTTATATTTGATTGTTTATCTATTGATATCTACTAAGATTTGGTTATCCATTCATTTTTTTTATTATGTAGTGCATAAATTTTATTGATTTCTTTGCTGGCTAATTCATTTGGCTTATTGTTTGTCTATAAGTTAATCTATTTATTAATATTATTATCATTTTGTTCTTGTTCATCTTGCTACTGTATTTTTAAGGTTATGAAGATGATGAGAGGTAGCATGCTAATGAAGCAGTATTTAGGTTTTAGGATATTAATCAATCTTACAATTATTATATAGATCTGTAGTTTAGACCTTTACTGTTGAAATTTAATCTTATTTCAATGTTCTAGTTAATACGTGAGTGCATGGAAGTGCTAAAGGCTGGTGTCCTGTTGAAGCAGTATTATCGTCACATGGTGGCAGCAGTAATGTGGGATGACATCCACGCAGAGGAGAAGTTTGAGATGGGACTGGAGCAGTTTGATGCTGACATGAAGGAGATGTTAGAGGTACAAAACTAATGGTGTTTTGATTTTTAATTCATGCATTTTTTTTAGCTTTATATGGTAACTATTTTTTATGTACACAAGGATTATTGAGTAGGGTTTGGGCTGTTTGTCATTTTAGATATGCTTGTTCATCACTCACTTCTTTATTTTTTCACTTGTTTTTTTTTCTAACATTGAGAAATCAGGGGGAAAGAAGATAGCATTGCTCTAATTCTTAATGCAGTTTTCTCTTAAACAACCCATCTTTTTACCTATTTCAGGTCTACTTCAGCTACCTGCAAACCTGGATGTGTTCATTGCAAAACTTGCCAGAAGCTTCTAGAGCCCTTAGAAATGCTCTTGAAGAGCATTGGACATTCACCAAGGAAATTTGTGCCCATATCCTAGGGGGAGAGGCAGAGGCAGGGAAGAGATTTTGGTTGGTGAAATTGAAACAATTATAGAATGAGATTATTGAAATGCTTATTGAATTTTGAAGTACTAGCTTAAAATTTGATGTTGAAAAAGCCTAATTAAGCTTTAAGTTATTAGGTTTTCTCTAGTGAAGGTCTTAAACTGGTTCGTTGTCAGAAAAAGCCAGAATTATATGAAGTGTTTTTAGCTAGACTGTAAAATATGAAAGCCACAGCTTTCACCTTTATTAAAAAAGATGGTTGCTTTTCTTCAAAATTTAATTTTACTTACCATTATGCTAGTATATATTAAAAATAATGGTAATTCTACTCTTCAATTTCAACCTGTCACCATGGCAAATGTTTTCTTACTCAGCTGTAAATAATAGCAATTCCCATAATAATTTTTTCTTTTAAAATAGCACCATGGCAAGTAGCCTCCTCAACTCCATAGCAGACTTTCTGGAGATTGGCATAGACGAGTGCATCCACAACTATGACTCAACCATGGTAGAGTCCGTCTCCATGGAGCACTCCTCCTCAGAGGAGGAAGGGGAGGAGGAGCACACACTCAGGCATAATAGATCCACAGAATTAAGGTAAGATAAGTACTGATTTCAAGATTCTAAAAATTAAAGGTGGAGTGGCTTGTATTCAGTTGACTAGCAGGTGAGAAATAAGATTTTAGTTATGCAAGGTTTTAGTAAAGGGATATTTAAGTTATGAGGACTAGACGACTTTTTCTGATTGTGTGGGTGATGGGATTTAATGTTATTTCTTCATCACTTGAAATATCCTGAAGGATAATACTGCAAAAAAGAGGAAATTAATAAATTATCCATGTTGATGTTTCTGGGCAGAGAAGGAAGGGGAGTATTTATGAAACTCAGTGTTTCTTTTATCCCAACTTTGAAAGTTAATATATTGAAATATTGTTATTTATTATTCAGGCAAGGCATTATCAGAATATGCAGGGATATTAAGAATCTGTTCCATGAAGCTAGAGAGAGGGCAGCCAAGGCAGTAGGATTTGCCAAGATGCTTAGAAAGGTAGGTAAAGCTAGCACATGGCTTCATGTTAATAGGGAGACAATGACATTGTTATGGCTCCATAACATACTCCATAATGCATATATTTAACACCCAAAAATAACCTTCTGAAATTATTTCCGAAAGATTTATATAACATATAATAATATAATGTTAAAATTTATTCTTTTTTAGAAAATTATATATTCTGTTCTATGTTACAGGAAAAAATAATTGGTTTTGATTTATTTCAGGATCTTGAGATTGCTGCAGATTTTAACATTCTAGTTGAACCAGCACAGCTGTTGGAGAAACTGAAGGAAACAGACCACATCAAGGTAATTAATCCAGAATCAGTCTGGATGTTGAAAAATAGTGCACAGACCAATAGATAACCACTATGGTGTATCATCTCATAGTCAGGAACCTCAAAGATTCACAATTAAATTTATAGATTTATTTTTATTTTATTTATAATTTACATTTGGGTGGCCTCAGTGACCTTACATCAAGTAAAAATGTTACTGAAGTGGGAGATGTAAGCTTGTATTTATTACCAAACTGTTGTAGTTACATAAAAAGGCTTATAGAGATTAAAGTAAGTTCATTTATTCGTTTAATAATTGAATGTGTTAATCTTTAAAATTAACACATTGAAGAAACTCCATGCTCTTGCCATGTTTGCCTGTATCAAGAAGATATTAGTATAGACCAAATCCTTACTACCTGTTTTAGGTGAATGCCCCTGCCAATGCAGGCTACCTGATGTTTATACCACACCACATCAGTGAGGACAAAGAACAGATTTTGCAGCTGCTGAATGTCACCTGTGGGAGAGAGGACATTCACCACTCATTCCCGGTGAGTATTTTGATGTTGACATATTTCAAACACTGTAGGCACCCTGAAATGTACTTCCCGTTATAGCCAATTCATTTTTTCATCTACTAGATGTGTTTTAGCTGAGTTTAGGCCACTCTGTAAAAAAAGCTAAATTTCCTTTTTATTTACCATGGGTCGAACAAAAAAAAATTGATTTCCCCAAAAATACGGGTCACCATAATTAAATTGCTTTTCTGTTAGATGTTTTCTATACAAAAGCAGTGAAAATCTTAAGCTTCATTTCTCAAAATAAAGCTTAATATTTTCACCGTTTCTGTACCAAGGGCTTTTATTAGTAAAAATGCAGTGATGAATGTTTTTTTTTTACGATGACAGAAGTCTAAATCTCTATCGCTATCATCAGGTGGGCAAGGAGAGTCATGAAGGTTACCTGCTGCTGGTCCGGTGGGAAACTGGGACGTGTGGCTGGGAGGGGACGTCGGTCAGGGTGGAGCCCACTGCTGAGACCACTATTGCCCTGTCCCATATTGAGGTGGGTTACTTGGCACTGTCATGGTCTTTGAGGGACTATGGACAATTCTGCAACCCGTTTGCATTTTCCATTTGCATAATGATCTGAATAAAAGAAACAGAGATAGAAAAGTACTACATAGGAAAACATTGTCACAGTGACAGTGAGGACTATGTATGTGTGGCACTGGATTTCATATCCAAGTTCAAAAAGAATTTAAATTTTGTATGACTTATTTTGCATGGTAATGTTTTAAGAAAAATATAGATTTAGATTGGTCAAAAACATTTTGAACATTGCTCCTTTATTAGAAATATATTTTCTTTCTCTAGGTTGAAGGTCTGTTGTTGGTGGTCATCAACTCCTCACAGCTGCCAGCACAAAGGAAGAGTTTTAAAAGGAGCATGGGGTCTGCTGTGGAACTTGTCAATGAGCAGACATCATGTCATCAGGCCATTGCTGAATCCTTGATTGACCTGAAGGTGAGTGGTCAGTTTTGATAGCTTTGGACATAACATTTGTGGTGAAGATGGGAATTTGTTAAAGTTAAAGTTGGGAAATGTCCATAAGTTGTATTTTTGTGTCTAAATACGTGGCAAAACTACTTATCTTTTCTAATCCAGGCCTTACGAATGATAAAACCCTTCAAATAAAAGTACCTGATGTTGATATTTCCTGCTGAAATGTCAGGAAAACATGGTTGTCTTTGTGCAGCATGATTCATTTAGAACTTAACTTATTGACGTAACATCTAATCCAAGTGCAGGGTCAGGTCAAGCAATAATCTTTGAGTTTGAGATTATTGCTTTCTTTCTGGAGGAAAATTTGTTTAACCGATATATGAGTTTTCTTACAAATCAGAATGTGATGTGTTTATATAGCTCTCCACTGCACTACATTTATGATCACACTGACATCCAGAATTATCCAGTGTTATTACAAATGTATGTAATTCCTTTGAATATACAATTGTGGTCGTGTTCATAATTTCAGACAACAGCCATGTATTTGAGGGAAAAGGTAGCAAAGGCCATAATACAGGTGGATGAGAAGCTGAATCTTGATGACATTTCAGAGAGGGAAGAAATGGAGAAATACAACATATTGAAGTTATACAGGGAAACCATGCACCAATGCTATAACTTTGGTTTTGAAGTAAGAAACACTGATTGAAAACATCTTTTGATTTCATACTGTGGTGAATTGCAAGAAAATGTTTTTGTCATTTTTTTTTTCAAAACAAACAAAACAAACCAACAAAAACAAACATTGATTGATATTTGTGTTTGCCAAGTTATCTAATTTGAAAAGAAAAACAAGAATTTCTATTATCTTCACCAGTTATATGGCTTTTTGCCCACTTGTTTCCCCAGGGATAGATTTTAATGAGTTCTTGAGAGGGTTGACCTTTAGAAAAGTACAAATGAATAACAATCAATGAAGAGCTGTAAGGATTCTTTTCATTTGGGTCTAAACATTGCAGTTTGTGGAAAGTTTGCCCTTTCTGAATTATTTCTTTTTTTAGTATCAATAACATTAATAATAATAATTAATAATAATAATTAAGAAATTAATAATAATAATTGACTGAAGAAAAAAATCACATCATTCTTATAACTTAACACAGCTGATGAAATTCTTCTCTGACAATAACATTCCATAGTTAATGATATGCAGAAACTGAAATTTGATGAGAACAGTGTGGTTGTGCATGCTTGTGTGTGTATGTGTTTGTACTGAATAGAATTACACAATTCTATACATGGACAATAGCAATTTTTGATAAACAACAATTGATACAACGCCTGCAGTGTGCATGACTGTTATCTCTCTTCATGAATTTCAAGAATTTTTATACCAAGGAAAAATGGACACATTTATCAAATTATTGGCAGTGTATGTTTGATTCCTCAATGTTTAAGTGCCTTATGATCTTTGGTTAGTACCACAAAGAAGTGACCAGACTGGTGACAGGTGACGCCAGACAGAAGCTAGCACATGGCCTGATAAGTTTTGCCAAAGAATGGACCAAGTTTGTTACACAAAAATGTGAGAGAGGTCGAGGAGTAAAACCCAGGTGAGCTTTACTGAAAACACAGTGGTCATGTGACACTTTATATTTCGTAGTTTTTTTTTTTTTTAATTTTTGCTTGAACTTAAATAGGTAAATATAAGTGTTAAATAAATAGTCAATTGAATGCAGTAGTGGTTTAAATAGCTTGCAAATAAGAATGATGTCATAAAATTCAAGCTGTAGTTAAACACACACAATTGTTTGCTTATACCTTCTTATATCAATCTTTATATGTCAGATGGGCAATGCAAGGTCTTGAGTTTCTCACAGTAGCTTGTGAGGCCAGGGTTCTGGCCCTCCTCACAGAAGGTGAATTCTTGGTAGGTTCAAGTTGCATTTTCTAAAATTTAAGTAGTATTTCTAATCAATTGAGGTTGATTTCTTGTGATCGTGTTAGTAATATACTAATCAATTAGTTGGAATTATTGATGTATTACATATATCATATCATATCAGATAACAGCACTTGTTCCGATTACATATCATGAACACTATCTTTTATTTCCCCATATGGCCTTTATTGATTTTAGCCAGATTTATTTTGGTCTTTGGTTGGCTAATGCCAAATTTAATGCAACTTCATTATGTTTGGCTTTCAAAGATTGTTTTTTTTTTTGATAAATGATATAATAAAAATATATACAAGTTTCTGAAATGTCTGTTCTATGCCATATAATGATTCTTTCAGGATTTGAAGCACAGTATCAACAACTGCATATCCCATGTGATTGGCAGTTCTTCGGATAAAACGGGCAGTCCAAGTGAGTAGAAATAAATGTTTTTTGCTTTTTTTTAATACTTGTAACTTTCCTGTCCTGGTTACAACACGTTAGAGCTACTCAACTAACTTTCTGATGAGATATTCATAATGAATGTTGTAAACTCCCTGGATACTTGTAATGTTTCATCTTCAAAAAAAAAAAGTAAAATTCAGTTCTTAGATATTGCACTACACATGTGTCTCAGCGTGGTTTACAATGGATGCCTGATCATTTTTGGCCCTGATACAGACAAGGTGTTGACTCTCTAGCCTCCCTGGGCAGGATACAGCTCAGCTGCCGTCTGTGGTGCTGAAAGCTAGCAACCAAACGGTATCCTTCACTGCCAGACCAGGAAGTTTACCCCTGCTTCTAAGCACACACAGAACAAAGTAACAAAGAAAAAAATATTATATATATTTTCAGACTTTCGCACCAGCAGCCCTGACCCAGTGAATGCCCAGAGGAACGCCATGATCTACAGGAACCTGTCCTGCCCAGAGCCGGCACCCTCCCCCAAGCCAATACGAACCCGCTCCGTGCTGAGTGACCCTGCCACGTCGCCTCACCCATCACAGTCTGACCCTTGGTTAGGTATGGGATCAGGGTCGTGTTTCATAGAGTTCTTTTTCTGTAAGGGATTTGTTCTTGGAATTTCTGTTTCAAATGCACAACAAAATTATCAAATGATAATGTAATTAATTTTTTTGCCTTCCAATGGCTTTTTGAAACAGATCTCAAGCTTCAACAGATAAGTCTGATTTTGTTTATGGTAAGTAATTGGCTACTAAATAACTGCATAGGGATAGAGCAGTTTGGGTTTTACTCTAGTAGTAAAATTAGAGACACATTATTGCCTGTATTGAGCCATGGGGCTATATCACATACATATTTCATAGAGAAGTTTCTTTTATCATGCGGAAAATCCCATTCTTCCTTTCATATCATTTTCCTATCAAGATGAGACCATTGGTTCAGAATATTGTAGCAATCGTAATAAGTTCACAAGATTTACATAATTTACTAAAAATTAAAATTCACACATGAAGAACTAATCACAGGCAAAAAAAAAAAAAATATATTCAATGCTGCTCTACTGCTTATCAGAGGTGTTATGTTTTATCATGTATGATATGATATATAACTAAATAGTTTCTATACTTCTCCCTAGGTGGCAACCCAGCAGCATCACCCAGTCGTGCTGTGGAAATTCATGATGGAGAAAATGGTGGAATTGTTATGGACGTTCACGTCAGACCAAAAGGTAGGAAAACACATGTGTCAAAGGATTATATTTTGTGTTAATTGAGTTGGATAGTGGATAAAACTGAACTTTTTCTTAATGATTTTAGAAAAGACTATCCTGCAGCTTGTTTGGCTTAATGTGTCAGTTTCAGGTGATTTGGTTCAAATGTTATACTTTCTGTTTAGACAGCTTACGTTTTTTCTTTTTGCAGTGCTTTGTTCCAAGATAATCACTGCATGCGTGTGATTTTATTTTCTTCACATTTTTTAATTACTGTAATATGAAATTTAAAAAAATCACATGAAATAGAAATGCATTATCAGTTTGAAAGTTTAAGAGGGAGAGGGAAATGTTGTGTGTAAAGAACAAATTCAATATCAAGAATATACTGCAGTCAAATCTACCACGCCTAAGGTAGGTTAGATATTGACTTTGAATTCAATACCTTCGACTATTACAGGCCCAATTTTAGAGAAAAGACATAGCATTGGAGCAATGAATTTCTCAGAGAAGGACAATCTGTATACAGGTGAAAACAGGATATAGTATACATGTGAAGTGTGGTAGAAAATATCTTAAGAAATGGGTCCTCATTTCATAAGTTTGTTCTTAATTTGAAATCTTCATATTTTCTTTCTGATCACTTGCGTCTTCTGTTTAAAAATCTTCAGACTTTGTATTTCAAGTTTGAATTACTGTTGATGTCTGTACCACTCTTGGTGTCTTTGAAAAGGGAAATGAAAACGCTATGCATGCTTATATGTAAAACAATTTTATTGGTGTTCATGTTAAAAATATCATCGAAATCAAGGCTCATAGCAAGATTAATTACACCACCAGGAAAAATATTTAGAATAAGATTTGTTAAGAGTTGGAATGTTATACATGTGGATGTTCTGTGCATAAATCAATGTCTATATAGCATATTTGGATTTCCATGTGCTGTGTATATAATTTCCTGCCTTTTTGTTCATAAACACTGCACCTACTAATGTCAATGCACTGGGCACAAAGGGCAATTACACTGTACATTAACTGTCATCTGTGGTATTCTGCACAGCTGCACTTCATTAGCACATAATATAATTTTATAAGTATGTTATATGCATCACTCTTTTACAGCTTGGAGGAAGTTGCCATGCCAAATGCATATCTTATCCTCTGATTTTTTTTTACCCTCCGCAACTTGGAGAATATGCAATGATCTTCCTGTTTTCACAAGAAAGATTTTATTGTAGCCAAGCACACAACTGCTATGACTAAAGCCATATACTAATTTAAAACTGTAAGACCATCACCTGGGCTAGGAAAGCTTACTTGGACATATTGTTTCCACGCAGAAGGCATGGTAGTTTTTGATGTCTCCTAATATTTAGTCTTCTTCTGTTTTTGCTTTTGATGTCTTCTAAGGTGTTGATAAATTAAAATGTTTTGTGCCGAAGTCAGACTTGTAGTACATTTCTACTCTTTTTGTACTTTGAGAAAGGGTTTGTGACACTGAGTGAAAATGTATCTTTTGTTTTTGTATCTTTTGTTTATGTATGTATGTATATAATATGAATTAATATTTTAATATTTTTAGCCTTGTGTACTATGCAGATTGCTTTTCCATCTATTTGCTTGATGCCTGCATATGCTAACTTATGTATTATAATTGTGTTGTCATTTTTGTAAGAGAAGTGAAACTATCTATCATATCTACAATACTTTATTTTATGGATTAAAGTCTTAAGAATGCCAATTAGAAAGATAAATTAATATAAACATCAAAAATAAGCTTTGTCATTTGTTTGAAATAAAAAGTTCAAAGATAACGTTTAATTTTTCACAAAAAAATAAAACTAATCTCAAGTCAAAAATTTAGTTGAATTTAATTTACTTTAACATGAGTCATATTTCATTTCAAAACTGCTTGCTTTGTTTATTTCAGAAAAGCAGGTTGTACCTCGTGTGCCACTGAAGCCCATGGAGCGTGTCCATCAAGCAGTGGCCAGGCTAGAGCAAGATCAAAATGAAAGACTTTTGGCAAAAAGAAGAATTGGGCGTATCACCACTCAGAGAAGTGACAACAACTGTCATTTGCATATGAGGAGGGTGCATTTTAAGTGGCAAAGGGGCAATAAAATTGGTAAGGTTAACACTGGAAAGTGGAATTTGAAAATGTATACCAGTCCACTTATTGAATATTTATCTGTATCTTGAAGCAAAAAGAAATTATACTATACATATGGTTCGAATGAGTGTGTTTTGTTTGTGTTTGAGTGGCTTTTAAATATTAAAGTAATTTTAAGTTAAAAAGTACAAAGTTCAATATAAGCCTTTTTAGTAAACAATTATGCTTTTGTCTGACATAGTGTTACATATAATTATTGATGGACATTTTGATTTTTCAGGGGAGGGGCAATTTGGCAAAGTATATTGTGCAGTCAATATGGACAATGGAGAACTTATGGCAATGAAAGAAGTAAGTAAAAATCAAGGAAAGGAAAAGTCTATGCTGGGTAATGCCAATTTTCCATTGCTCAAGTTCTAACATCATTTTTTCTTCTCATTTAAAAATATCAGACATTTTTGACAGTTTAATTGAATGTTGTATATTCACTTTGCCAATATCCAGTGTCTTCTACAGATTAGAATAATAAAAAAACTTTGTTTAATCAGATCCGTTTCCAACCCAATGACCACCAGACAATAAAGGACATAGCAGATGAGATCAGTCTGTTTGAAAGCATACAGCACCAGAGCTTAGTGAGATATTTTGGGGTGGAGGTTCACAGGGTAAGTTAACAAAGATCAATTCATCCTTATAATTTGTTTCTGTGCTGCCTTATTCAGGGAGGGCAAGTAAGTAATTTTTTTCTGTAATTTTGATTAAGTATTTTTCATCTATTGTTAGGCTTTAGTACTCAGTACATGACTTCGTTTGATGACTTAGTATTATAAGAACACCCAAAAAGAAAACTAGCATCAAAGCTCTGTCTCTAGATCAGAAACAGTTGAATCCATTTCAAGCTGCTTTTTGTGGCAGCAGTTATCAACATGTAGAACTAAAATGAGTTTCAAAATATTACATTACTGGGATTGATAGTTTAATTTGAACTTTGAAATTTACTTAATGGTACTGCAAGTGTAATAACATAGTTAGCTTACATAACTTTTTTTGTTAACCATGGCTCCATGAAAATAGTCCCAGGTCACCAGAATCTGCCATTGATCCTTCTTAATTATCAGAATGAACTGATGATCCTCATGAATTATCAGAGTGAACTGACGATCCTCATAAATTATCACAATGAACTGATGATCCTCATTAAGTATCAGAGTAAATTGATGATCCTCATAAATTATCAGAAAGACTGTCCTTGATGCAAAAGTCATGGGATGGTAATATATATTTTCTTGCAGGATGAAATGGTGATCTTTATGGAATACTGTGATGAGGGCACAATAGAGGAAGCAGCAAAGATGGGTCTTACTGAACCACTCATCAGGAAGTATACCAAAGAGATTCTAGTAGCCATCAGCTTACTACATGACAATAAAATTGTACACAGGGACATTAAGGGTAAATAGACTTTGGGGTGTTTTAATGTATATATAGTTTTTGAAAAAAATTATATCAGTAAAGATATGTTTTTTCTTTTCTTATTTTATTTATTTTACACAAAGAATTTTAAACTCTCAGGCTGCAAGTGATGATAATATACTGCTTCCTTTGCATGTTGTGGCATGTTAGCTCAGTGTACAGTCACTGAAAGGCTATAGAATTCAAATTTCATTAAAAAGAATATTTTTAGCGTTTGAATACAAAAAATTTAGCAAAAAAATGCTTAACAACTTTAACCAAAATTTCAGTTAAGATTACTTATGGATACAAAATTTCTTGATTTGAAAAAAGACAACTTTTTGTTCCACATCTGCCCTCAAGGAATATTTTCACAAAAATATCATTTAACAAAATAATGACAAATTTTATTTATTAATCAATATATTATTTCTACACAGGTGCCAATATTTTCTTACAATCAAAAGGGCCATTGAAACTTGGAGACTTTGGGTGTTCAGTGAAATTAAAGAATCACACCACCATGCCTGGAGAAATCAACACTTTAGTGGGAACAACAGGTAAGAACTTGCCTGAAATTATGCCAGATATGAAATCTTCAAAGGAGAAGATAGATGGATTTTAATGAACACTCAGGTGATAAAAAAAGGATAAAAGTGTTATGAAGTAGAAAAGCAAAGATGATATAATGTGTTGCTTGAAAAATGTCTCATGTGCTATTACAGTGTAAAATTGTTAGTTGAAACAACTTTAACAAAAGGAATCAAATTTTCAGTAAGTTCTAACTTGACTTTTATATTAAAAATAGACATCTTACGTTTTAGAATTGAATAGTAAACTTAACATATATTTATATGTGTAAAACTAAAACGTACAATAAGGATATCCTTTAAATAAAAAGTGTTAGCAAATATGCCCATTAAATAGCGCAATTGTTCCAAATATTTTTTATTTTCCTCCAGCTTACATGGCTCCAGAAGTCATCACACACAATGACCGCGAGGGCCATGGCCGTGCTGCAGATATCTGGAGCCTTGGATGTGTGGTCATTGAGATGGCTACAGGCAAGGTAGATATTCCATCCTAATTTGGTGCAAGAGACTGACATTTAATTGATGGAATGGTCAAGTTTTTTGTATGCATCTGCATTTTATCAGTAAATTTATTTATTAAGTTTCTAATTGATATCTCGAGCTTCAGATCCATTGTGTACACTTTTCTTCATTTAAAAAAAAATCTCCTTATGTGCATGCCTATCAGGTTCTGTTCTTCAGCTGTCTTTGGTTGAAGTTTACCTTTCCAATCATAAATAGGATGACGGGGATGATCACATTACAACTTTGTCACTTGTCCTTCTATGGAGACAGAAATTTGGATGATAAAATGAGGATTTGTAATTGGTTTGCTAAACTTGAAGCAAATACGACTTAAGTGTGGATGTGTGGAATGTGCTTTTGTCCCAGATTTGAACACACTTGCATTTACAGAATATATATTATGTGTCACTTATTTGTTGCATCTGCATGGGTATTCCTCATTCATTTATAGAAACACACACATTAACATACAAATATGTCTCTGTTTCAGAGACCTTGGCATGAGCTTGAGAACAACTACCAGATCATGTTCAAAGTTGGTATGGGGTGCAAACCTGCCATCCCAGACACCCTGAGTGAGGAGGGGAAGGATTTCCTGTCACATTGCCTGGAAATTGATCCCCGGGAAAGGTGGACTGCAAGCCAATTACTAGGACATTCCTTCACTAAGGTAGGGCTTATATGTAAATGTGTAATATAAAATCTTTTTTTGTGTTTATGACCAGGGACTATGTGAATGTTTATAATTTAAAAGTTAAATAGAAAAAATATACAGTTTGAAAATAATGACTTGGAATTATTATTATTTAATTATTTTTCATATAGACTGCTAAAATGTGTCATCAGAATGAGATGAACTGTGAACCTAAACATTACCAGCAGTTTATTCCCTTTGGAATGTTGCAACATTTTTAAAAACAGCAGCAGCAAATTATTGTGCATTCTTCATTAATTTAACAGAATAACAAATATCAAACATGTAATCTTTCAAGTTTGCCTTGGATGATGAAGTTGAAGAACAAGAAAGCCATCAACCTAGGGTTTTAGCCATGCCACATGCTATCAGTGAATCCGAGGAAGCCTGACCTGTTTATTCAAACAAAATTCAGGTTCTGAGTGCTAATTTTAGTCTAACTGATTGAACTAGCCACAGTTTAGTGCTGTTCCTTTTTATTTTGGCCAATGAAATTCACAGCTTAAATATTTAAGTGTATGTGTAACATTATGTGATTTAATTTAATAATGATTTTAATGGAATTTTTTTAGGGCTGGCAGGTGTAAGGATATGTAAATTTCTGTCTTTTAATGCTAGTCTGGATAAATCTATTATTATTGTGATACTAATAATGGATGTGAATATTTTCTATGATAAGGATGTAATTGAATTAAGAATATTGTTGGCACTTGTTGGCAGGTTCTTTCACATATGAGTGGGAGATCACTGATGGACTGAATTGGGAATTGTGTAATTTGTGAGCTAATAATTAGATCTTTTTGGTGCTCATTTTAGACATTTTTTATAAGCTGTTTAATGATGTGCCAAAATTAATAAACAAAACAAAATTGAACAATGGAAGTTAATGTATCATAATAATAATGTTAAGTCGGATTGCAAACTAATATCTGTACTGATGTTTGCTACCCCTTCGATTTGCCAAAATATTTGATATTGAAGTTGTCTATAAAGATTTAATATGAAGCAAAATTTAAGATGTAGGAACAAGCTTAAATTGAAGGGAAAGGGACATAGATGTAAAATTAATCTGTTATGATTTAATCAAAAATTCCAATCTGTGGTACTTAAATTTTATATATCATTTGCATCTCGATTGTAGTCATAAAATCTGCCAATATTGATTACATCCAGATATTCTTTACATTAATACATAATTGAATTATGGCTTGATTATGGTGAAATATAGTAATTTGTTTCAACTCAATATAACAAGTATGGTCTGGTACCAAAAGAAAAAAGAATTTTAAATCTGGACAACTGCCATGATAAAGTTTCAGTGTTCACTTTACAATGTAGCAGTTTTTAATAGTGTTGTTCTGTATTATACAGCTTTTTTCAATTTTTTTTCTATGTTAAAACAGTAATAATCATACATTTGATCATTTAAAAAACAGATTCATAATCCAATAATGACATTTTTTTAATGCACTTATAGTTATAGACAGGCACATCCATTTTGTGACCCTGAGTTTCAGAGTCTAACAGACTTTCTCTATACCAGTATACTGGTAGCTGGAGCTGTGCAGAGGAGACTGCAGGAAACTCAGGGTGATATTGTGTTTAGGAAAAATCTGATGTGTTTAGATAACAAGTTGGCTCACTTCTAGGCTTTGGGCAGGTTGTGCCCCTGGGAAACTGTTCAACAAATGTCATTTCTGATTGTTTAACAAACGTTTCAAAATCATGGTGAAAGTGGATTTGGCATTTGCTGCCCAATTAGAGGTCAGTTAGTAAAGGAAAGACATTAAAGGGAGAATTGCATATAATATACAATTAGACATTTTTCCTTGGAGTAGGATATTTAAAAGATGTATTTGACAGAGCTGTAGATCTCTATAAGTAACGTCAGGGTCATAGGCTGCAGGTTGCCCTCCCCCCACCCCAGAGAATTTGAATAAAAAGGGAGGGGTGCATTCAAATATTGTTATCCTTTACTCTTTCCATAGTCCATCAGAAGCCACTTACTTTTACAAACAACCTGCTTGAAAGTATTGTAAAATATTGTAGGTCTTCGACAGCAGGTCTCCAAGCACCTTTTCAACCTATGGCCCTGCATGTTACAAATGGAGCATGTCATTATTGTTCAAGTTTTTATTTCTATATATACAGTTTATGTACAGAGGTGTCAGTAAAGAGAAACTACAAATTGTGATAGATCATGTGATAAACTAGGCAACTTACCTCTCTTGAAAACAATGTGTTGACCATATGGCTGGATCCCTAACATTATCTCCTCTTCAATAGCATGATACATGGAAGTGTTCACATTTTATGTGGCATACTGATTACCTTGGACATACTTCACTTTCTTTGATGGGAAATTTGAAAAATGCTGTTGTTACCTGCAAATCTTAGCTGCAGTGAAAATCCTGTGACAAACGTGATAAGTTGTCTTCAGTTAAAAGGCCATGACCTTTGGATCCATGGTCACTGTTGACCTTCAAGCAGTAGGAGGGATCAAGTTCACATTTTTTCAATGATTTCATGGTTATTTTTTTAAAAGTTGTGTGAAATTGAATTGTTGTTAAATTTGACACAAAAGCGATTTTAATAGATTTATTATCATGGTCATAATATTGTCATACATAATAGAGTATATCAATTTATTTCGCAGATGCATTTACTTGTTTTTCTGCACGAGATTAATTTTTAATACACTTGAAATATTTTACCCTCTTTTATCATGATGGAGTTAAGAAAATGCTACATACACTGGTGTACATGTTATATTGTGTGTAGTTTTATTTAAAATCATGTAAAATGTAGACAGATGCACAGTAATGAAATGAAAGTGCATGGCAGTTCAAAGCGGAAATAAGCACATTTACAAGAGTACTTTTTTCATTTCCAAAGTTTATGTGTATTTTTGTTGTAACTTTTAATTATTGTAAGATATTTCCCTTCTCAAATAAATTCTGGAAGCGAATTTTTCTTGACCACCCCCTTGATTTTGTATGATTAATCATGATGTTATCATAACTTACAAATCAATTCCTCATTTCTATTTTCATCTCTTTTAAAGATGTCTTCTACTAAGTCATTTCTACTTGATAATATATTTTTCATCTTGAAAATTATTAAAACAAATTTTTAATATTCAATGTCTGTTTATTAGCATAAGTAATAAATTTACAGATTTCTCCAATGGGTGCCATTGTGAGCGTATTCACATTTCAGTAAAATATTTAAAGACCATCTTGAACAAGTATTTCATGATAAATCTTTTTGTGTAATTGCACACGAAAAATGCCCAATTTATGACAAGTCATTTGTTTAAAGAAAGGCAAAATTCAGAATTGAGAGAAACTTAAAACACTGAGAAACTTAAATAAATCACTATTTCTTTCCTGACCTGACATGAAATTCAATACAAGTTCACATATAATTTTTTTTATATCTTGTATATAGTCCATACCGAAGTGTCTGTTAATGGGCCTTAATTTTGCCAAAGTAAATAAATAATAATAGCCGTTTAAGTTGTAGAATAATTCCAGAGTTTTGAAATGTTTTCCTCCCTTCCTGAGAAAAGTGAACGCTACAGCAGCTGTGATAGGCAACCATGGTGGTCATACTTGCATGTATGTTTGTACGAGTCTAGCTGATTGGATGAGAATATCCACTAATATTTTATATCCTGAGACCAAATTGGCTAGCTAATGAGAGTGCATGGTCCAATGCATGAATATTCACTAAGAGCTTGCTGACTTGCTTGATGAGGTCCCTAGAGTTAAATATAGATAAATATATAATATAAACAGTCTCGTCCACCCTTTAAATAACACTATGCAAAGGTCATTATAATCAACTTCCTTTAACATCTACTCTTCCAATATCAGTGCAAGGAAGAAAATTATTTTATATGCAAAGTCTTATTATACTAATCAACAACTTCCCCATCTTCTCTTCCAAAATCTGTGCCAACAAAAGATTGATAAATGTGTGTTACTCTTGAGTGCTTTCCACTGTTTCATTTCAAACACCATGTGCTCAAAACTAATATCACAATTTACATACTAAAATGCTGCTATTCTTGTCTCTCTGTACACACTGCCTCTTACCTGGTTTCCTTTTTATCACTTTCTTTCCCAGTATCTGCCTTTTTATCTAGACTATTGGCTGCATGTACTAGGAACCTACAGAGAGACTGTAGCTGTGGAAGAGTATTATCATCCTGCAGCCCACTAAACCAATCTTTGGGAAATGTGGATGTAATCTGGAAAGTAAACAAGTTGCACGTAAAGACAGACATTGTATGTTACTTTGTGTAGTTGATGAAATGTTAGTACATTGAATTTGAAAAATGACAGTCAAGCATCTTTTAAAATCCATTTATTGTTCTCATTTAAGAACATTTTTGTTGAAACCATAGGCTGTGGATCTAATTGCCAACTACTTCCCCAGTTCAACCTGTCAATTTTGACAAGTAGAAATGTTTTTTGTTTAAAAAAAAAGAAAAGAAATGGTGTTCAGAACAAAGCAAAATCACTGCCACTGCAAAAGAGTGATCGATCACTTACCACCTGGACTTTTTCTAATGTACTGGAATTGATCTCGGAGTTGGAAAGCCCCAGCATAATATATCTATTGAGAAGACTGTCCAGGGCCATCTCTTGTAGGACACCATCATCACAGATGCCCGACCATTTCAAAATGTTGTTTAATAACTAAAAAGGAATAAATATATCAAAACAATCATTTATATCAAATTGATTATAAATTCATAATGGTAAATGAACATTAAACAAAACCATTCACTGTCTGAACAAAATTTCACATTAAATACCTAACAATAAATGCAAACCTTTATCAGAGATGGAATATAATGGAGTGAAGACAATTGTGAAAATATTTTATTCCTAATATCAAAAGATATTTACCTTTATACAAGTCCACATCTGTCTATTGAAAAATGCACAGGCCCCAGATTTTCTATCTTCTAAAACTCTGAAACAATTAATATTCCATCATTTTACATAAAGTGAATTCAACCATATTTATAACAAGATAATTTTAAAAAACAATGAAAAATAATCAAGTTAGAATTAAAATCTACCAATATAATAATCACATAAAATTCATCTCTCTCTTGTCCCCTGAGTAAAATGAACCCTCCAAAGCAACATCAATTAACCCAGACTTACTGTTTTGGATATAGAGGCATAAATACATCATCATCCAGTGTTTTCCTCATCCTTTTCACTACTGCCTGTACCAAGGCCTGCGTATTCTTGCTATCTGATGAAAACGAGGGATAGTCTGTGGCCAGTTTCCTAACTGTTCTGACCAGGTTTGTGGTTTCTGAACTGGACATGGGGTCCCAGACATCCTCCACTAAAGCTATGGAGAAGATAATAGTTGTAACCATTACTTTTGTATGCATGATTCATCATTCTTTTTTTCCAACAACATGCAAAAGTTGATCACCTTCACACAAGCTAGCAGTTTTACACTTTTAGACACAAACAATAATTACTTTCTAATTTTCGTTAATTATATCAATAAGAGTAGACAATAACACACATGTAAATTCCAAGGCCACATTATGCTACAAAAAGTCAACATTATTTATTTCAATACTTGGATAAACATTATGTTATACAAAACATTCAACAGTTTTTGTTCCATGTGCACCAACTTTGCACAATATGCCATCTCTTACCTTTTATTCTAGAAAGAAGTATTTTGTCCACTATAGTGGGGAGCAGCTTTAAGTCTTGATCACTATCCTCCAGTTGTTGGCCCTCCTTGTAACCATAAAACATTAAAGTCTCGTACCACCTCATTTCTTCAAAGTCAGGACAATTAACCTGAAATTTGCAGAATATTTAAGTGTTATAAAAAAATAAAAGAATTTGTTAACCCACAACTTATACAAATTCCAGCATATAAATTTTTTCTGGATAAGATGATTTTGTTAACCAAAAATTTAATGTATAATTTTTAGCACCTGCAATCTATTTCTATAATAAAAAATATCATCTCATTTGCCTTTATAGTCCTTTTATAAAACAAGACAACTCCTAACTAATGGTTCACAAAGTTGAGGCAAAATACATACTTGTAAAGGGTTCCATTCAATTAAATCAAGTCTGATTAAGGGGGAAAATAACTTTGGTAGACAAAGCCCTATGTAGGCGTCATTATAAGTGTCTCCATAGAGATCCTTCCACTCTTCAAACCTGGCTTTGATCAGTTTTAGTTTACAGAACTCATCGACTACATCTTCAAAAAGTTTTTGGGACTCAGTCCGTATGCGATCTGGAAAACAATATTTCAACAAGTGATTAGATAACTGATAGAACAGACAAAGGTAGCAATATTACCTAATCCAATCAATGATCACAATATATTCAGAACAATATCAAAAGTTTGAAGAACTTACAGTTGGCATGCATGTGGGGCTATCAATTACACTTCTATGGGACAATGTTGAAGTAAAGGCACGTACACCCATTCAAAAATTATTTGGTCTCATTCTTCATTAGTGCTCTTTTTCAATTTAACGTTGTTTACAAAAATACCTATATAAATACTCTTCAGAGTCTAGTGTGGCTTTTCAAAAGCAATACATCAACCAACCTCTTTCTACTATAGCCTTTGTGATATCCAACTGACTTTCTTCATCATCAGAAGATAAACCTTCATGGTGATTGGCTATGTTCTGACTTTGACGAGCCCTTCTTCTTCTAGCCCTACAAACAGTCAATTTAACTGACAGTAAAAAATATTATTAAATAAAAATTAAAAACCAGTAGGGCTTTTTTTTTTGTTGTTGTTCATCAATTTAATCATAATTTCTACTGACTAAAATAAAATTGTGCAAGATATCTTATTGATACTGCCAACTCCAGGACAAAGTTTTTTAACAGTGGGGTTGGTTCCTGACCCCCCCCCCCCCCCCCACCCCCCATTATTTCCCCCTAGCACCTGATAAGTCTTACCTCCTTGCCTCTCTTTCAGCAACTCTTCTTTGCCTAGCCTCTTCCACTGCTGGAACCTGGGCTGTGGAACTCTTGTCTGGAGATAGAAATCATTTAAAGCTTCAATTTCCTTTCAAAATGTCTTACTTCCTTTAACAGAGCACTATTGGATTTTTCTAGAACGTGGTCTTCTTTTCTGGTGTTCCTAGAAATACTTCAAAATTATCAAAACAGCTCAATTTCAACTGACCATTGCAAATATTTGGCAATGGACAGTTCACCAACTTTAAAAATACAAAACCAAGGAATGGAGAAATTAATATTATTTTCAAGCAATTACTTGTTATGTATTCCTGAGACTGGTCTTTGACATCTTCTTGTCTCCTTTTCACCAACTTCTCTGCTCTTTGTTTCAAACAGTTCAGCATGCTAGCTTCCAAAGCATTAACAGCAGGTACCTACAAGAAGAAGGGTTAAAATGGTCATTTTAAGAACCAAAAGGATCCCACATGACAAAACTGACTGAATAAATGATACACAATGTTTATTATGCAAGATTATTAAACAAGGTAAAATCAATTCAATCTAGTACCCACCTTTAAAACTCAACAAAATCTATACTTGATAACCATTTTAATACATAACATTCAGTAAGCATTAAATTTCAAAAAGGAAAATAATTGCAATAAATTATTATGATATCTCATTTGGTCAATAGCACTTACATTGCACAACTGACTCTGCAGCAGCACAATACAATTTTTATTATGTTTGTAGTTCTCATCAGCCTTTGCGCAATTCAAATATTAATCATCAAATATAATCAAGGAATGTAATTCAAGTATCCCACTTATTAGACTAACACCCAATGAGTTCTGCTTGAACAAAGAAAATCTTCCCATTTCAATTCAGTCCTAATTGTAACAAATAAAAATGCATGCACATCATGTGCGTTTTAAGGTGAGTGTGCATTGTAAAGTTCAAATATAAAATGTGTTCTAAACATACTGATTTAATGACATCTGACATGAAACATTTTAGAACTGTCTTCAATGTACATGATAGTGAAAACTTAAGCAATGGCCCCTGCTAAACCCCTATGATTTAGGATGTCAAGTAGCAAATGGCCCCCACGCAACCCCTTCCCAAAGACATTGAGCCTCCCAAAATAATAAGTCACTGAAACCCACCTTCTCATTAAGACATTCAACCAAGTCGCGAACATACCCCCTCATTTCTTGGAAGAACTTATAACGTTCTTCCAAAGCACCGATGTCTCCTTCACATTTTGTGATGGTGCTTTCACTGAACTTGATGTTGTCCTCCATTTTTTGGACATCTAAGACACGGGCCCTGTGAACCTGCTGCAAAGATTCAAGCCTGAAAAAGCAGACACATATTAAATGACATTTGATACCAAGAAAATGTCAGTTAATACTGAATTATCCGTAATTCCATTTCTTGGTTCTATTTCTATTCATCATCCTTCTTATTTATTTATTTATTTTTTAAATTCTGTAAATTCAAGTAAATGATCTCTGAAATCAATCAATGATTTATTGTAGTGCATCTGCATGGATTTGTTTATAATATTTAACCATCTGATCCTCAATCTTACAAGTAGTGTTTTTTTTTAAGAAGAAGACTGAGCATAAAACTACGTAATTATCATGTATTCATTTTCATTTCGCTTCTTTTGACAGGAGTTTCTTAAGCCTACCAAGCCCACACATGACACACATAAGAATATGTAACATAATCTGGGTATTTCATACCTTTCCTTCAGCCTCCTTGTCACATCCCCTACAGTAATTGGGGGGAGCTCTTTGGGTGGACCCACCCGCTTATCTCCTGCTCCCACATATGTAGCAGACCTGCTGAAACCTGCTGGCACCCCTGCTGGAGTTGACCCATTTATGGCTCCCTGGGCAGTGTAGGGGGAGGGAGAGGAGGAGGAGTAGGAATCCTGCACAGCTGCTGACTGAGAGTAATACTGGTCATAGCTGTAGGAAGGCTGTTGGTTTGATTGAATCTGGAATAAGAAATGTCCCAGAAAATTATTTTAGAGATAAAGAAAGAAAGAAAAAAAGAAGTGAAAACTAGAAAGGAATCCGAATCAGTAGTAAAACACCGAGTGTTTGAGGCAAAAATTATAACATAAAAAAACAACAACTGTGTACTAACTTCATCTACAGCAGTTTTATGATGAAGATCCCTTTGATAGGTTTCAACAGATTAAACTGACAGATCCCCCCCTCCTCCTACTTAAATATCTAACAAAAAGATGAAAAGTGTGAAAAAAAAATGAAACATCTTATGCAATTTCCTGATAAAATAATTTTGTTCAAATTCCAATCCTTGTGGCGGCCTTGAATGCTGGCCTAACTAACCCCACCTGTGGCAGGCTGACCCCTTTCCGTATTTGCTGTTCTTCCCATTCTCTTTCATGGTCGCTATCATCACTACCTATAAAATGAGATAACAGTCTAATACACAGATTTCAAACGAGATCATAAACTTGATATAATTGACACTATTTTAAAATGTATTGACTGAATGTAGATGCTATATGTAATCAACTAGTTTTCAAAATTATCTAATACAATTTTCATCAACATTTATTATATGTGGTAGATCGATGATAGAGCCTTCCAATAATTAGAAAATTTTAGAGGAAATATATTACAGATACCAAGAGTACATTCCCCGATTTCAATCACATGAAAACTTTCAAACATAAAGCTCATCAAATGCAATGATATTATACATCAGCATGTGAAACGGAGATCAATATTTTACAAAATATAAACAATATAAATTGAAACTACACAAAGCACAGAGCTTTTCCCAAAATATGCCATTAAAAAGTAAATGTTCCAATGAATCTAATAAAAAGCAATAACCATCCTTCCAGTTTCAGTAATGTGTCTAAGATGGTCAGTATCAGACACAACAGAGAAACATAACTGAACAAATACGTAAGCAAATTGCATACAGACCATGCTCTGCTGCTAAGAAATCATCCTTAATTTTCTGTCTCTCCTTGGCCAAGGTGTTCACAGTGAAGTCAATTCTCTCCTCTTCTTCGTCACTTACATCATTTTCATCATCCCTAGAAGTGGAAAAAAAAGATTAATAGATTTATTTAAGCCTCATCTTTAAAACAGACCAGTTAAAGTTCACAAAATTCTTACTTCTTTAACCGCAGTCAAAAACTGTAAGGGGAAATTGCATTCAATCAAAGTACACTTTTAACTAAATGTACAATGTACTGCAGTACCTACCTAACCAGTCTTGAATTAGCCTTTTCCACTTTCACAGTGTCATCCAGTGGTATCACATCCCCCATCTCCCTAGCCATCTGCCTTCTCTTGCGAGCCATGTGGATAAGATGAGCATCAGGGATTTCACCCCCTAAAATATACATGAAATAATTCACCACTAAAAAGTTGAAAATTCTCACAACAGGACATTTTAGGCAAGTGCATAAAAAAGAATTTACAGAAGAATTTTAAAACAATTGTGGTGGTTGTGTGCATGCCTGTGCGGGTGCACGTGTATATTGCACCATGGTTGGCACTTACTTTCAAGCACAGCTTTGAACACGTGTGCGCCACCTCCTGAGCGCTTTGGTTTGTCCCCCTCGCTGTCCTCTCCATTACTGTCCACATCCATGTCATCACCACTGTAAATGTCACCATCTTCTGTCTGAAAATACAGACAACAGTCCCATCAGCAAATGTTACTCATAATAGAGACTTTTTGGCTTGGAAATCTGCCAACAGACAGGAAAATCTCATTACTGTTGTAAGACCAACTGTAAACGTCCCCCCAAAAGACCATCAAAAGACAGAAAAATTTAATCTCTGGTTACTTACTCAGGTTGAAACAAAATTGTTCATTTTGACTCCCGTACACTTAAGTTGACCTTTTTGTTGTTTATATTAAGCATATCAACTAGAAACAACAAAATCTTCTAATATTATATCTTAAGTATTTCTTTTTCAGTTTTTTAAGGTACCATTCAGTGTTTTGCTTGTGAACAATCACCTTTTCTTTCTTTAATTCTTGTTCTTTTTCCTTTGTTTCAATCTTCTCTTGTTCTTCCTTCTCCTTTTTTCTCTCCTTCTTCAACTGCTTTGCAACTCTCCTGCTGTGGCTAGGTTTCTTCACCTTAAAAACTTCACCTTCTGTAAAAAAATAATAGTAGGAATTGGAAAACTGTTATGTGCAAAAATGCTCAGCTCGGCACTCAGCACATGGAGGTTGAAGCAAGGGCACCTGGTTTGTTATTATTTGTTTGCTATCTTTGATACAGTAGCCAGGCTGTATCCTACCTAGGGAGGCGAGAGCGTAACCACCCAGACTGTATCTTGACCAGGTGTCCTTTATATACATTATGTTCCATGTACGACTTCAACCCAATGATAATAAAATTGTATATTATATAAATAGCACTCAACTTCCAAGAATGACTATGCCACTGATAGTGGACACAAACTCCAGAGAAGAATGGAATATCATATCACTGTTTTCAATTCTAATAAACAGTCTCACTGACTTGAACAAGATCCAGACTTGCAAATCTGTTTCAAAGATACTATATCTTGACAATGGTATCTTGCCATTTGCACAGATTTGGCCAACTATAACTCGCTGGTATTAAGTCAAGCCTAACACTGCAAGCAAAGCACAGGCTGCAAGTAATTACTGCACTGCTTCAGATCAAGTGTTGTTCAACTTAATTGTCAAATGTAAAGAAATGTGAAAGACCTTACAACTGATAAAAATAATGCTCTGAATAAGATGTGTTTCAACAAGTTTTTGACAATCAGTAGAGAATAGCCCTGTTATATTCCTCTGATTTTATTTGACGGTTAGAACACATATGCAGTTGTCAGACATTATTCCCTGCCACTCATCGTCATAACTGCCATTGTCCACCATTCAGAGCTCCAGTATGGACTTCCAAGACCACCTCCAAAGAGTCAGTATGACGAGAAAAACGAACCCACAGAGATTTCAATTACACTCAGTAAGTAGAACCAGAGAATACCTCAATGGCAATGAGGTGTGTGGATTCTGTGGTAGAAGTCTTTAAAAATTTGAGGGAGAAGAGTGTAGAAGCTGGCAGGGGTCCACTCGGGCTCGGAAGCTCATTTGAAAGAGCAGTGGCGAATCCACTATTTCCCCAAAATCACTTCAATATACAAGCATGGCCAAGAAGGCAAGATAGTGCAGAGACAAAACAATTAAAATGTCCAGAAAAAGCAAGGAGTAGCAGAGATTAGGAGTCATGCTCTCTTCTGACCTGAAATGGTCAATTCACTTTAACAATTTATGTAAAAAAAAAAAAAAAGGCAGAAGTAGATTAGCCCAGCGCCCACATGAAAGTCAGCATACATATCCACTCCACTTTGGAGTACAGTGCCATCATATGGGACCCCTACTTACAATCGGGCATTAACAAAACGGAAAAAATTCAGGGGAAGGCTGCACGGTTTATCACTGGGGTTTCTATGTCACGGTCTCCAGGTAGTGTTATCTCCATGTTAAAATCATTGGATCTCCCTAGCTGCAGTTTCGGAAGGAAGGAAGGAACTGCAGCTAACTTTTCTTTTTAAGGTGGTTGAGGGGTTTGGTACCAGTGATAACTTCTGACACTTACTTAATACCAGCTTCTAACTGTCGCGCAAGTGTTCCCTGTGTTACACGTCGTTGTGACTGATGACGTGCAGCGACATGCGTGGCCAATGACATTGCTCACGCATGGACTGGTGAGGCCGTGATGCTCTTGGCGTTGTTTGGATGTTGGAGTTTTTTGTTTCAATATCTGATGTTCTTGTAGCTTCTTATTACTTATTTTAATTCTTTGTTGCTTTACAGATATCTCTGAAAGCCTTATTTTTATCTCAAAAGAATATATATTTGTAAAACCCACGTTTTGTTTATCGCCTGCTTACATTTGGTACCAGAGTCACACCAAATGGAAGAAGCATCGAATGTACAGAAGAATTGTCTGCCTCATATCTCTGCCGACGTTAAAGACTGGATATCAAACTGTGAAAGGTGTAATCTGGCCAAAATGCCATCACGAAATATTCATACTCCTATGCAAAGTATCATAGCTCATGAGCAAATGGAAATCGTCACCATTGATTTCACAGTTTTGGAACCAGCCGGAAACAGAATTGAAAATGTTCTAGTCAAGACTGACGTATACAGCAAATTTACAATTGCTGTACCTACGAAGAACCAGACAGCTCAGACAGTTGCGAAAGCCCTTGTGCGGGAATGGTTCCTACATGATGGATTGCCTCAAAGAATTCACTCAGATCAAGGGAAATCCCTAGTGCCAAGATAGTGAGCGAGTTGTACAAAATCTATGGGATTGATAAATCCCGCACAACAGCATACCACCCAAGAGGGAATGGACAGTGCGAGAGTTTCAACCGCACAATGCACGATCTCTTACGTACATTAACACCAGCTCAGAAGACCAAGCGGCCAGACTTCTTGCCAGAACTAGTGTATGCTTACAATGTCACTCCACATTCAGCCACTGGATTTAGTCCATTTTATTTGTAATTGATATTTGGTTGAGTGCCAAAACTGCCCATTGATTTAATGCTCGATAATTCAACTACAGTTCCAGACAACAGGACAGAATGGATATGTCGTCATAGAGAAAGACTTAAGGAGGCCTATAAAAAGGCCACCAAGCAACTAGAAGCTGACATTGAAAAGAGGAAAAGGGTTTATGATAAATGGGCAGAAGAGAGCATGCTGCAAGTCGGGGATCACATGCACCTCCGCAACCGCATTCAGGGCAGAAATAAGATTGGTGATGCATGGTCACCTTAAGTCTATATTATAAATGAAAGGAAAGACAATACCTATATGGTGGTTGCTATGGTCGGGCGAAAAACCTCCTGTGTTAAACACAAGGACTTGAAACTCTGTTTACCAAAGACTGTAACAAAAGCTATTGAAAATTGCAAATCGGGAAGAAATGTAGTAAACCAAAGAAGAAGAGATGTTTCTATTTCTTCGGAATCAGATAGTGATAATGAACATGGTGTAGTGTTTCCGGACACTGCCAAGAGCATCCTGGGATGTCTGCTGCGCATATGGGGGCTGCGCAGGGGCGCGCACATATAATGTAACAGCAGACCATGTGACGCCCTAGATCCCTGCAGATCTCAAGCCAGCTGGTAGACTACACAGCTCTCTCCAGAGTGAATACTAGTATACAGAAAAGCACAGTGCCTTACCTAAGCAGAAGGACCAGGCAATACTCTCAGTAAGTACCAGAAATGTATGTTACTGCTATTAGTATAGAGTAAAACACTTAAATGGAAAAGGGACTGTTTCTAATTCTTCGGAATCAGACAGTGACAATGAACTAGGTTTTGACATTCAAATGGAAATGCGATGTGAAAGTAGTTCTGACTCAGAACATTCGGATCATACAGATGTTTTGCTGCCAACAATTATTCTGTTATAAAGTAAGTGTAATTACCATGTGACACCCTAGATCCCTCCAGATCTGAAGAGCAACAGATGTCTACTACTCTCACTCAAGACAAAGCCTTGTTATGATCGGAGTTTTTTTCCTTCCTCCACCTGGTCTGCTCTTCATGTGCCAAGATAAGCCACCACAGGTGAGTGAGTTAGGCCAGGTGGAGACAGCACACCCCCTGCAGGAGATCGTCTACATTGTGACATCATAACTGTCACACATTCATTGTCTCAGATCTCCCACTCCAAATCAGACATGCTACGATCGACGATCCCTATAATATTCTCACAGAGCCTAACAATAGCAACAGTGATCACTCACCAATTCAGTAAGTAGACACAGTGAATACTTTAGCCTGAAGTCTTAAGAAACCTGGTGCCCCAACTAAACAGAAGGAACAGGCAATACACTCAGTAAGTACCAGAAGTGTATGGTACTACTATAAGAACAGAGTAAAACACATTAAAAGCAGAAGTTATTATAGAACTTAGTGGGTCCAACATACGGTTACCGTTAGAACTCGGCCTTACATTTAGAGCGCGAGAATTCGCATCATTATGACATCCATCACTAAGGAGAATCATATCAATAACAAGAGTAGAATTTATTGACATTATTTCATGTGTATGAATTATTATTGGATCAAATTCAATCTAACTGAAATTTGGAGAAAGACTCCGTTCAAAATTGATTATTATTTGTACACCTGTTTAACCTACCTTCATTTTCGTCTTCAAAACTGAGGATACTCGCCGGCACTACAACCTTGCTTTTCCCGCTCTTTTTCTTCTTCTCCTTTTTAACAACAGCCGTCTCAGGAACTTCAGACGAATCTTCGTTATTTTCTGCTTCACATGCATTACTCAAATTGCTATTTTCTTCATCTTCCGAATCATTAACTTCAACTTTCCGCCGAAAGTTCCTTTTCGGCTTCCTAAACGTGCTCGCCATGTTTTCTTTACAAAAGCATGATGGGAAAACATTAATTATCACATACTTATTGTTTTGGTGAGTAAACCAGTGTATTTTTTAAAAATCTGTATAGCTTTTTTTAACTCATTATTATACATAAATACAACACAAATTGTATGCTTATTTGAAAATTGTAAATCTCGTTTGAAAGAGACTAGCAAACGAGATAAATAAGTAAACACAGCGGTCTCGGTTTCATTTTCAAAACTTGGATATAAATTTTTCTGAAATTAAGGTAACTTCATCTAGATAGTGCAAATAGATTTGTATTTTTATATTTCTAAATTTCATAATATTTTAATACTTACTTTGGAAAAAAAATTAATATCTTATATTTTGACTTTATACCGGAGCTCTCTTACTAGCACTACAGTACACTAATTTCATTAAAAAGATCTACAGTAGATCAACATTTTAAATACTGCCTTTTGATACTTTGGAATATTTTACAATTATTTTGTAATATATACACTCATAGTTCTGAATCGCCTTTTTTCTTTCCCTGATGTCACTTAAGCCTTATCACTATTTGGCAATCGTCAGATCACTCATTCCATTTTTTACATGGTCTTAGAATCTTATTACCAAAAAATCAAGTTGTCAAATATTTTAATTTTTCTATTCAAACTATATAAACTATTTATTAAAGAGCTTTCACAATTATCTGTGTTGGCAGTAGAAGTTAATGCTACAGTATAATGTGCTTTACCAAATTACAACATGCGTTTTATTTTAGTAATAAAGCAATAAACAATTTTACTTTTTGTTAGGGAATTGATGTAGCTTGGTGTTTATCTTTCAGAATGAGAAGATCAAATGTTAAGAATAAAGGGCAGGGAAGCTCTTTCAACAGAACTTCTGGAAGTCTTCTAGATGATAGTGATGATGATCAGAATGAGCTACAGGTGATTATATCTTAATTTCATAATTTATATTTTTATTAAAGTTAAGTAAACTCATAAATAAGGCCAGGATTTTTTTCTCAGGCCAAAGTGTATAATTTTTCAATCAGTTGAAAATGTACAGGTTAAGAAAAAAGACCCATGCACTTGAAACAAACAAACAAACAAACCAAAATTTTCCTAGTCTTAAGGACGTTGGTACTAGTATTTATCTTCCAGAATGATCCCTTTTCTTTCTACTTTTTCTTACAACTGAAATCGTGTCTGACGTAAACCCTTCAGGGTATACAGATGATATAACAACAACCAAGCAAATTAAAGGCAAAGAACCACATTGATATTGTTGATAATGTCTTTCTAAATGTTCCAGGCATACCTTAGCTCTCTAACTAAAAAGAGAGCTCCTGCTAAGAGTCCAGACCTAAGTGACATATCCATCTCCAGTGGTGATTTGAGTTTTAAAGGGGCCAAAAAGCAGACCAGTACCAGTAAATTCCTAAAAAATAAAGCAGATGGCCAAAACAATACAGAAAAAACAGCAACAAAGTCAGGGGCAGGAAATTTCAGCAGCTCATTAACTTTAGGAGGTTCACTTCGAGATGCAGGACGTCTTGGAAATTCTACTGGATCATCAGCATTAGACAAGGTGGCAGCACTGAATAGCAAGTATGGAGGGAAAGGAATTGGGGCTAAGAAACAGCCCGCTCCTGTGCTGAGTGACAGTGATATGGAGATGGATATTAGTTTAAGTGATGACAATGTGGCAGGTGCTTCTTCAATGAACAGTAGAAAAGTTCTGAAAGAGAGGAACTCTTATCAAGATTCTACAGAACCTGGAACTTCAAGCAATAGATTCTTAAAGACAAATAAACAGGCTGACCAGAAGAAAACCCCTGAAAAGAATGATAAAGAAAATCAAAAAGATAAAACACAAGGAATAACTGATGGAGTAAATTTCCCTGGACACTCTAGTTTGACTAAGATAAAGAGCTTTGAAGGATTGAATGAATTAAGTGATAGTGACAGTCACAGTTTAGAACTAGGTAAAAGCAGCGGGAAATTTCTCAAAAAGAAACCACTAGGGGGCAGTTCTAAACAAGGAATCACTATTCCACAAGCTCAGGTTGAAAATGAAACAAGCTCATCAGAGTCAAATACTGCAGAAATTATGAAAGGGATTGAAGGCATCAGTGACATATCTTTTAGTGAAGAACATACAAAAAGTGCTAAAAAAACAACTGTAAAATCTCAAAAGGCTAATCGTGAAGTTCACTTTGATGTTAGCGATGAATCCGAGTCTGTAGCAAACATTCCCCTAAAGAGGTCAACAGACAACAAAGCAGTCAAGACCTCTACTCCAGCAAAAACTGGTAAGGTGATCAACTACAGACTTGGGTAGTACCACTGTGCTTTTCAATAGATTTCTTTAAAAATTCCATCAATATGTTGAACTTGAGCCAGGCTCACTCATGGAATAGTAAATTTGACCAAATTCTAAACACCCTATCTGGCCAAAGATGATGTGAAATATTTTACTGACAAATATATCTGGATAATAAAATTTTATCTAGGCAAAAATGACTCTCTTTGGAAAAGCAATATTCTTGGGTGAGTCCAGTTTATGGGTTTTTAAGACAGAAATTTTTCAAGTATTCAGAGCACTTTGTTTAATGAAATCAAAATTTGCTGAGAGAGTTACAATTTTCTGGTTATATGGCTTTGAATCTCATTTTACACAGACTTTTGAAAAAGGGGAAAAATTAGCTATAGGATGAAGCATGATATTTCTACAATTTGTTATTATTATTATTATTTAGGTCTACATGTCTTTTTTTCATTAAATCAGTAGATTAAATTACAATAATCTTTTCTAGCGTAGAACCAATTACATGTAAGAAAACCAATTATAATTTTTTCTACATAGAAAGGTTTTTAACATAAAGGGTTTATTGTACTTTCTTTGCAATAATGAATGCATTTCAACATATACTGAATGTATAAATAAAAAAGGTTAAATGAAGTTAGATTTAATCTTTTAAAATTCACATTTAAATGCAATGTTAAAAAATACATTATATATATGAGTTTAATTTCGTATTATGTACAGCCAAAAAGCCTATAGTCTTTGACAGTGATGAGGAAGAACTGCAGGAATTCATTGAAGGGCTATCCCCAACACCAACACCAGACAGTGCAGCTAGACACAAGGTTGGTGACATGTCTCTTTCCACCTTTTCTTTGATATCATGTAATGTGTGTTTTATACAATTTCTGTTTACAGTGAATAATGATATTTCAACTTTTTGTGAAGTGGGAATAGTATTTTTGCATTGTTATTTATTTATTTGTAATTTTGAACTGAATATTTTTGAAATTTTGAAAGTTCCAGAGAGCAAGTGGTAAAAATACTGGAGTTGAAAGTCCAAGCTTACAAAGAAGTGGTTCAGCTAGCAGTGTTTCAACCATAGGAGAAGGTATATTCAGAATATTATCATGATAATCATGCTATTCTGGTGACAACGCCATATAAAGATGATGATTTGAAATTTTTTTAAAGAATTGGTGCTCCACTGCTGGTGATTTTTCATAAGTAGAAATTTTAGGTAAAATGTTTTTATGTGATTTTATTTTAAGGGATTTATGTTCAAGATTTGCATTTAATTTGTTTGCAATTAATAATGTATGTGTGTTTTAATAGGTCCAGCATTCAATTTGGTTACCCTAGATGACATTTTAGGAGATATGGAAGCAACACCAACAGCTCCTTTAACCAAGTCAAAGAAGAATGAAGAGAAAGATATTCAAACCAAAAGTAATGATCAAGCTAAAGACAAAAGACCTGTGCCAAAACCCAGAAAATCAAAACAGGACTCTGTTAGTGTTGAATCTCCAGAGCCTGACCCATTAAGCAGGATGGGACTGCAGACTTTAGACGACGTACTTGATATTGACAATGATCCATCGGTTCCTGTTACCCAGAGTTATCTGACAAAAGAGACAAAAGATGAGAGCTCGTCAAGCAGCTCTGAAGAAATCATACTCGATATGTCCCAACAAAGTGATATTGTTTATGAAAATGACTTTAATAAGGATAGGAAATCTAGACCAATAACTCCTAGATCTGAGGCAGTTACCCCTAAATCAGAAATTGTTAGTGAAATAAAGTCAGAAATTCAATACCAGAGTGACTTTGAAAGATCTCAGTCCAGAATTAGCCCAACACCAACTCCAAGATCACAAAGCAATAGATATTCAGATGATTTTGAACACAGTTATCAGGATAAGTCAGATATAGGTAGGTCTAGGTCAGCTAGTCCTAAGAGGTCAAGGTCAAACTCTCGATCAAGTGAGCAGAGGTCAAGATCAAGATCCAGAACTGACAGAAGCAGTAGTGGAACCACATCTCTGAGGTCTAGCTTTTCACAGTCTGTGTCAAGTTCATCAAAAACTGAAACCTCGTCCAGATCACGAAAAAAACACAAAGGTTCATCTCGGTCACCTACAAGCAGGAAAGCATCCTATTCACCTAGAGGAAAACATGATAGATCGAAGCATAAAGATTCATACTCTAGTAGCAGATCTGGAACTAGTAAGGATGATGATTATTCCAGAGATAGCAACACTGAGAGTTACAGGTAAAGACAGCCATCCAGGGTTTTAAACTTATTTTAGTGATGATAATCTTCTTAAGATATGGATTCTGCTTTGTTGACGTTTTTATGAGAAATACACATCTTCTCAGATTTGAACAGACCACACAGGACAGATGAAGTTGAATTTAAGTTTGAGAACAATTTGTTACTGTATTCAATAAAATAAGACAATTGTTTTATCTATGCTGATGATGACGCATATCTTTGGTCAGTTTCAACAGAGTTTGCTCTATTCAGGTTCTACTTTCATTTTAAAAATGCAAAACGAAACGAAAATTGAAAAAGAAACTTACACATACTCCAATTTAATGATCATTTTTATGTTTTACTAATTTAACACACAAAACAGTCAGAACAATACCCTACATACATTACAGGTCCAGTAGATCTCGGAGAGGTCACAGAAAAAGCCGCACGAAGACAGTTAGAGTCCAGACTGACCACGACACCTCTGCGCTGCAGTACCAATGGAACCCCTACACAGTGGGGACAGCCGTGGAGGGTGCTGCCTTTGGGATGCAAGTTGTGGACCCCACTCCTGTTGCCACCCATGCTGTTAGTGCAGAGGCACTGGAAGGTCAGTCTTCATTAGCAGGGAATGGTTTTCAAACAAGAATGCAAGACAGGAGCATGGTTTTAACTTTAAGAGGAAACATTTTGTTGCATGATTCAGTAGCAGTCTACTTAAATTACGTAAAAATTCTTCATTTAATCTTTTTTTATATAACAGGTACTATGTTCCATTTACTTCGACTACAATTGATTTATCTGGGGTCCAGGTAGATTAAAATGTTGGTCTTAAAGTTTAAATCAACTTTACCTAAGGTCTGAAATGTATTTTATGAGATAAGGGCTAACAGAAATAAATAGAGAGATAAAAAAGTCAGCTAGTTCAGATTCTGTTTATTTTGACAGTTTTCTTCAAAGCACTGAACACCAAAGATGCAAAATTTTCCCATAAAATTATTAAAATTTGATGTGTGCTGTTTTGTTTTAATGGTATATGATTTAAAGTTATCATTAAAGACATCATTTATGTCAGTACTCAGAAAAAACTACTATATTCTAAATAGTCTCATGATAACATGAATGACTGCAATGTATTATTAATGAAGATAGTACAATAATGACTTAAATTTACCATATGTTCTAGTTCTTTAAAAATTATTTTGTTTTATTTTATTATGTTTATTTTCATTGCAGCAATGACGGGCTATAGCCCTAGTGTCCTTGTGCTCAATGATATGTTAAGACAGCAGTTACAGCTGACTAAGTCCTTCCTAGGGGTCCAACAGAGAATATATCATTCACTTATGGGAACAATTAATAATCAGTACCAATACACAACATTGGAAGATACCAAAAAGGTATGTATTTTGATATGTTCTCCTTGTGTCAATGCAATTAGAAGAATTGAAATATGGCAAACATTTTAGTGTCATTGCCATTGCATTTTTGTTTAGAATTGATATGGTATCTCTAGCTTTGAGCTGTTGGAAAATAAAAAAAAAGTTACTGCTATTTTCCATCATAGAGATGTGCAACATGGTATGAAATAAGTGAAATGGAATTGTTTGTGTAATTAAAGCATCTGTTATGATATTTTCAGTATATTCAAAAACATCGGAAACCAAAGTTAACTTTTGATCAAGCATTGAAACTAGTGAAAGCAGAAATGGGGGAAGATGTCAGGTAGAGTTGGATTGCATGGGAAGACTTTCATGGATTATTTAAGAACGAAGACATTTTACATTGAAGAATTGGTAGATTTTGCCAGAAGAAAATAAAGCCAAAGTGATAGACCATCGGGTCTGGCTGAAATTACATCTAAAATGAACATGCTATTCCATTTTTGCCAGTGTAAAATATTGTGAGTGTTATGAACTCCAGATGCCACAAACAATTACTTTTGGGTCTGTTAACTCCACATTCCTCGCCAACATCCCTTGATTTCAAGAATTTAAACTGGAACTTTTTTATCTGTCAATGTGGTGAGTTGGCCAGCCAATGAAAGCTGTCAAATTGAGGCCTACTCTCTTGTGACCTTGACTGTTACTATCATAGGAAAGCTGGGAGAGCATGAGTACAACTCAAAAATTAAGCCGGACCCATCGAAAACCCCAAGGTCAAATAAGCCTTATTACTGACAATATAGGCCTTCCTATTGGTTAGAAGGTGTAAATTGTTCCGAAAAGACAAGCAGTTTTCCTATTTATTGATGACTGACGATAATTTGGCACATTTAGTGTTGTAATCAACCTTTAATATGTCTTAATTTATCATTGTATTATCAAAATCTATAAACAGAAATTACACTCGGAAAAATGGAAATGGTTTGAAATGATATTTAGGGGTACCTTATAGGTCCTTATAGACTATGATGCCTGCAAGAAAATATTGAATGAATATTTAAATATTATGATAAAATATTTTAAGGGCTTATTGGTGCTTACGAAATGTGATATTAATGATATTTTCAATGGAAATTGTAAGGTTAAACAAAAATTTACATATTATTTATGTTGTCTGAAAAATAATCAGCAAGCAAGAATTGTGCTAGAATAGTGAACTTCCACGAAATGGTTTCATCCTTTAAAATCCAATTTGCTGCTTTATTATTAATAAGAAATTACCCCAAGGCCTTAACTTTGAGTGATTTCTTGCTTTACTTAAATTTATTTTCACATCATCATTTCCTTTATGATCTATATTTATGAAACTCTGATGCTACTTTCAGTACTTTGTGTCAAACAATTATAAGAAAGGCTTGATCTGAACAATACCATAGAAACCATTTGTTATGCTGTTATTGTTTACATACCAACTGCTTATCTTTTACAGAAGTTTATTTATATCCTTTTATTTTGTGCAAATTAAAAGTCTAATAATATACATTTACTAAGTATACAGTATACTATAAGTATACTATAGTATACATTTACTAAGGATATGTTTAGTTTCTTTTTCAGAACAGATTAATGTATTTCTGAGTTAAATAATTTGAATTTAATTAATGTTATGACCTTTTTGAAATTCATTTGTCTTATTGTGTAAGCTATTCTGTAAAGTTTAAATTGTGTATTTTAATTTGTTGGCTTTAAACAAAATTACCCAAAGAGTACCAGAAGGAATTAAATAATCAATAATCATTAAATAAATTAAATTATTAAATACAAGCAGGAAGTAAAGCGTGTAATCAAATGCAGGGCTTAAGAATGCTTTTTTATCAACAGAAATGACGTTGTGTGCATTTATCTGTAGATAACATCAAATTCTTATATGGTTTAATTCCATCCACTTCCAAATGCATCTTGGATATGCTAATGTATTTGACAACATGCTATTCATTTAATTTTTTAAAAACTATTTCTTTGTGATAAAGTTGCTTGTATTCCACAGTTTAAGAAGACATTTGGATTTTGTAGAAAAATAGTTCATAATAAAAGAAGTGTTATGTAGCCTCTAGTCATGGTTAATTTTATGCAACATCCTGAATGATATATCACACATAAAATGAAAGAAAGAAGAAAGAAATTACTTTGGGGAAAGTGTCCACATCAACTTGAATTGGAAGGGTACATTTATTTTAAAATAATCAAAGAATTTGAGAATAAACAAAGAAGATTATGTAGTATTTACTTACAAACATTTGGTTCTCCATTATTATATAGCTCTTCATTTAACGTCTTGCTGCAGAATGTTCTGCATTCTTCCATACACCATTATTTACTTATGTTCTTATCTTTCAGGAAACAGTTATGTTGCAAGGAACTGGTAAGGGGAATTTTCCCTAAATGTTTGGACTATGCGCAAAGACCTATAGAAATCGCAAAGACCTATAGAAATGGGAGTGCCCATAAACACGATTGTGTCAGCAAAATTTTTATTTTGATTTGGATTATTCTTATTTTCTAGAAAAAGATCGTATTTCATCTCGTGAGTGCAGAGATTTTGTACCATAAGAAATACTTATATTGTATAGGATTTTAACTGTTTGGTCTTTGCCCAAATACAATAGCGTCCATCAATGTCAGCCTTTGGAAAAGTGAATAGATAATAGAGCATAGACTTTTAGACGTGCAAAAATGGAGAGCAGACAGCGCCATTCTTTACACCCAGGGATCTTTTAGACTGACATTCAATATAATACCATAGAGTTTATTTACCATTGCTTCTAAATATGATCACCAAAATTTTATCGATCTATTTATAGAACACAGGACTGAGCAAAATTTTTCAAAATGCCATTTAGTTGAATTTTAATTGAATTACTTATCATTATAGTCCATGTGATGTCAAGTTAGGAGATAGGCAAGATGACCCTCCGTGGTGGATTAAGGAAACAAAAGAGCAGTAGATGTGGTAATTGTTGTTTTAAACTAGAATTTTGATAAAAGTATTTATTAATAGATTTTGTTACAATATACAGGAGCTTTCATCAATAATGTGACAGGTGCTTATTTACTTGAAAATATTACCAATGTTAAGGACAATACTTGCTGTTACAGTTGTACAGCAGGCATTTGTGCCCTTAGTTGCCACTGAATTCATGTAAATTTTAATTGTTTGTCTTTGCCCAGATCCTCTATATAAATTTTTTGAAAAATTGAAAAGATTGCATAAAGCATAAGCTTCAGGGAATGAAAGGGTGGAGAAAAAAAGCAGGAACTGGTATGGGGATCATTCTTTAATTCTGTGAATTCATGGTTCTGACCTAAATTGTATATAAACATCAAGTTAATATTTATGACAGTAATAAAAATGCCACCTAATAAGAAAGCCTTTTTTGCCTTGGTCCCCAGTAAAGGTCACTAAAAATTTACCAATCTATTTATAAAATGGGTGGAGTAGAATAACCCCACAAAACAACAAAAGTGGGCATTAAAGTGTTCAGTGGAACGTGAAGTTATAGCATTGGCCATGTGACTTTGAAAAAGAGATGAAGGAAACTCAAAAAACAATAGATATGATAATTTGTGTGTTTAATAGTTAAGAAAACGTTAACCTTAAACTAGATAGGCCCCCAAAATCAAAGATAAAAATCCCCAAATATAATCTAAATTCAGAAAATTCCCAAATGTTTGCAATAACAAGGAAGTAAGTGAATAACACAAAGAAAAGAAACAAGTTATTGTCAATTTAGTTTAAGTCACAAAGTTATTTCTTAACCTTTTTTATGTACAGACACAGATGTGTCTGTACATATAGCCATCATCTGCGTCTGTCGTCGCCGTCATCGCCATCGTCGCCGTCGTCGCCGTCGTCGCCGTGCACTCAGCGATAACACGATAAGTGGAATACCGTTTTACATTTTGTATTCAAATTTACAGAACTGATGAATATTCATAATATGCAGGTCAAGTTCGAAAATCAGCATGATCGGACCATTTTTAGGGAAGTTATGCTGTTTTTTCACTTTTTTAGCATTATTTTAACACCGATAACACGATAAGTGAAAAACCTTTTTACTTTTTGGCTCGAAACTTATAAAACTGATGAATATTCATAATATGCAGGTCAAGTTCGAAAATCAGCATGATCGNTTTTTTTAAAAATGTGCGTACAATTTTTGCAGGTCTGGTTACCCCCCTGTTATGTGATGAGAGTATAAAATTGGCAATTAGTTCCTTAGCTTATTTAAATAGAATTGCAGTATAAAATTTTCAACAAGATGTTGGCGAAATAGCCCATTACTCTTTGTAGGTATTTCCCCCGTCAAAGTTTGTCTAAAATTATCTTTCAATCTTTACTCTTTCAAAGACAGTATAAAGTTACCTGACATATTTTCGTGTAAACTTAATGACAAGCCAAGTGTCTCCAGTTCATTCCGTACTCAATATTACCCAAGCCAATTTTTTTCTTGAGTAGATCTTTATAGCATGGTGTTATAAGCTTACAAATTTGCAAAAAAAAAAAAATTGCGTACTGACGCAGAATTTGCTTTTCAAGTTATAAAATAATCAATCTTTTAAATTATTTAATATTTCAGATGAAATAATCTTCAGAAACAAATCCTCAAAGCATAAACAAATTAGGATAACGAACAATTTTATTACAGCAGTTCCCATTTTTTCTTTAATATAACGCTCTTTTTCCTGTTTTTCCTCAACACTTTTTCTTCCATGGAAGCTTCAAGATACCCTGAGAGCAATTTCTTTTATTAATGTTCGCGACCGTTTTTGAACTTAATTGTTTAAGTATTGATATTTAACGTCATTTACAAATATCAATAAAATAACCCCATGAAATAAATGAGATATATTGAAAAATATGAAAGCCCACCAAGACGAGTTTCATACCTGTTATTACCTGGCTTGGGAATTGCAGCCGTGCAAAATTAACAGGTTTTATTGTTAACGAGCTCTTGGTCAACTACAATGAATTTAAAAATGCATCAGCAATTAGTAAGCTTGCCAACTGATGATAGTATCTAAAAGACTATCAGCTTTTGATATGATCTAAATCACCTGAGGTGACCGAGATCGCGAGGATCGCAACTATTGTCACCGAAGTTAGTAAGTTAGTCACGGAAGACCGTCACAGATAAAGAAAGATAGTCAAGGAGTGCTGCAATTTTGGTGAATCCCACGGCAACACACTGAGGCATAAAGAAAATTGCTCAACTCCGTTCAACACAACTTTCCAAAATTATTCTGTCTGTACGCACCATGCAGCTCAGTTGAGTCTCATCGACCTTTATCCCAATTGTCGTCACAGTACCGCGTGACCCAGATCTGTTGCTTCATTTATGCATATTGAGGTGAGGTTTACTAAAACGCTTTTTTACTACTAATAGATTGTTTTTATAATTTTTAAATGGCGGGGATCGATTAAAACATACCTCTAGTGTATAGATTGAGTGCTGAATCTTCAAAATTCGAGAAATGGATTTTTATATGACCATTGTCCTTTAAATAATGTTCTCAAATACAAGCAGGAAGTAAAACATGTGATCAAATGCTGGGCTTAAGAATGCTTTTTTATCAACAGAAATGACGTTGTGTGCATTTATCTGTAGATAACATCAAATTCTTATATGATTTAATTCCATCTACTTCCAAATGCATCTTGGATGTGCTAATGTATTTGACAACATGCTTTTTCATTTAATTTTTTTAAAACTATTTCTTTGTGATAAAGTTGCTTGTATTCTACAGTTTAAGAAGACATTTGGATTTTGTAGAAAAATAGTTCATAATAAAAGAAGTGTTATGTAGCCTCTAGTCATGGTTTATTTTATGCAACATCCTGAATGATATATCACACATAAAATGAAAGAAAGAAGAAAGAAATTACTTTGGGGAAAGAATCCACATCAACTTGAATTGGAAGGATGCATTTATTTTAAAATGATCAAAGAATTTGAGAATAAAAAAAGAAGATTATGTAGTATTTACTTATAAACATTTGGCTCTCCATTATTATATAGCACCTCATTTAACGTCTTGCTGCAGAATGTTCTGCATTCTTCCGTACACCATTATTTACTTATGTTCTTATCTTTCAGGAAACAGTAATGTTGCAAGTAACTGGTAAGGGGAAATTCCCCTAAATGTTTGGACTATGCACAAAGACCTATAGAAATGGGGATGCCAATAAACATGGGTGTGTCAGCAAAATTTTTATTTTGATTTGGATTATTCTTATTTTCTAGAAAAAGATTGTATTTCATCTCGTGAGTACAGAGATTTTGTACCATAAGAAATACTTATATTGTATAGGATTTTAACTGTTTGGTCTTTGCCCAAATACAATAGCATCCATCAATGTCAGCCTTTGGAAAATTGAATAGATAATAGAGCATAGACTTTTAGACGTGCAAAAATGTAGAGCAGACAGCGCCATTCTTTACACCCAGGGATCTGTTAGACTGACATTCAATATAATACCATATAGTTTATTCACCATTGCTTCTAAATACGATCACCAAAATTTTATCGATCTATTTATAGAACACAGGACTGAGCAAAATTTTTCAAAATGCCATTTAGTTGAATTTTAGTTGAATTACTTATCATTATAGTGCATGTGATGTCAAGTTAGAAGATAGGCAAGATGACTCTCCGTGGTGGATTAAGGAAACAAAAGAGCAGTAGATGTGGTAATTGTTGTTTTAAACTAGAATTTTGATAAAAGTATTTATTAATAGATTTTGTTACAATATACAGGAGCTTTCATCAATAATGTGACAGGTGCTTATTTACTTGAAAATATTACCAATGTTGAGGACAATACTTGCTGTTACAGTTGTACAGCAGGCATTTGTGCCCTTAGTTGCCACTGAATTCATGTAAATTTTAATTGTTTGTCTTTGCCCAGATCCTCTATATAAATTTTTTGAAAAATTGAAAAGATTGCATAAAGCATAAGCTTCAGGGAATGAAAGGGTGGAGAAAAAAAGCAGATCATTCTTTAATTCTGTGAATTCATGGTTCTGACCTAAATTGTATATAATCATCAAGTTAATATTTATGACAGTAATAAAAATGCCACCTAATAAGAAAGCCTTTTTTGCCTTGGTCCCCAGTAAAGGTCACTAAAAATTTACCAATCTTTTTATAAAATGGGTGGAGTAGAATAACCCCACAAAACAACAAAAGTGGGCATAAAAGTGTTCAGTGGAACGTGAAGTTATAGCATTGGCCAGGTGACTTTGAAAAAGAGATGAAGGAAACTCAAAAAACAATAGATATGATAATTTGTGTGTTTAATAGTTAAGAAAACGTTAACCTTAAACTAGATAGGCCTCCAAAATCAAAGATAAAAATCCCCAAATATAATCTAAATTCAGAAAATTCCCAAATGTTTGCATTAACAAGGAAGTAAGTGAATAACACAAAGAAAAGAAACAAAATAGTTATTGTCAATTTAGTTCAAGTCACAAAGATATTTCTTAACCTTTTTTTTCAATTTGAAAGTACAGACTTTTCAAATAGCACCTGCGTCTGTCATAGTCATTGCCATTGGCAAGCACTTTCAGAGACAACATGCTGTGTGGAAAACTGTTTTACCTTCTGTGTTCAAACTTACAGAACTGATAGATATTTATTAAATTCAGATTAAGTTTGAAAATCAGCTTGATAGGACCAATTTTACAAAAGTTATTGTTTTTTTCTTTGCTTTTACTAGTATGTATCCATACAGATAACTAATTAAATGAAAAATCCTCTTGTTTAAAACTTACAGGAGTGATCAATACAGGTCCAGTTTGAAAACCAACCTGATCAGATTACTTCTCTTGAAGTTATGCATTTTTTTTTTTTTTTTGGGGGGGGGGGGGATGTTCATATTTCACAGATTGGCATTTTCAAGGTGTGACTTTTAGCTTCCATCTTGGACATAATAACGTAATTTTGTCCATGCTTCCATGGACATGAGGACCTTTGCTAGTCACTTTTTCTAAATATATATGTTAACTGCTATGCATAATTAAAAATTGGTGGTGATTATGCTGTTAAGCATTATGTAATATTACATCAAAATTGACAAAAAAAAAAAATTTTGGGGCACTGCCACCATATTTACCATGTTGCTTATGATTCTCAGACTTACAAAAAAGATTCACAGGACTGAAAAAAGTATGTGTAATTCAAGGTCTATCACCAATATTACTTAATGTTTAATAATATTTTAATGAATTTTCATGAAAAATTAAATCTTGCAAACGTGGACAATTTTTTCTTAAAAGGAACCAAGAAGCGTTCCACCAATGGAAGAGGCTGTCACACTCCAGAAGGTATGAATTAAATACCTATGTAAATGGGGATGATTGATATGTATAGAACATATCATATTTAAGACCATCTTATTAGAAAGCTAAAAGATGCAGAATAAAAGAGTAGAAAAATAAGATATTTTGCACTAGGCATGTTTTTTGGCAGTTAAATGAACGTAGTTGCAGTTTTGCCTTTCATATTATCCCACCAAATAAACTTAAATTTCTGTCTAACAAGAGGATTTGATCAGATTAGACCATTGATTTTTATATAGATGGTATTTTTCTTCTTATTATTTTACATTATTTTAGTTGGTAACAGGAGTGGTTCCATGAGGGGATTTCAAGTTTTATCCCAAAATGGTAAGGCATGCTATAGAAATTAATAGAACATAAAGAATTGAAAGGATAGTGAAACTTTTCAGAAGTCAAGCAAAATAAACAACAATTTAACAAAATGTATATTTTTAATGCATGACTCTGAAATATTTAGTATAATATTAAGTGAAGGCATCATTCATGTATCTTTTTTATATGGAGAATTTATTATTATTATTATTATTATCGACCTGGCACCCCAAGAAGGGTTAGATAAACAGCATAATCAAATAGAACTTCTTACTTATAATATTAGTCATATAGATAAATATGAGGGATAAAGACAATGTTTGAAGCATCTTACATACTGCAAATTTGCATATTTCTTCTTTCATAGCATACGCAGGATTCAAATATGATTTGTTCATCTGTTACACTGATGAAGATGATGACATGGTTGACCGTAAGCTGATAAGTTTCTTAGATCAGGAACGCTCTGGCGGTGGACAAAATACATGCACATATGAAAAGAAAAATTTCTTGCCAGGAAGACATAATGTTGTCAATGTGTGCCAAGCCATGAAAGAAAGCCGCAAGACATTACTGGTCCTGACCTCCAATTTTGTGAAGACAGAATGGTGTAAATATGTTGCAGGATACAGGTTTGAAGAGGAATTCAAGAATCGTATACTCGTTGTTCAGCTGGAGGAGTGTAATGTAAATATGAATATATAAAATTACCTTGATTTTTTTATATCTTAATTACTTTTTGTCATAGGGACTATTACTAGTCCTGAGCCTGTTTTACAATACATTTAATATTAGCCAACAGAATTTTGCTTCCTATTTTGATTGATAGCTAGTCTCAATTTAAATTAAGTGCTGAATTGGTCACCAAAAATAAACCATCTTGAGACTGTCCAGGAACACAAACAGAAGCAACTTTAATGTTTCTCTACATTTTTGTCAAACAAATTCACATGGGCCATAAACTTTCATTGTGAGGCAATTTTGTTTTATATCAGAAATCCTTTATAATATAGAAACATTGATTTCTGTGTATATTTTAAGATTTCCAAAAGCCTTAGACAGTATATCCACGGGGTTGAGATCCTGAAATATGGTGAACCACCAGGAGATTTTTATCGAACCCTTCAATTTTTTATTGACCATGATATTGATACAAGTACATCATCTTCATTTGGCAGACAGCAACACATGGAGGGCAAGAAATATGACAGTATGTATTAAACATTATAATGTTTTTATTATTATAATTTCTCATAGTGTTGTTTTGAAGTAAAAAATTGTTTACCATACATGTACATTATTTACCATGTAGTCACTACTTTGCAGACTTAGAAAAAAAATTTTTTTAAATATTATTTTATTGACACAATACATCACGAATACATGACAATACAAAAACAAACAAACAAACACTCACTCACACATAAGAGATGTTATACTATATAACACTTTTAATTAATTACATCGTCGTACCCTAAATATTCAAATTGAAAATAACTTAATTATATTTTAATTGTACTAACAGATTGACTTATCTGTTTTCACCAGATATCTAAGCGAAGAAATCAAACCTCCTAATGTTGGTTTACCCTGTGAACATCTTAAATAGATATAAAATTTAAATTGCAACATAATGAGATTAATAATTGGAGAGAGGCTCGTAGAGCGACTTAGAAAAATTTATTGATATTCCATAATTAACCTAATCAGCTACTAGTAGATGATAAACAGGTGAATGATTCACTTTTGTTGTTTGTTGATCAGTATAGATATTGATCAAGGTATCCATGATGCCACATTAGGTGCTGCCAGCTCTCGATTGTGGTTGGGCGGAGTTGGTTGAGGGGGAATGGCATAGATAGGTAACAATAGCCTCCATCCCTCCCATACTTAAAGCTATGAACAACAATTTTTATACCCCCCCTTTGATCATATGGGGATCCAAGATATATTGCTTTGCACATGTCGTTCGATCAGTCCGTCGGTCCCTCAGTCCATCTGTAACCAGACCAGACAAGGAAAGAATGATTAAGTCTACATTCCTCATATTTGGGAGGGAGGTTTGTCATCATGTGTAGATGACTCCTATTATTTTTGAGGTCAGTAAGCAAATGGTAAAGGTCATAATGACCTTAAGCACAAAAAACTTAACTGACCAATAAATTAATAGAGTAAGATTTGGCCTATATATGGTCCTTAAATTTGGTAGGGAGGTTTGTCATCACATGTATATGACCCTTATCAATTTGGAGGTTTGCAGGTCAAACTTCAAGGTCACAGTCATGTTCAACACAAAAAATTGTCTGACTAATAAATATAGAGAATTATGTGGCAAATCTGTGTTTGACTATAACACCTCTTTTTCTAACCATGCATGTACCAAGCCCTAGTCCCTCTCCCTTCATAATGTAAAATTCTGAATATGTTATTAGTTATTTCTGCTATAAACCATTTTTCAGCTGGAACTGAACCAAACAATGATTATTATGGCGAGCAGTTCAAAGCAGCATTGTCAGATGCAAACTATTGCAGCCAAAATAATACAGGTACTTATACAGCTACTAGTATGATACAGTTTTGTAAACAGTACAGTTTTTAGGTGGTCATTTATAAATGGATATTATTTTGCTGCAAATACTAGTAAGTTGATGAGTGGTTTGGATTCCCCGAGCCTTCTCAAGTAAGTATCATTGAAGTAGGTCTTATTTTTTGTATAAGCATGTTGGAAATTTTGTGAAGCAAGTCTTCTTTCTGCCTCTGTTATGCATCTAGCTAGAAAAATTGCTCAAATACTGACTAACCATGCTGTTTTTCTTGCAGATTTGGTAGATAAAGCTGTCGCAGAAGGAAGTTTATGTAGCTTCAATAAAGATCCAGAGTCATACGTGGAAAGAATGAATAAGATGGTCGAAAACAGCCCAAACTATTTACTCCATAAAAAATCCTTAAGAAAAGCAATGCTTTCACAAAACTTAAACTGGGATATTCTGGCTGTTATTAGCTGTATTAAAGATGCAGATTTAAAGGAAATAGCTTTGAAAAAATTGGAAGGAGTTCTGCTGGAAAATGATCCTCTTTCTGATGAGCAGGCAAATGACAGGCTACTTGAGGCTGCTGTCAAAATTGAGCTTTCTTTGTTTTCTGAAACAAACAGTAACTTTTTGACAAAACGATTGTCAGTTTATGGATGTCTATTGACGTGCATTCTTTTGCATGTATGGCAGCAGCATATCTATCCACCTAGTCACTGGTTGTCTAGGCTAGGTGAAAAAGTTCTGCCATTTTTAGAGGATGCCAAACGAAGTAAGAGTGCTAGGAACAAAAGACAAAAATACACAATTGATTTTTGTCTGTTCGTCATACGCAGTTTGAGGTTTGAAAGTGGACCTGAAATGCAGGACCAGTGGAAAGTATTCCACAAATTTGTAACATCTGATGATATTTCCCACCATACCATTAACTGGAAAGATGTTCTTGGGACACATCTGATGAATAAAAACTCAGAGTGTTGGTTTTATTTCATTAAGGTGATTCTCCAGGCCTTCACAGGACTCCAGGTATATGTTATATTTTAATTCAAATGGGGGATGAGGGGTTTCTGGATACATATAGAAGTAATGGAGCCTCATTAGTCTTAGGGTAAACAGTTTGTTCAAATTCTGTATTGGGTTGAACTTTCATGGCTATCAAGAAAGAGGGATGCCCGACTGTCTGTCATCATAACTTTTAGACTAATGCACCATCAGACAACTGAACATGTACTGTACACCAATAACCTCAAATTGTTCTTTTCTTCTTTTGCAAAAATTGCAGTCATGAACAGCATAGAATTGCATTCATTAGAGCATTTGCTAGCATGGTTTAAAATTTTTGTCATTCAAGTTAATTTTGATGTTAATTTTAATTGGATTTTTTATGCACATAGGCAAGAAAAAAAGTACAGGAGACCAGAAAAAGAAGCTTTGCATGTCTTCCCCTTCATGCAATGGCATACATGCTGAAAAAGTTCAAGCCCAACTGCTTGTACCATGAAGAAACTATTCTTCAGTGTGCTCAAATTTTGAGCAGGATGGCATGCCAGCCAAAAAATGGTCAGTACATCAATAAAAAGAGAAATTCTGTATTGCTTATATGAATTTTTATTACTTTCGCATTAAAAAGAGAAATTCTGTATTGTTTATATGAATTTTTATTACCTTTTCAACAAAAGATTAATAGTAGTACATAAAATTGGTTTGTGGAAAATATTATTGACATGCTTTATTCAATATAAATGCTTACATTTAGACTTTTTTCTATATTTTATATCAGTTGGTCATTCCTGGTGTTACTTTTCATTGGTTGGAAATTATAAAACAGTTGTGTTATTTTCAGATCTATATGAAAATGACTAATAATTACATAAATACTTTTACAGTGATTAAGTTTCAAGCTTTTGTTCTACTTATGAGTAGAAATAATTCAGATAATGCCAATTTCATCAATATGTTTTTTAAAAATAATTTTGATATTTCAACTTTTTTCTTGGATCCTGAGTCATTTAATTTCAAAGGATATGTTTGAACGTATCAATCTTGAATCAATTTCATATCAATAGTCAGTATTGATTTTAAATCTCCAGAAATGGCAAGGTCTGTGGTGTTTGGCTGTACAGAAGCAGGTTCCCCAGATAATGGTCTTAGGCATCTGTTTGACACTGTTCAAGAGAGTAAATACCTCAAAGAAGCTCTTTCAGAAGTCATTAGACCCATCCTATCTACATCAGAAGACCAAACAATCAAAACTGTACTGCTTGAAAAAATCTTACCAAGAGATTGCAGAACAGAAGAAAAGAGGAAAGATTTAGTGATGACCGCAATTGTCGAAAAATTAACTGAGCATTACACCCTTATGGGTCAGAGTTTGGCAATTGACTTGAAGCCACAGTTGAGTCAAGCACAAAATGATATATTTCGCCTTGATGGAAAATTAAATGGAAACCCAGTGACAGCTGTTATTTTGAATACATTTAAATGTGGTGATGTTTCTCAGATTAAAAAGGAGGAAAAGCTGATCAAGAAACTTACACACAAGAACATCCCTAAATTGGTGGAAAAGATGGAGGGAGATGGAATTCCATTCCATTTTATCACTGAAAGAGCAAAGGGAGAAAATCTCCAGACCTTTCTTTTGCAGAAACGCAAAGATCCAGATTCATTTCCCTTGCCTGATCGCATGAAACTGGCAACAGGGCTCTGTGAAACACTTCACTATACCACACATTCAGAGTGTGTACTTAGAAACCTTTCTGCCCAGACCATCATGATAATGAAAGACGCCCGGAGGCAATATCAGCCTAAAATTGTAAACTTTCAGCAAGCTTTAACAGTGCAAGGAGGAAAGCTTGCACCAGGAACCATGAGAGACAAAATACCCGTGAGATGTTCTGCACCAGAAGCTTTCCTAAAAAATGAATTTTCAGAGAAAACAGAGGTGTACATGTTTGGATGTCTGTTGCTTGAGATTTTCACTTTGGGTAGCCCAGCCTTTCAGGAACTTGCTAAGCCAGAGGATGTTCAGATAATGGTTTGTATTATTTTTTATATAAAGTTCTGTAGAGAGTATTGGGGGGTGTCTGTTAATACCCCCTTATTGGCCCAGCTTGAGAAATGCCATAGTATCTATAGATGAAGTTTTGATTAAGATCACAGCTATTCCAAACAAAAGGCCATCCTTGTTACCTCCCTTGAATTTATATTTGTTGTAAATGTGTAGAACATATGACAGAACTGTACTATCCCTGATGAGTTTAAACCTGTTAATCTTATGTTTATTTAAATGTGTTTCTGGAAGTGACTAGCATAATGTGATTATCTTGTACTATATGTATTTATATTTTTTATTCAATTTTATTTTATGTTTCATCTACATTTGCACAGGTTGGCTGCATTGATTACAAAGTAAAGAAACCCCAGTGTATTCCAAGTGATATTTTCAATGTAATTTTGGCATGTCTCTCAAGGGCACCTGATAAAAGGCCTTCTTTTGGGGCCATACGCAGTTCATTGCAGGATATACTAAACAAGGCAAAAGGTATATCAGCAAATACCATGTATGCCATCTGATATGATATAACTTTTTGTAAGGGGTAGCCATCCCAACTGTCACCAACCATATCTTTGCATGTTCATCCTTCAACAAATTAAAATACCTGCTTAATTATCAGAATTATCTCATTACAACTGTGTGTAAAGGAAATATCTTATCAGTTTTGATATACCCTTTTTCGCAGCTCAAAAACGCCATGATCCAGAGGAGAACGGTTTCCCAAGGGTGCCCATGGCAGGGGATTTTCTCAAGGTTTGTGCACTGTTTTGATATTTGTCTATATTATTGTTTTAAGGAGTTTGTCTGTTTTCTGTGAACATAGGCTGATTTTATCATGAAAATATATTGGCATTAATATAAAAATTATCAATGAAAGTCGTTGAATAGTTCTCAAGCCTATATGAATTTTATAATACAGATAATAGGAAATAAATTGGACTAGACATTTTACTTAATCATTTTGCAAAATATATTGGATATTATTTTGCATTTTATAGAGAACAGAGGAAATTGTGACAAAAGTAAGCAGTGCCATTAAAGAACACAAGGTAGTTATTACACCACTGTAATTTTCATAAAAATTAAACAGAGTAGCCATCACTCCTTTACTGTGCACATCTTTTTTTTTTTTTTTTGTCTATAAAACAACAAATTGCTGAATCAGAAACAAAATGGAAAATAACACATTATCCTTGGCAAAGGTTTTATTGTTGGCCAGCAGTGTTGTTCACAACAAACTTATATAACGTTGATAGAAAAAAAACTTTGTAATATTTCAAATCTTCCATATGGCACAACCCCGATACCAATCAAATAATTGAAAAAAACTAAAATCTCTTTGCTCTTACAAATGGTTATGTGTGTTTTTGTATCTGTTTGAAGAATGCATATATATTTTTTTGCATGTTAGAACATTTGAAATGTCAGTTCTTTTTAAACTTATGAACCTATTAATGTCAGAGGTGAAAGTATTAGCAAGACAAGGAGTAAAAATAGAATCACAGTTCAGATGAAAAGTAATGAAATTTGCAAAAGAAATCAAAATTCATTTTGACAATGTTCAAGTAGTTTTGAAATGGAAACACTTGTATCATTACAGAAATGGATGAAGGGGCGCTTTGCTGCAAACTTGAAAGTAAGTAAGTTTTGTTTCAGGTATTCTCCACGAGATTTACCCACCAAAATGAATTTCTTTCAAAAACAGGACCATTTTTTGCCTACTCACATATCATTGCTTGACCCGTCCCTTTCACTTATATTTAAGGCCTTATACCATTTTTAATTTAATGATTTAGATCTAAATGACTGCCCAGTAATTAAGATTAACATGTGCTTTTGGCATTCGTGGGCATGGATATCAACTGCGTAATGAAGAATAAGTTTACTAAAAACGGACTTTGTTTAAGCAATTTCCTACTGAATAAGGAATTAACACCTAAAATATGTACAAGATCTGTTTCTTTCCTAGGTCACAACATTTCCAACACCACAAAAATCAGTGGAGAGGTGTTTGCTGGAGTGTAAGAAAAGAGCAAAACTAGTGTCAGGAAAGGTAAAAAATTTAACACCAAATAGATGCAGTATATATGATAAAATCCAAACAGTGTGCTGTGTAATTTAATGTTTTTTATTCATTCCATAAATAGTAAAACATGATTTGACTGATAAGAATCTCTTAGTCTGATAAGTCTCAGAAAACTCCTGCTCTAATTTGAAAAATTGAGCAATATGTTTCTGCCCAAAAATGAAATTTGTAGATAATGGAAAAATTAATTTTACACCAGTCTTCTGAACAAGCAACTTGAAATAGTAATATTTTTACTAGTTTTATGCAAAATTTACTGATCAGTAGCAAAGTGCACCCTTTATATATGTTTCCTCCAGTATTATTTGCAAAATCACCAAAGATTATATTTTTTTACAGGGCCTGAGAGAACACCTACCACCAGACCCAGCGCTCGTTAAAGTTCTGAGGAGCTTAGTCAGCTTTGGAAATGAAAACAGAAATCTGGCAGCCATTTCTTTCCCAACAGATGGAGATCTGTTATATGTATGTGTATGGGATGGTCAATTTCATTTCATGATGTTTTTTCATCTAAGTTACATTTTGTGTCATTTTGTTGTAATGTTTTACCCTTCCATGCATTATATTGTTAATCTTAATAATCTATTAATTTGAAAAGTATTTTTCATGTACCAACACAATGTGTTTGTACATATACCCATCACATTTTTTTGTAAAATGTTCATTTTTCACACAATTGGCATTTTCAAGGCGTGACTTTGAAATTCCATGGTTCTGAAGCTCTTTGCTATTACATTTTCTTACATACATGTTACCTGATGTGCAAATTAAAATTTGGTGTTGATTTTGCTGTTAAACATTATGTGATATGGCATCTAAATTGACCAAAACCCTGTTCTGTACACTTTAAATGTTATTTTCTGCATTGTGTCTGTATATTTGACAGTTTTGCTGCCTTGTTTCTGAAGAATATTATTTGACTTAAACAAAAAGTACAACAATTTTTGTATTTTTTTTTGTTCCCCTACCCCTAATTGATTAAGAAATGTAATGAAACTTTACATAAAAATATATTCTCTCATATTCTAATGGAAAATAATGTGTAGTATTGTTACTCATATTGAGAAAAATTTAGACTTTTCAATTTCTACACTAACTGAGAGCATACTTGTAAATTCTGTTCTCTTTTTGTTATGCATGAACAGGTAGAGATATCTACAGAAGCAAAGATGGACATTTTGGAATATATACGCGATAACAAAGTAGATGTTAATCAGATAATTGCATGGACATGTGACATTGGCGAAACTATGGATTTTCTTCTTGAGAAACGAGTCTTGCTTTGGGACATTCGACCAGAATGTATCTTCATGGAAAAACAGGAGGTTTGTAAATACATGTGTGTGTGTGTGTGTGTGTGTGTGTGTGTGCACGTGCGTGTGTGCAAAATATGTAAGTGCATGTGTGCATATTTTGGTGTGTGTTTAGTCAATAACATCATAGATATAAAACTTAAATTTAACCAGTTCTTTTATTTTATGACTTGTTACAGTACAGCTGTATATATTATAAAGATAAATATAAAAATTAAAGCTGCTAGAATATCAAATAAGCACAGTTCAAATCATGTGGCATGCTCAGAAGAAAGACAAGAGTTGGAATTGCTTCTACTCTAGATCTTTAATTTATATCCTTTATTATTGATCAATAAATCTTTGACCATTTTAGTGGGTCAAGTTTGAGTGGTCATCTGGTGCACACTAGATACTCTGAAGGCTTGCTAGCCTCCTTATTCAAAGCACCCCCTGCTCTTGTGAGTTTGTTTGCTGTTGTGAATGTTTGTTGTTGTGAGTTTATTTGGTGTTGTGAGTTTGTTTGGTATTGTTTGTTTGGTTTTGTGAGTTTATTTGCTGTTGTGAGTTCCTTTGGTGTTGTGTGTTTGTTGTAAGTTTCATGTGTGTTGTTGTGTCGTCTGTTTGGTGTTGTGAAGATCTTGTGTGTTGTTTGATTGGTGTTATGAGTTTGTTTGGTGTTGTGAGTTTGGTGTTGTGAGTTTGTTTGGTATTGTGAGTTTGTTTGTTGTTACTTTCGTATTGTATTGTTTGTTTGGTGTTGTGAGTTTGGTATTGTGTTGTTTGTTTGGTGTTGTGAGTTCAGTTGGTGTTGTGAGTTTGTTTGGTGTTGTTAGTTTATTTGGTGTTGCTGTACGTGCTGTTTGTTAGGTGTTGTGTATTTGTTTTGTGTTGTTGTGTAGTTTGTTTTGTGTTGTGAGTTTCTTTGTTGTTACTTGTCCCTAGTGTTGTGACTTTTGTTTGGTGTTGTGACTTTCATGTGGTGTTGTACATAATCCATACAAGCTTCAGACATTATTTTAATCAATTTGTTTTAATGGATTTTTCCATTTTCTTTAACTAGCCTTTTATATTCTATATTCATATTGCAGAGTCTAGTTAACATTAGTGGATTTTAGATTTAAATAAATATTATCATTATTATCATTGTTATTAACATGATTTGAGATTGAATTGATCATATGTATTTCATTTTACTTAAAGAATCGTATGATCCCTAAAATTACCAATTTTGGAAGATGTAAGCATCTGCATGCAGAGAATAATGCTGAAGGCAGTATCTCCGACCCAGGGGTGATCCCTGCAGATTTTGAGTGGTAAGTTCTCAAACAGATTTGAAGAAATTTAATGAAATAAATAAAAGTATAATTAGACAGGCATGCAAACAGACAGATGTCTTATTGAAACAATATTTATCACTTGCCTTTTTGAATCATGATGTAGATATTTTGTCAAGGAGGGGGGTCAGGAAGTTTTGATCGTGGTTGTATTAAGTTTTTGTTTTATATATCATTTCTCTGATAGGCCATTTCTGAATTCAATGTAGATACAAAGGAAAAGGTTATTTTTTTCAATATAAGAATATTATTCTCAGGTATCCAATAGAAATTCTTCTGGATTTGGATCATCCATACATCTGTTGTAAAACTAGCAGCTACATGCTAGCAATGCTCTGCTGGCAAATGTTCAATGAAATGAGTCCAAAGGATAGAAGAAGGCCTTTTGGTTGCGAACATGTAGATGAAGTAAGTTTAATTTCAAACTTTCATAAAATTTTAGCAAACTTTTTAATGTAAGACATGTTAGCCCTAATCTCTACAATGAGTTTTTTTACTTACTTAATAGTCACTTGATGTTTTAACTTAAAAGTTTTTGTAATATTGAGTAATCAGTTACCTTTGCTATATAACTTTTAAATCAAGTGCTTGTAATGATAACTATTCTTTTAATAAATATAATAGTTTTCTTTAAGTTTGGAACATTCATCGTTGCACCCCATAGCCAAACATCAAATCAAAGAATTTACAAAGCAATATCCATACCAACAAATGCATTTACTTGCATTGCCTTATGATTCTGATGTGGTGTGCAACTAGAAATATTATAAAACATTTTGTATATATAGCAGACATGTGTCATTCATGTGGCTCATTGCAGGTTTTTGTGTGTTCTCATTTTCTTAGGTGAAAGAACTGCTCCTGAAGAAAATCACACCAGAGCAGCCAACAGAATGTCCTGAGTGGTTATACCTTTGGATGAAAAAGGCCTGGAGAGATCTATCTGTCCGCCCTGCTTTGAAAACACTTATTGCTTGGTTAAAATCAAGGTAAAACATAAACAATAGCTCTATGCCTATGTCATTCAATGGCTTTGTTTCTTAGATATACATGTTCATGTGTGGTCAAATCCTTTGATAAAATATTGTATTTTTTTTTTTGTATAATTTCAGAGAGAAGTTAGAAAATGAATATTTGAAGATATTTAAGAATGCAACAGTTTTGAATGCTGTGACACTTACAGCACAGAAGACTTGCACAGAAGATGGTAAAAATACACATGATTCCACTGATAGATGCCTAGAAGAGGCACCTGAATACTACTTGCAGGGTTTAATATGGTTTAAACCCACTATGGAAAACACAAATGCCTCTGAAAAATCCCTTCTTCAGACATATACATATGCATATTGCAAAACAGCTACTGGTGAAGGTCAACATACTGGATGGCAACCACCAAATTATTATAGTTTTGTTGCAAGTCATAAGGAAGACGATTGCTCACTAAGTGGCAAGTGTTATGTTGGTGAGACAAAAACATGTCAGAACAAAAATACTGTGTCCCAAATGTCAAATTTATCGAACCCAATAATGGAAAAGACTGTCCAGCACCATTACTTATCAATCCCAAGTTTTCCAAGACCAGAGTGTGAAAATGGAAATACACTTGGAAATCAACAGGAGGATGTTTATGAAGATATTGATACAGTTATGAACAATAACAAACAAACTGATCAGGAAGTTCCCATTTTGACTGACATACAGAAATCATTACATATCAATGACAGTCCATTGATGATGTGCGCAGATTGTGCTTGCACAAATGGAAATGGTGAATACAAGACAACAGCACCACGCAACAGCATGACTGTTAACACTTCCCTTCCATGCGATGTTGAAAATGCCAGTGCATCGCATCAGAAGACAGACATGGCTGTTGAGGAATTTTACAATGATGATTATGACTATGTGGATGAATCAACACAATATGAAAAATTACATGCAATTAATGGGGAGAACACACCTTCTGATGATGAAGAACCAATTTACACAGAGTTAATTATAGATCCTATAGAGGAAGAGAACACTGAAAGTGCTGGCAAGAATTTCAGCACCCAACCTCAGAACTTACAGGAATTCTCCACTGTGGATCAGGAGGCAAACGGAGATGTAGATGTTCATAGAAAGGAAATTTGGAACCCATGTGAAACTGTGTGGAAGCGTGGAGAAACAGTGAGGTGCCCTATACAGCGAGGCAGGCGGCCAAAATTTAAGGTAGACAGGACCAGAACAGAGGAACCAGGATGTTGTGATTATGTCAATCAAACTAGAAAACTAGATCAATCAACTACAGTCAACCAAGAAAAGAACAGTAAACCCTCTCAAAGTTTACCCAAGACCAGTCCAGAAACATTTGCAAATGACAGCTTAGGTGATGGAACCTCAAACAGTCTGAACAGCAATTTTTCTATTAGAGATACTGATACTGCAGATGATTACGATGATGTTTTCCCTGCAAACCTGAGTAAGCTATCACATCCAAGGACCAAATGATATACCATGTCATGATATGAAGGGTGATATTCACAGGTGATTGTTTCTTTATCCTTGTCTGCATGGATCAAGAAACATAGATCTTGACTGATAAGACCAGGCGAAGACTAATTGATTGGGCTGGACGGCACCCAGAGCTTACTGCATGCACCCTTGCTCTGATAGGTCATGACAAGTAATAAGAGTAAAAAATGTTGACGCAAATGAATAGCCTCATAAGAGACACTGGGTTCTGTAGTGTTTAAAAAATGCAAACATTGATGGAAAACTGGGAGGAGTGGCACCAAATATTTTGTGCTTCACGTTGGTGTCCGATGCCCCCCTCACAAGAGACACTGGGTTCTGTAGTGTTTAAAAAATGCAAACATTGATGGAAAACTGGGAGGAGTGGCACCAAATATTTTGTGCTTCACGTTGGTGTCCGATGCCCCCCCCCCCCCCCCCCCGACTGGACTACACTCGACTCAGTTATCATAGGGCATTTCAGAAAAATTATTTATTGTAAACATTGATTGTATTGTTTTGGAACCAATGGGTAATTATGATAAAGATAATGAAATGCTATGAATTACCTTGCTCAATCAAAAGAAAGAAAATAAAAATATTTTATGATTAATGATGTTTTTGCATTCTAAAATTTTAAATATCTATATTTTAAATCCTTAAGGTGTGTCTAGAGTAAGTGTTACTGTTGTTATTGGGGCATCTTTTTCCACGCAGCAGTATTTACGCAGCATTTTGTATTATGAATCCAACTATAAATGCCATGAGAGAAAGCATTTGTCATAAGTTAGCAAAGCCACATATGTTTAGTTCTTAATATGTACATTGCACTAGAATATAGCCATTGATATATTTTGTCACAATAAAGATTTTTAATTTTGTAGACATCTGATTTTGAAAATATTTATAGTTTACAAAAGAAAGTTTTGTGTGTACATGTATATAATATTATATGCTTAGGCTTGTGACATATATGAAGTTTGAAGTTTCTAAATGAAGAAATGTACTATTTTAAATAGGTGTTATTATGCACAGTTTGATGTATTCTGATAATTTCTTACATATTGTCATCCATTGCCACAGAAATTGACTTCACAAAAAGATTAAAGATGTGATAACATAACAACAGGATGTAAGTGAAGATAACATATTTCAAGATGAAGGCTATAGGTTTCATAAGATCTATATATTTATATACATATTTCTATGTAGTTATATTTATGATTATTTATGTACTCTTGAGCTGCATTAATATTATTTATTTTATTGTTTATATTTATTCATTGACAGCATACCCTATACTTGTAGATGTCTGAAGATTGTGCAGTTTTTATGTTAATGAAACCACTGGTTACATCACCATAATGCATTACACTTTATATATTGGTTACATCACCATAATGCATTACACTTTATATATATATATATAACACATATTTTTTTTTTTTAGGAAAAACTGAGAAGAGTAAGTTCCTCTTACTTGACTCAGAACATTGGGCCTTCTCACCTACAAACATTTGCACACCATTTCTGTTTCACACATATGAAGTATTTGAGACTTTCAACAAAATTTTCATGATATTAGTAAAATTATATAGCAAAATTGTTTCCTTTAGTATGGTTTATATTTCTTTGTATTGAAGACTTTCAAAGTAAATGCCTTTAAAGATCAGCACCTACATCAACTGTACATTGCCTCACTTTCCATCAGTTGTCAGAAGACTGCCCCCAGAACCCATAATACAATACCATAGCTTTCCGCAAGGCAGATGTCTGAAGCCTATGCTCCTGTCACATTATAGCAATGTTCTTTTTCATATTAGTCAAATAAATTATTAAGACTTAACAGTAGGTTATGCAATTTAATGGACACTGCAGGGCATAAGATTTGTTATAGCCTTGAGTAATGTTCATATGGTTGTGAAACTATTTACGAAATGGTGAATTTCATTGCAACTTAAAATGAAATGTTAGCATTTATGCTGTTATAATGTACAAGTATGAATGTGATGCTTTTTATTCTTTATATTCCTTTGTTTAAAAACTTTTTACTGTTATTTTTTACATAAAACTTATTATTAAAGAGTTGCCACTTAACTGGCATTTTTACGGTTATGTAGGTAAAATAAAACACAGGTTTTACTTAAGTCTTTTTAATGGCTCTCATTGAAAACTTATAAAAATATTTGACAGCTGCTACTATGTACAATGTGATGAAACAACCCTGGTGATATGGTTACAAAGAAGGTTCTGTGCCAATCAAATGCTTTAAATATACAGTGGGAGTCTTAACAGTAAAACCAACCCAGGTCCTGTGTACAAATACTTCACATAAAATACTGTTGGTTAAACTGACTCTTGTGTCAGTACAAATGAAAAAAAAAGTGCATAGCCATATCAAAATGATTTACATTGAGTCTATACATTATTAAGAACTATACAACATTGTTTGAATTTTAAAAAAAAATTAAAACAAATGAGAAATATGCATTTCTTTAATGTGTCACATGATCCTCATATTATCTCATCACATTCCTATTCAATATTAAAAATATATATATAAAACCTTAATTTTCCCCCTGGCTTGCAATGATCTCATATGTAACATAACGTTTCCACCTGAATTGAGTATTTCAATAAAAATAGACCACAGTTACAAGGTAATTTCATTTATGAGTACAAGCGGTTTGTGGCCACATGGTACAAATGTAGTCCACATCAGTTTTAGAACCTATGGACTAATATAATAACAAACATAAGTAACAACGCCTCAAAGTAGATTATTGCACACTTAAATAACAGTATGATGGAACAAGAACCTGATGAAATGGGAAAATGAATAGAAATTACACAAATAAAACACTTCACACAATGATGCTCAAATTTGAATTTAAAGCTGAATTTCAACTGTGGTCAAATCTTTTTTTTTATCAAAAGGGCCATACAGTAGCATACAGAATTGTTTAACAAGACTGAATGCATTTAGAAAAAATCTGCCCTTTAATCGTCAACTTACAATGTGAAAAAAAAATCATCTCATTTTTATCTATATTCACAACATGGTTTTTCTTTGATTTGTGGTTATTGTTCACAGCTATGCTTTGTATCAACAAGAGTAAAGTACTGATACATGAAAATGAATTATTTGTTCTTTGTAAACCACCTCATAAATATATGGAAGTGTGCACTTCAGATCTGATATTAAAATTGCCCCTAAATATAACTAGAGACCAATCATAACCTCTGCCACAGTAGCTTTTTTAAATGCTTGTTTTGATATATGCTTAGGAACACATATTTCTTGAATGATGTCCAATATTGTAGAACTTAACAACCAGATTTAACCAAGAGCACAGCCTTAGTTCCCACTTTCCTTGAACAAAAGCTGATATCATCTACAGTGAAATCGTCTGACCATCAAGGCATATTAGGCATCATATTCATGTACGGCTGATTGGGCATGTTACCTGCCATGTTTGGGGGAGGCATCTGGCGTGGACGATTTTGTGCATAAAGTTGCTGTTGGAACTGGTGAAAATTGGCATTGTTATAATTTGGATTCCCACCATTAGGTGGCCCTAGCATACCAAAGTCTTGTGATCCCATCCTTGGAGATGGACTCCAACCAGGGGGCATCCCTGAGGAGCCCCCTGGAGGACCTCCTGGCATCCCCATGGGCAACCCCGATCCTGGACCCATCCCACCAGGTCCTGCTAGAGGTGGGGAGTGCATCACTTGGTTTCCTGGTGGCATTCCCATGCCAGGCTGTGGTCCTGGACCATTGTGGCCAAAAGGTGGCATGTCACCCCCTGGCCCTGGGTTTCCAGGCATCATCCCCATCATCCCCATATGCTGACCTTGCATGGCTCTACCTCCTCCTCGGCTCATCAGAGGGAAGCCCTGGTCTTGGGGCCCATCTGGGAAATAACTGAGTTTAGAAGAAGGTACTTTAGAGTCCATGTTAGCCAGTGGATTAGAGAACCTCTGCATCATATCAAAATGCGGCTGGTCTGGTGTTGGCCCTCCTGGTGCACCTGCCCTGATATGTGCTGATGGATTGGACTGAGCAGGAGGGTTGGCAGGAAGGTACTGAATGGTATTGGGTGCCTTGGCTTGAATCTTCACATTAGCATTGCCCATACCCTGGGGAGGTGGACCTGGTGCCCTGTATCCTGGAGGTGTCTGTTGAGGTCTATCACCAGGTCCACCAGGAAAAGGAGGTCCCCTAGGCCCAGGGTAAGATCCCATGCTTTCGGGTTGACCTGGAAAATGACCTCCAGGTCCCTGGAAGTGACCACTGCTGTTCTGGGGCATTCCATTGGGAAATGACCCCATGACCATGCTGGCAGATTGGTGGTTGGTTGGTGGAAATCTGCCCATCATTCCCTGCTGGCCTCCAGGAAAGTTCCCCATTCCTGGTGGAGAATCAAAGAACTGTCCTGGCCCCTGAGGTGTGTGGGGAGGGCCTCCAGGGAAAGGCCCTGAATTTTGTCTGCCCATAGGCCCAAAATCTTGCCCTGAATCCATGAAAGGCCCACCAGCTGCTTCTGGAAAAGGCCTGTGAGTAGGATCACCTTCCATTGTGCTCATGAATGGATGCTTTTCTGATACTGACGTTGCTGTCATAGCAACACTACTGTGCGGCATTGTGGGTGCCATAGACATTGTCATTTGATTCATATCATTATTCATTTGCTGCACTTGCATAGTGGGATAGTTTCCAGGTGTAGTCACATTTTGAATGTTCAACTGTTGTATTGACATTGTTGCATTTACGTATGTATTGTTAACGCTAGGAGTCTGTTGTGATGTGCCACAGCTTCCCTGTGGCATTTGTCCTTGGTTTAGATGATCTGGGAGGGGTGGGTGACCAGCAGTATTGGAGCTGGTGGAGCCTCCCACACTTCCTCCCTGGTTAGTACTTGCACTCTCCTGAACACTAGTCATTTGACTCTGAATTTGAATGTTATGAAAAGGTCCACCCTGCATCATGTTTTGTTGCATTTGATTGGATAAATGTTCCACTCCTTTGGCGAGATTAGCAAGACTGGCAGAGGTGATGTTGGACATAGTGGACTTTGATGATGATGTGGTAGATGTGGATGTTGCACCAGCAGGACTGCTGCTGACCGGCGGAGGATCAAAGTGGGATAACCTACGACCACCAGATGTCACCGACCTAGGAGAGGATATTGCTTCTGATGCTGGCATTGGGCTTTGGATGGATTGTGCCTGGCTGCTCTGACCTGTACTTGATATAGGGCTTGGCAGTGGTGCAGCTGTGGACATTGTAGGTGTGCCTGGTAAAGAACCATGCCGTGACCTTTGACCGCCTTTGGAACTTTGCACTGGCCCTGACATTGGGCTTGCTATAGACTGCAGTGGTGAGTGGATATTCTGGTTGTGAGGATACTGATCTGACCTTGCTTGTTTTTGTGCAGGAGAGTCTGGTGGACCCTGATAAGCAGTGTTCAATTGTTTGGTTATTGTTAACTCCTGGCCTTCATACTGATTCATATAATTCATTTGTTGCGGCGATGGAGTTGGTTGAAGATTTTTGTACAAATCTTCAAAATCATCCCTTTCTCTTTTCCTCTTGGTAGACTGGGCATAGCTTGGTGGTGGTTTTGGAGGACCACTGACACTGGAGACTGGAGGAGGAGATGTGATCTGGAACTGCTCTGGATTGCCTACTTTCCCTATCATCACATTAGCATTCTTGGGTGGATTCGGTTGCCTCATCATGGGACCCATACCAGGACCAAAGTTCTGCCCCATATTTCCCATCATTTCTAAAGAATTCCCAGGAGGGGGAGGTCCCTGAGGTCCAAACATCTGGTCAGGCATTGGGTGCCTGGGTACTATTCCTCCCGGACCAGGTCCTGGGAACATGAAGTGGCCTTGTCCATCAGGGCCAGGTGACATATGACCATGTGGGGAGGTTAATGCTGGCCCTCCAGGGTGTGGTGACATCATGGGTCCACCATGGTGAGGGGAAGGTACAGGGCCACTGTGGTGGGGAGATGGCATTGGCCCCCCTGGGTGTGGGGAAGGCATGGGTCCACCTGGATGTGGGGATGGCATTGGGCCACCAGGGACTTGTCCACCTGGCATCATACCTCCTGGCATAGGTCCACCTGGCATCATCCCTACAGCTGGGTCAGGAGACTGCATGGGGCCTCCTGGGAGAGCAGGGGATGAGGTAGGGGACAAGGGAGGCATTCCCTGTCTTCGCTGAGATATAGAACTGTAGTAAGATGGAGGAGGACCCTGGGCAGAGTTTGGAGGAAAATTCATCCCTGGTTGACCTGGTGGTCCTGGTTGTCCACCTGGCTGACCATACATCTCCTGCATTTGCATCTGCTGATACCTCCTCTTCTCCATATAGAACTGCTGCTGTAGCCTCATCCACTCTCTCTGTGCTGCTGCCTTGCTAGGCAGTCCCTCAGCATTTTGCATACTGACTGTCTGCTGTTGCATCATCATATTTTGCTGTGTTGTCATCATACCCTGCTGTTGACTCATCATAGATTGTTGTGACATCATACTCTGGTGAGAATACATAGCTCCTTGCATACCCTGCATGTTCTGTGCCTGCGATGAGGCTGCTGCATTACTTTGCTCTAAGCCAAGCATCTGCTGAATCTTCCGTAAACTGGCCAAGTGCTCTTCTCGCCTTTGCAGTTGCTCAGGGGTCAAGTTTTCATTGGGGACTTTGCTCTGAGACAAATTACTGTGCATATTAGCAAAGTTCTGATTGGCCTGTGCCATCTGTTGTAAACTGCCCATGGCAGACTGTCCTCCCCAGGGTCCCATCCCAGGGCCTGAGCTTGGGGGACAAAAGTCTGGGTTTAAATATTCTCCACTCATACTCATATTATTTAAATTTGGTGGCCCAATAGGGCTAGAGTTATGAGGTTGCTGCATCCACTGTGAGTTGGGTGCCATACTGTTTGCTGGCAACATTGGATTGGATGACTGCATTGTACTGGGAGTTCCTCCCTGCATCTCTGCCATTGTGTATATAGGCATCCCTGATGGACCAAACTGGTTCATCTTCATTGGCATTTTCTGCAAATAAATATCAAGACATCCGTTTGTGTGAGGATTAGATAAAAAAAAAGAGCAAATTGTATATGTAGGACAGCAATGAAAAGTTAAATGGGCCTCAATTTTCTGCTTAATGACTGTTCAATGTCATTTTAATGACTGAAAAAATTAACACTTGTCATTACATGACTTTAGTCTTTTACAAGGCTTCCAATTCATTCATTCATTCATTCAATACCTCGTATCAGCAAAAACACAATCCATAACTTATACATGCTTTGGATTCTGTCTGCAATGTGTAGCCTATCCTTGTATCTTTAGACCAACCAGCAAACAAATGCACAAATAAATGGAATCTACCAAACAGAAGCTCATTTTATGATCCATTCTAGTCCAAAATAACTTCTCAGGTGTATTATCCCCAATGGCACATATCCACTGATATATAGGCCACCAAAGAGATCATCTCTCCCCTTGCAGCTTCCATAGCAGTTAAAAGCAGGCAGGTAATGGTAATTACTCAATTCTGATTTATTTCATAGCTCGGTAGGAACAAGTCAGTTACCAGCACCAAACACATCACTTCTGGCATACAGATGAGTTGATGAGATATCTTTTTTGTGCCGATGTCTTGGAGTACTCTCACATTTATCTTATAAAGTGCAGTAAAATTTGAAGAGAAAATGTGCTGTGCACTCTGAATAATTGCCTTTAATCATGACTATAAATCTAAGCCTGACTAACAACTATTTCATTATGTTCCCCGCACTACCTAAATCTCTTTTGCACAACCTGAATAATGTATGAAGCAAGATATTGCACTTTGAAAATTGTCTCCTATCCTTCAGTGTGTCTGTCATCTCATGTGTGAAACAGTTGTTTATGTTTGTGGTTCTCATCCATGAGTTGCATTTGCATATAAAACAGATGAACTGTGAGGTCGATGAATGTAAAAGCAAACTGTAATTCTCGCTGCAAAATCCTATCCCATCTTTCAAATTTATATGTAGCGATGATGTGTTAATGTCTCTTTCTTACAGTCTCCAGAGTGACCCCCCTCTGTTCTACCTTGACTATGAAATTACTTCTGTTGACAAATGGCTAGCTGCAGAGCAATAAATATCCCAGACAGCTTTGCCACAACTCACTACCTCCTGGCGCACATTATGTTGTCTGCAAAAATTAACATCACTGTCACACCAAAAGCAATTACCGTCTTTTTTCCCTCTATTTGAATACAACGCAGAGTTGTTTAATGAAGCCTTGCATGAAAAAGAGTTGCATCAAAACTCAAAGATTTTTTTTTCACTCTAGTTTAATTAAGTATGTTGGGTTCTTGCTATGCAACATTCATCATTTTGGAAAGACAGTTTTTAAAATTAAAACATTATTATAGGGATGGATTCAATTTTGAGACCTTAATAAAGGAGGAAATACTTATTTCAAACCATAATTTCCACTGTAGCCCTGATATAAGTTACATAACAAAATATATCCCTATATCTTTGAATAACTAAGATTCCTATCCATTTATAAAATGGGTTTATAACCCAAATTCCAAATCCTTAGAAAAACAATGCATAACAATTTTGAAAGATTTTCGCTTAAAAAAGACCCAAGGTATTGGCATACATAGGTAAAAGTCCGATAACAAAATCATTCCAAAACAAAATGCTGGCATGAAGTGTTTTACAGTCTTCTTAGTAAAGGCTGTCCTTCTGACTTGAGACGCCTATACCCAGACGATAATTATATTTTCCAGAAAAATAGGGATTCATCCTTTACTATTAAGGTTACAAAAGAACAATGAAGCAAAAGGTGTGCCTCCGTTTATACAGAAGGGTGAGTGTCCTCTACAGCCATACTATTGCAAAAACAAAGTATCACCACATCTGGGACTTAATATGTGAGAAAGAGTAAAGTGGTCCAAGGGAAAATTGAATAAATGCACTTTAAGTACAATATTTCTGAATGTTGGGAAGACAATTCCTAGAAGAGGTCAGGACAAGGACTTATTCATTTCAAAGGGGGTTAAAAGATGAATGGGTGAAAAGATGAATACTCATTTAACATATTTAGGAGAGGTTTTGCTGAAGAAATGCTATACTGAAGGATTTTTGTATTACAATTCCGTTTAAAAAAACAGGATGACCACAGAGGGCTTTTCATCTTGTTTGTAAAATATTAATGACATCTGTGCAGAATGCAATCCCATTTACTTTCACCTTCTGGGTATCATAATTAAGACAAAGTTGTGAAAGTAGGTAAAATCTATTTTTAATTCTGTAACCCTTTACCTGCAATGTTTCCTTTGTTCCTGGTTGATCCATGTGAAAGGCAAGAATAGATTTATATTGTCCATTCATCACAGCCTCAGAGGCTTTGTTGGCCAGAGATGTTGAGAACACAAATATCTGACTTTGCTGTTGCACAAAATTCCCTTCCATTGTGGTCATATTTTGTCCCGGTTTCATCCCAGCTGCCTTGACATTTTTGGCAGAACTGGTGCATGGAGTAGTGACAGCAGGTTTTACGTCTGTAAAAACAGTGGGGGAAAAAATATAAGAGTTGCGTCAATTTATTTTATCAGACATACAAGAAAATTGAAGGGGTTAAATGTGATGTAAAACAAATTATTGTTAGATATTATTTGCAGATTCTCATAAACATCTGCTGGCAGATATTTTATCAAATACATTTAAGTGTGACATTTGAGCTATTATAGAACATCACAAAACCGCCTGTTTGTATATTTTGTCCAAATCACAAGAATCAGACATGAAAATAAAATACATTTTGCCTTTGGCATCTATCTACATGGAAGGTAAAACAAGCAAAATCAGCTAACTCCAAAAACTACACCAATCTGATCAGAGCCATGCTTTGGTAATTTACCCCATGCCCATCTCATTGTGCCGCATACGTATTAGATCTTTCACCTTAAACTGGGGCTTCATAAGGTCAACCTGTGGTTCGGGTGATATTTAAATACACCTAAACATTTTATTCAAGACACTCTTTTTTACAGTTCACTACATTCACACATCATGCGAGTTTGAAAAAAAGTTGCCGGTGTTAATGTTTGGCAGATATGTACACATTCTCTCCTCTTTTCTGTAACTATTGAATTAGATAAATTCAGGATATTACAGAACAGGATATTATTATATTGAGGAGTTTGGTTTTGAATTGGATAGGCAGATAAACATTGAATATACTATATCAAATAGAATAATGAAGTAATCTTGCTAATTCACAATCATAATTGGGATATCCAATTCCACAACAATGCAAAGGTATGTGCAGGTTTGTTTTTTATGCATATCTAGCCAGGCGTGCATGGGTATGAAGGTTCCTGCACACTGGAATACAATTGGAATTCCATTTAATCAAACTCACCTTGTACGGTGCCATTTTCAGCCTTGACCTCAGAAGTAGAGTTGTGCATATCTGTAAAAATGCAAAAAAATAAATAAAATAATAATAATAATAATAAATAAATATAAAATAAAAAATAACAACCATTTTTCACTCGTCATCAAACAATTTGTAATACTTCAAACAAAATAAAACCATATTTACACGTGTGAACTTCTTTCATACATACTTTATAATTGTCAAATTGATTGATATGATAAAGAAATGTGAATAACCTTTCTTATCTGTCCCATTTGTTTGTCCTGTTTCAGCGCTTGCAGTGGCTGGAGCAGACTCCATTTTGAGAGCTGTGTCAGCCATGTTGGGCTTGTCTTTGTCCTTTTCGTGCAACATTCTAGTCACATCTGCAATTTGTCGTTTGAGGATACCGTCCTTGTGTAAATCTGATGCTTCAGAATTGTCTGGATTTGATTCTCGACTCTGAAATTGTTATCAGCAAATTAGCAGAGAAAAAGACACTTTTATTGGTATTCTCAGCTTCTAACTCTGGCCTTAAGATTTATTGACAAGTCATCATCCTCATAAAATATGGATATAGATACAGGAAGAATGAAAAAACATTACAATAATTAACAGCATTCAATGTTTTTACCATGAGCAGTCAATATAAAGCAATTACAGCAATTTGAGTTTTCTACTGTTCCTTGTTTTGTATTGTTATTATGCCCAAACATATTAAAATACCTAATAAACCTATCATGTGGCTAAATATGGACCTTTTGTGGAATTCAACATTACATAAAATCACAACACAGCAAAAAATTAAGAAAAATACTTAGCCACAGAAACACAGCTAAGGGACTCCTTTCACCAATTTAAACTGTCAAAGTAAGTGACAGAAAAGACAAAATCTACTGAAATGAGTAGAGCTTTACCAATCAACCAATCAAACTGATGTATTAATTTTTTTTTCAAAAAATTGTTGGCCTTTTAGTACCAATATGTAAGTACCTTATCATTAATTTTTCTACAGTAATAATATTCTATATAAATAGTGATGAGCACTGAAATCTAAATACTGCTATCACAATCTTTTAACTTATACACTGCATGTTACACTTTTGTGGGTTCATTCTCTTTGAAAAACTACCCCTCATGCTGTTAACATTATGGCTCAATCTATTTCTGAAGACTGCTAAATTCCTAGTACCTGTGACACCTTTAACAAAAATGTCTACTTACAAAACTCACATTTCAGTTACAGCATAAAATATATAACAAGTAAAAAAAGAAAGACACTTGTACTGATTATGATCTATACCTGTAAACTCTCACTCAAATAAAATAAGAAGAGATTCTGAAAACCATCAGATAGCTTCAATGTACGTCATGACCCAACTTGCAAAAACTAACCACAAAATCACCTACGTCCACTGGTTTGACACTTCTGATATTAGCCTCCAATTGCTTAGAAGACCAGAGGAATACAATTACTATGACACAGCAACAGATACAGTTAATATGGATCATTTCCCAAAGACAATTTAAATTAAACATAATTTTCTGCAATATCGCTTTTTTTAGCAACTTCCTATGAGGGTGAAAAGCATTATTGGCTCTTATGATTATTTCATTCTGTAAAGATTTGTAAAAATTATGCCACATCTGCCGGTATTGAAATACTGTTCTGTGTTCACCACTGATGGTGAAATCCTTTCCCTATACTGATTGTGCAACATGATATGATAGAATAGAATTTACTGGTAGAGATTCTGTTCTAATTGGAAATCAGTAGTTTAGGTAATACATACACACTCACAACTCTTCTGACTCTTCTTCTAACTATAGGCCTCTTTCTACAGGTGTAAATCTGAAGAAAGAAGAGAAACAATACGTGACTCTCACTGAAGATTTACAGACGTCTTTTGTGAAACAAAGAATTCATGCTGGTATGGAGTTTTGCAGAATTGTTAATACAGTACACTGCGCCTTCTGCTGTCAGTATACTTTAAGGAAATCAACTTCATCAAATTTTCTAAGGGCAAACTTTAAAAAATTTACTAGAGTTTACTTAAACTTCACTAAATCAAATAGGTTCCATTGAAATGAAGCACAGAAGACTTGTAAATCAAACATCTCTAAAGACATCTCGAAACTGAGAAATTATCATCAAGAAGCTTCGAATCCATGCATTTATACCTCCACATTAATACACCCAGATACCAGTATTCCACTGTGAGAGAACCTTTGGGAACAATAAATAAGGGCCTGATATTGCCAATGCCATGTACTTGGGAAGAAAAGTGCCTCGTGTTTAATTACCTCGAGCTTCTGTTTCTGCCCAAGGTGACAGATATTGACTAGCTAATCTGTTTGGCTGCTCATTAAACAAATCAAAGGGCAGGATAAATGGGTGAACCTAGCAAGACATATAGCATGCTTGCTATGCTTCTCTTATAAGCTTAAGTGACTTACACTGTGTACAAGGTACAGGTTACAATTAAATGAGTAAACTAATCCAATAGAATAAAACACTACTTAACATGTTGGCTGCCGCGTTAAGGGGGGGGGGGGACTGACAGGGCGGTACATTATCTTTGACAAAAGACAAAAAAGCATCACGAAGTAATGTTAAATTTTCGAACTGATGTTACAAAAGCTACATGTCAACTGTTTGCATAACAACACAAGTTTGTAGTCTAGCATACAGCCGCAATGTCACTGAGATCCTTCGTGCTGTTTTACCATTATGCACTGCCATTATTACACCTTAAGTATTATATCATAATAATAAAACGAAACTCCATTACAGTTTCAAATCTAGACTGATTCCTCAAACAAAAAGGCTAATATGGAAGGAACATGCTTTCAAACAAGTGCATCCTATTAGATAAGAAAAAAATCTTTTAAAAATGGGACTCAACTTGCAAAAAGAGTCTGTGAGCAAGGAAAGAGAACCTTCCACGCAACAATTACTCCATGTCTGACATAGTAGAATTCAAATCATTTCAGTCTGTTTTAGGAAGGAACAGCAACTCCTATCCAACCTGCCATGGAGAAAATGGCAACTGTGACCGATAACATAAATCAATATCACACGAGATAGATTCAAATAAACAAACCTCGACACAATGCACTCAGTCTTTTCAGTCTAAATAATAACAAGACAAAAACCCTGGAGCAGATCTTCCACGTGTCCCCAGCCTGTGATAACTCTGCACTGATCAACTCTGCGACGACGTGCCCTGTCCCAGATCGCTTTCATTGCCATTGCATGCCTAACACAGGACTTGTGCAACTTACACTTCCATTAAGAGGTACAGAGTGCCCCAGTTAAGTGGTACTAGTGCTACCTGTTAAAGAAAACAACTGCAAGAACTATATAAGCACTAAGTTCTTTAAAAGAGGTCAAGAAATTGAGGAAGAAATAAATAAATAAAGAACGGAGGTTAGGGTGATATGTTGCTCTTTTTCATCTCTGTGTGACACGCAACTCTTAGACACAACTAAAAATGTGCTTACTTTGGAAAAATAATGACTCGTTGGTGACAGTAACATTGCAGGTTATTCTAACTGAATATAGATGGTTAAATTTGCACCACTGAGACTTTTTAGCATATACATCAATAAAAAGTTAAGGGCAACAAAGAAAAACACAACTGTAAACTAACATTATCATAATTTAACTCTACCACTTAAAATCCAAAATATTCAAAGTTTGTAAAGTACTGCTCACTACCCAGTTTATTTTTTTCTTTTTTTACTTAAAGGACAGATGAGGACATATAAAACTCATCTTCATCTAGAACTGCTCTCCACTTTACAGCAGATGATCAGTACCTTGCTGCCCTACTTAACCCAAGTGCAATACATACATATTAATAGCAGAAGAGGTGTGGACTTCCACTTGCTTCAAGTGCCATCCAATACATTCAGAACAGCTGATCCATGTTGTATCCCTAACTAAACACAAGTGGAGCACATGCACATTTACACCAGCTCATCCGTGTTATGACATCTATAACTTATTATTTTAAGTGGGGCATGTGATCATTAATCAAGACCAATATGTGTTACATTTTAACCAACAGCGATGCACCATATGCTTTTTTCAAAGCACTTGATACTAGTAACTTCACTGACTAGCACCACTGTATCATGTTACGCCATCTAACTTATTACTGTAAGTGGGGCATGCAATCATTAATCAAGACCAATATGTGTTACATTTTAACCAAGGGTAATGTACCATATGCTTTTTTAAAGCACCTGATATTTGTAACTTGACTGACTAGCACCATAGCATCATGTCTAACTGGCTCACACCAGTTCTCGGCACTTAACAGGATCTACACATTTGTTTGAACTGATCCATGCGGCCTTTTTAGTACAAGTGCAACATATACACATTAATAACAGCTGATCCTTGCAGCTTGTCACTACTACTTTACCAAAATAACCCAATACTTCTTAATGATAAAACCATGAAACTGAGCTTTTTTCCTCACTTCTGCTCCCTTGTGGAATCGGAATCCATTTCTTAGGTGCCTCACGCTGATATATACTGTCTCAGCGGGCCTAGTCACTGCGAAGAGCAAGTACCCTAAATTTCTAGAATCAATATGCTGTTCACCTTCAGCTGAACACAGCTACAATTATGTGTGCAAATTCAACCTCACTTCCTAACTGTGTTTTCCTTCTCTCCATTGACATTGTTTGCATTATTTATACAATGTGCTTGTGTCTCGGTGTAAATGCGACTGAGAGTACTATATTGATCATATCTGTTTTGAGCAAAATACGCACCATTTCAAAAATCAGATTCACTGCCACTTTGAATACACTGTGACGCTGGCTGGGCTCAATACTCCCTGCTTTGAATCCAGCGCTGAGCTTGTTTTTTCAACATTTACCCCAACCACAGATTGTTTAACTTGAGAGAGCCTGAAGGGGCCAAGATGTTTTAAAAGGTTTATAGGTACACCAGCAATTTGCTAACTGCACTCATGTGTTTAAGGCACTTTGTATTTGCAATACAAAAGAAAGATGTATTGATCTCTTTTATCCATAGCATCAGAACAGCACTATAAAACAGAGAGGAGACACTTCCTGGCGAAGAATTAGGACAAATCAACATGGCCATAGTCTCTCACATAAGTGACAGGTGACAGAGAAGACAAACAAAGACGATAAATGTGCTGATATATACCTTAACACCCTCTCTCTCTCTCTCTCTCTCTCTCTCTCTCTCTCTCTCTCTATCTCTCTCTCTCTCTCTGTATGTCTCTAGTTCGCATATACACATACCACATAATATGAACAAAGGTAGACAGTGAATTTCTCTCTCATTTCCCCCCCCCCCTCTTTCTCTCTGTATGTCTCTAGTTCGCACACACACAACATGAACAAAGGTAGACAATAAATTTCTCTCTCATTCCTTCCTCTCCTCCCCTCCCCCTTCCTCTCATACACACACACACACACACACAATATGAACAAAGGTAGACAATAAATTTCTCTCTCCTTCTCCCTCTCCATCTCTCTCTCTCTCTCACACACACACACACACACATGCATGCAAACACACACACACACTACAGACCTCCCCCCAGTCATGCCCTCCCACCTCCTTTGACTTATCAAGAACTATCTACTTGCATCAGCAAACCCACTGACATTCACAAGGCGCCAAGGACACCTCCATTCTGGGAGTGCCATGGCAATATTTTCGAAACCACTGACAATCTATAATGGCACAATTACGAGGTGTTGTTTTCTAGAAACCAAGGACAACCTTCTGCAACATCAATAACCAGATTGCTGTTCAAATATTGCTTCCTTTGTTAACAGCTATCCAGTTACTTTGAATGTATGTGACAGAAGGTGTAACAAAGAGGCCTGGCTGCGTTTATAACAATTGCCAACATACCTTATCTTTTTTGATAATTGCAGAGGAATAAGGTACTAAAAATAATTCATGCTTCCAACATTGGGTTTATTGTTGTTTTCCATTGTTGAACAGTTGGTTTAAATGATTTCTTATCCTGAAAAATATACCAATCAATACTGCATTCTTTAAAAAAAAAAAGATGAATTTTCCCAAATCAATTGAGCAGTTGCCAATCTGTCTAAATACAGTGAGAGATGCTGTCAAACTGCCTTGCTGTTGCCATTTAAAGAATAAAGCATGTGAGCTATCTCCATATTGATCAAGCCTACAGGGGGAGTCAGGTCAGATAGGTTGTGTGATTCTGGATATAATGAAATGCATGAATAATCTGAAGAAATCATTCTACAAACTAAAATCAATTCTTTTGCAAAGACCAATTTTGGCATGCTCTACCCTGCTTGGTCTGCTATGAAAGGCATCCTGTCCATTTCTATATCTAGATATTTAATTTTCATATTCTACTCAGATTGCCTGAAGTGATATTCCAAAATCCATAAAATCACTCCACAATGGCTGTGTTCTAACCATTAAGTCTAACGGACCAGTCATCAATTATGAAAACAAAACAAATTTAATCTTAAGCTATCCCATCTTCTCAGTTAACAAAACACTATCGTGTCTATTATTCTAATCCTGTCTCCAACAGTATTTTTCCTCCCGTCTCCAGACCTTATACCTCTCTAACACACTCTCTCCTCCTCTGTCACAAACCTTTTTACAAGCTTATCTAATATGGCACCCGCCCCCTTTCCAATCTTTTTTTCTATCTCAAGCTTGCTGACATCTTATATTCCAAGTGGAACTAGTACCTACATTTTCACTGGACACAATTTCCATCTTGCTAGTAAGCTCCTTTCTGCCTATCCCCAGTGGTACCTTTTTACCTTCATTGAGCAGAGTATCCATTGCATTTTAAAACCCTTGAGTTTATAATATACTTCAATTTTTTATGATTATGAATATATTACTTATCTTGTATCACCACTTCAGTAGCATTGTTCTGTAATAATTAACCCCCCCCCCCTCCCAACACACACACAAACACACACCGTAAAGTCAAGGAAAAGAAAGGCCTTAGAATTCATATTCCAGTAATGTCACTACCTGCCTTCAATGGTCTTGTAATGCATGACAAACATTAAATTGCTGTCTCCTTGTCAAAAGTGAGTTCTCTTGTCTACCAACATTAAACCTAAAACCCTAGTACCCACAAAGTACCTTTTCCTGTAACCAGCCGAGATGTAAGTTTTCAATTAATCATTCCTAAGTTAACAAAGAACTGTGGGCCTAACAGCACATCTGTACTCAGTGTAAATGGATGACAGTTGCTTTAAAGCCACATAATGCAGTGTTAACTACAAGCATCACTCTCCCTAGATCAATGTTAGGACCATACATTAAGCAATAATGTTAATACTGGTAATTGAATTATGACCAAAAGCAATCATCAACTCTGTCACCCGAAAGATCATCATTTCTCCATGCCTGCCCAGGAACATTAGACAGTGAATGAAAAATATTGAATTGGAGCCTTACTAGGGAGATTGATCAACTTACCATCAAAATACCAATAAGTGTTGTTCACTGCAACCATCCCCACACTGCTTGCATGCTGGAACGAGAGAAAAGCAATCAAGAGTACTGTACACAATCACTGCTACCCTGTCTCTACGCTCCCCACTGTATAAATGTGTGTGTGAATGTGCTGCTTCCCTGTAATATGAGGAATAAGCATGCAGATGAGCTGGCAACATATTCCTGGGTATTGATCTACCCAGTAAATCATATCTTCTAATTTAATTTCACACGGATGTCACTTTTCATTTGACTGAATCAACAATTTTCACACTCTGCTTATTTGCAAACAGGAGTAAGCATCAGACTTGGGAAGACTGGAGCAAGGCTGAAGAATTTAAAGACAACATTTGTTTGCTCAGTGCAGCATTCGTGATGAAGTTAATTGCAGAGAGAAAATAAAGATAATTATTTGTGCAGAGAACAATTACCATCTAATAAACCTCCTGGCTTGATGTTATGCTGTCTCATATTGCGCAGAGTAGCGGCAGCTGTGACTTGGGAATGCTCACATGCCAGACACAATAACTATGTCACTTCAGGAAAATATTTCATAGACTTTTCCCACCTCACATTTAATTTGACACATAGAAAGGAGCACGCACTGCAATAATAGTCAAACGATGAACCTTCCCCAGAAATTGTATCAAATACATTGGAATCATCTAAAGCAACCATTTTCATCATTATGTATCAGATTGATATTCCTTGCTGACATTTAAGATGCCGGCACTTATTGAATCAAAATCAACTTTCTCATTCTGCTTTATTCCCCACTACTCATGAGCTTTTTACAACCAATGATTCAAACTTCCATGCACATCAACGGATACATACATTTGCATATCTTGTAGACAGGGGCAAGGCATTCTACCTTGCTTTATTAGGAGTCTTAAACAAGTCACAACCAGCCCTACTGATACAATATGACCCATTTCTTCTGCATGAGCCTATTTTCTTTGTCTATTCAATAATGTTTACGTCTTAATCTTGTTTTTTTTTTTATCTCTTCACTGATGCTTACTCCTTTTTTCTTCCTCTACCAAATCTAATGGAGAAAACTAAGGGCCAATAACAAAATCACTTTAAGGACTTGCTGCAAATATTTATGCAGAATAAAAGAAGGGGGAAATGCTTTTAAGAACATTTAGTGTGCTCATTTTTATATGTTACTCACTAATAGCATACAAAAGCCTTCTGTCCATTTCAAATTTTTATATATCAATAGTAGGAAACATAACACTAAGCTCTTATGCTGTCATTGTTTCTTTTCTTTTTTTTTTTTTTTTTTTTTTTGGTTATTTTGGTTATTATTTTAAATGTGAATTATAAAAATTATACATTCTTAGCAGTTTGATAGATGCTTAAATACAAAATGTGCTGATCCAAAAAGCCCCAGGCACCACTTAAATTTACCTTAGGATGAACTATAAATAAATCACATATATGTTTTAAATCTGTCCACAAGTCACTTTAGACTGTCATCTGTGCTACATACTGTTATGACAGATTTTTTCTTGAAGAGAAAGCCAATCTTCTCTTCACCTAACCCTATACAGTGTGATTTTAAATGTCCAAACTGAGCTCCAAAGACAAATATGCCTGCCATACTGCAGGCAGAACTCACACTAATCTTCACCCTGAATCATGCCATTAGGCCAGACTCCATATCAGATCCTAACTGCAAGATCAATCTTCACTCCTAGTAAGGCCAAAACAACAGCTTTTTTGTTGTCTCATTTTAAACTACAAGGAAAAAAATATGATTGAGGAATTTAAGGATGAAAGGAATTTTTATTCCAAGGAAAGGTAGGCTATTTAAGCTTGCAACATTGTTAATTATTTTAGACCCTAGGCCACCACAAATTTTGAAGCACAAGATTATGAACCCTAAACCGAGGGAAAAGACATAAAGAGCATTGTCTTATGAATTTTTAAAGATTAACATGCTAACTACCGTCCAAGCAGTAATGCTGATGAGACTCACTGAAAAAAGCCAGACAAAAATCGAAAGACCAACTGAGACTAACCATTTTTTGATCAAAAACATATTTCAATAAATTCATTATCTTTATTTATTTTTTCTTTTTTATGTAGAGTGCAAGTGTTAGGTAGGAAAATCCTCCAGCAAGAGTCTTTTTTCCTCTGCACAGGAATATACTTATTCACAGCTATAAAAGCGTGACCTTTTCTGCTTGGCCTTGTTGGAAAGCTTAAGTAATTAACACATCTATTGGAGTGACTTCGCAGTGCTGAAAATGTCAATGAGTCTCAAGCTGGTTTGTTCTGCTGGTCTCAGGGCACACTACTACATCAGATTAAAATTGATGGCAAGGTAGAAACAAGTGTTTTCAGGAACTGGTTCCAGGAAATGCGTGGCCTTTTTTTACAGCAGAACCAGATCACTTATCACTAAACAATTGCATCTTTGTTCACTGGAGTGTCAAGTGCTAGATAAGGTGAGGACCGAAAGAGATTATGCCCTAGATTGAACAACAAAAAACTGACAACCAGTCTTAAAATTGCCTGAGAAAATAAAGTGAATCTTAAATTAGGCATAACACCATTTCTTTAAGAAAAAACCAAAAAAAGAAAAAAAGAAGAAAGATAATTATATAGGTATATCAAAACAGAATAACAGGAAATTTGAACTCTGAATAAAAAGAGGGGGGTGAGGGAGAGGCAACGAACAGAAAATATAAATTGGTATAATTCATATCTATTCAGTGAATGCCTTGGAAGTTAAAACTGTTTTGATCATTTTTTTCTCTTTTGACCTTTATGGCTATGTTATATACATGTATATATAATAATATATGCTTGCCTGTTGTAGCATATGCACAAACTCTTTCCACATGATACACTTATGTGCCGTCACAGCTGACTCAAAGCTTGTGTTGCTCAAAAACACCAGAATTTGGGGAAAAAAAGCTCTGGCACACTTCTCATGTCAACAGTTCCATAACCATTGCCATGTGTTCAATACCAACATATAATATTTCTAAATCGTGACCCTCTGCCTGAGCATCTGCAGTCAACCAACTATGTTCTCACTAACTTGGCCGCAGCTCTTGGCTTGCACTCGGGCAGAGCCAATTTTCCTGTGCAAACTTTACTCACCATAGTGTCCGGATCATGGCTGTCATTTAGGATGTCCCCCAGCTCCTCCTGCCTTTCCTTGCAGACATGGTGTTTCAACAACAGAGAAGCTCGATCTGAAATATACAACAATGACAGCTGTCAATCAAATGTCACTGACACTTAATGCAGTCAGTTTTCTTGGCAGTTTATCAGCAGTGGTACCAAATTCAAACTTTCTGTAACCAATGTCGTATTATTGTTTAAGCTTTGATTCAGAGAAATGGTTTCTTTTAATTCTCTAGTTGCAGATATTCATCTTTTTAATACCAGTCAGAGTGTCCTTCGCCTGTCTTTCAGCCACCAGTTCAATACTCATACACTATTCAGCAAGAATTTTTATCAGTCCACTGTCTACTTTCAGTCAGTAGAATTCACATCTTGAAGCAAGACACCATGTCTTTCTGGCATTTTAGATGACTGTATCAAAAATGGATGCCATTTGAATCTTGTAGGTGTTTCTTAATCATAATCAGTATATGTAATTGTGCATACCTGAAAGCCAAAAAGTTATTCTCTCTGCCTGTGTGAAAAAACTCCTATCAAACCTACTTATCTGACCTGTTAAATCTAAATTATATCTTTTAGTAGGATATCTAGGCAATAACAAAGATTTTTTAACCACAGCTTTCCACATCGGTTATATCACATTTATATGACATATCTGCAACGATTACCGATTATCACATAACCAAATACTAGCTAGAGTGTCTGCGGATCTCAAAAAAAAAAAAAAACATTACTTCAATTTTCTTGTTATCAAACATATGCTACCCTGAGTGTCAGAGAAACGTAAAAGCTAGCTTGCTAAATATACCTCGTGGTGGAGTCGCTTTTACGACTGGTATTGTTGATATGGGTTATATATGAAATCAAGATCGAGCTGACAATACCGGAATCTAGAACCTAGGGTAACATATGCAGTCCTGTGACTTGATTTACTGATTCATAAAATGAAACCATCATTGCAGTTTTGTTCTATCCTCATCCTATTTTACATTTTATTTTTGGTCTGATGACTGAACAGCATTTTTATTGCAAGTTCTTCTCTTGTACTGTCTGTATTAAGGGTGAAAGGGTGGGGATGGGAGTTCAAATCCATTGCCATTAGAAAAAGAGTGGTGTGAACATTTTTTTCTGTAAAATCCTATAATTTGATATTGAGAGATAATAAGTTCCACCTATGTTCTACTGGATAAAAGCAATAATCTCTTCACTTAGACAGCCTCTGAAGAGAAATGTTGTTTTTCTCTGAAAAATGTCTGAGAAATTGTGAAATCATAAAGAGGGATTAAAAACAAACCCTCCCCATATCCAATTCTTTGAAATACTCACTGCCACAAAATCAAATGTCATTTCACGTCTTATTTTCTTGAAACACGGGGAAACTTTTCAAATTTCATGGCAATGGGGAAGGCTCTTGGTGCAAGCAAAACTTGAGATAAATGAGATTTCTAGAAATTTCCTAGAAAGGAAGTCCCTGGAGAGTTAGCATTGTCCAGTGCAAGTAATAACCAGTCCCTAATGATGACCAGATGGTCAGATCTATTATCAGTATTGATGAATATTGATGGTCACAACCCATCAGTAGATTTTTTGTCAACAAATTGAAAGCATCAACTGTGTCACAGAAAATATGGACCATAAATTGTTTGAATGTTTTGAATGGATCCTGGTAACAAAGGTGAAATAATTCAAACTGCACTGAAGGAAAAGGCTTTTAAGTTCAGCATCTTCCCATACTTCCCATCTTCCACTCACTGCTGTTTGAATTTATGAAAATCACTGTATAACACCTGATGTGTGTATTCTAAATCTTTTCCATTTTCTGACTATTAAAACCATTTGGAAAAAGGCACTTCCTCATCATTAAAAAAAACTAGTGCCAGTCATCAGACCAAACAAATTACTAGCTTCCACCACAGAAATAATTTTCTACTGCTGCTAATGTATTTTACGACAAATTTGGATAAAACATTCAAATGCAAAGTAAAACTTTTTTACTGCTTGAAATTATGGGAGCAGTTTTGCAACTGATTTCATCTTCTTAGCTTTCCTGAGCATCTGCACAATTATAGGGTTGAGTATTAAAACTAAACTACTTTTGTAGGTGACTTTCCAAGTTTCTAATGATCATCCACCTTGGCCTTAATTATAGAAACTCACCTTTTTTTGTGAAGAGTCCACCTGAGTTCAGAACCTTTAAGTACTTGCACACTTGCACCTTCTGGGGTAACAACTGTTTTAAATGGGTCTTCTAGTAGCTTACTCTGAAACAAAAAAGAACTTATTTAATTCTGCTGACAAGTCAACCACGTAGGTGCCTGCAATGGTAGAAAAAATTGGAATATTACATGAATAGACGGTGTTACTACCTGTCAATAAACAAGAATAAAAAATCCAGTTAACAACTTTCAAAAACATATACCTGCATGAGCTGCTCATCAGAGAGAAACATGAATGAAACCACTACCACAAGTTTTGCTACATACGACACTTCATCTGTAGGTTGTTTGTCAAAGTTATGACTAAGCTAGATCAGGTTCTGAGATCAGCCTAAATATTACGACACTCCTAATAGATTTTTACCACCAAAACCTTGTGCCCAGGTGCCACATAAGAAAGTTAATATGAAAATGAAGCAACAGAATTACTACTTTTTCACTGAACTTGATATATATATATCTTTGCAGGGGGCATTTATAACAGAGGATACCTGAATCAGCACCAGACAGACACAAAACTTTTGTCAACAAGAAACCCTGTTTTTGTTGCTCAAGTGTTTGCTCTAATCATGCCAACTGTGACATCTGGCAAGATGTCACATTGCACAGGCGGTAGCTACATATCCACAAAGTTTGAGATGCCACACACACCGTTCCAATCTGCTCTCATCACATCTACATGCACTTCTACATTCCACTTACACCACATTCCACCATTTTATTTCTGTTTTGCAAGTGCCATTTTTTCCTGCAGCAACAAGAGCCATGTTGAATATTCAAATAGGAATTTGACAAAATATCATTGACATCAATGACAAACTATGTGCCGCCTATTTGCTGCTCTGGTCATTTTGTTCCACACACAATAAAATTAAGCAAAATGCTGATAAATTTATTTCTTCCCCCACTGTGACAACCAGTTTGTCATCAGTCACCTTGGATCTTATTAGCATGTCTCAGACAGTCTAATAGCTTATCTTTATTGTGTCCAACCTAGATTTTTTGATCTTCTCTGAAGCAATGGATACAGTCACACAATGCCACAAACAAAAAAATGTAGAACAGACAATAAACTTGAAAAAGTAAACAACTGTATTATAAACAAAGGGTCATCTATGTGCTAACACTGCACAAAAACTATAAGTACAACTTCTTGGTGTAATGAAATAATATTGTTTTTCCTGTAATGCTTCTTAATATGTCTCTTCTTAATATGTCTATCATTTGAGAAGTGGAGCAGGGGGGGTAAAAGCTCTGTTAGCAATATACATGACAATCTTCAAAGTTCTTTGCACCCGTGTGACATGTACAAGCCAAGGTATTCATTTTTTACTTTCAGTTCTCCCACTGGGCAGGTTAACTACAGTCCTGACAACATTGTGTACCTACCTAATACTTGACGATCCTAGCTTCCTGTACTCTTCTCCTGACAAGAAAGAAGTGAAAAAAATCCATTTTCATCTCTAAACTAGATTTAAGGCAATGAGACCCTAAAATCTTCAGCGTTCTAGTGAAGTGTGACACACTGCATGGCTTCACTGCACTAAACTTATAGTAGCTAGGGACCCCTCTCTCTCTTTCCTGGCCTACACATGACCTCTCCTGTGCTATCAAAAACACCAGTATAAATAAACAAATGAACTTGAATCTGACCTCTAGGAATGGGATGTATTTCTATTTTATTAAAAACCATGCATTAGTGCCTGTAAGGGCTTATTCACATTTACTGAACTGAGAGGCAAAAATTTATAATTCATGGAGGTTATAAATGGATTTTTATCACTTTGTGACATTGCTGCAGCATGCAAGTTTGGATGAATCTCAGCTTCTGTTACTGCAGTACTTTAAGTCGCAGCAAAGTAAAGTAAATTACAATGAAACCTTGCAACAAAATAATACCAATAATGTGTCCTTTCATATGTTTTTCTTCTACAAAACAACCAATGTTGACAATTGATTTTTTTTTCTTAACGGATTTTTTCGTTATCACAGACTGATCTCTTGAATTCAACAACAAACAGTTACAGAACAAGTGTTTGCAGAATAACACACCTGATAACATCTGCCTTACGTGCTTTGCTCACAAAATGCTTTCAAACAGAATCCTATTTACTCCACTAAAGCTTAGTGCCTTTAAGACTTCAGATACCAATGATTGGAGCTTATTTAACCAAAAATGCCTGGTATAATACTACTGTTATTGGCTGTTACCCTACATACGGGTACATAGTGAAATTCAAACAAAGCAATTATTTACTTGATGATGAATGGATAAAATGTGAAATGGTATCTATTTCTATTCTATTACTGTAACAATAATAAATGTTCCAACCCATTTAGAATGTAAGAGAGGCTGCCGTGAGTATTAATTATTACAAAAACTTAAAATCAAATTTGTAAACATATTAAGTACTTGCTTCCAATATGCTCTGAGTAGGTACCTAGAAATGCTCTGCAAAAATGATCAGCCTATGCCACATTGGAATCTTTGGACTGCAAAATTTCAAAACTTAAATAAAATATTAATTTCCCTTCCCCCAAAAAAGAATTAAACTATATACACTGAGGTCCAAAATTATCTATATTCAGTTTTTGGTATTTTGAAAATTCTCCATTTTGACATGCAATGACTTAAAGCACGTATGATTTGAAAACAAATTGTGAAAAATAATGCAAAAGTAAGGTTCATGGAAGAACTAGCATCATAACAACAGATTTTTAAGTGGCTTCTCAAAATGGCTGTATTTATCTAAACCCTTTGTGTACCTCTGTGTGTAAAGACTCCTCCAAGGTGACATATACTTACTTCAAATCAATAGTTAAAGCAGACACTTGTTTTTCAATTAGCAAAGATTGATGGGACTCTTCCCCCTTTCCTTGTACCAACATTAAGGAAACAAGACTTTTGCAACCATTCAGGAAGTCAATCAGCATCCCAAACTGTCAGATAAAATCAAATGTCGTGTTGGGAAAAACTGGAGGTTGGATAATCCTCCCAACCACAATAAAACACAATATATAAACTCCTTACCACAGTGTCACAGAGTGCAGTGCTGCCACCAGAACCTGCTGATGGCACCCTAACATGTCAACTTTCAATTTTTAAGCCCCTTTTTTTAGTCTGTTCCATTTTCAAGACAGGTAGATAACTGATAATTGAAGGGCAAGCTGCTTGGAAAAGAATATGGATATCTCCATACCTTTTTATTCTCTGATATTCCTTAATTTTTAGGTATAAATGAACCCTTAAGTCAAACATTCCCTATGTAGCATTTCATCTATAAGTTATCTTTTCTAAAATCTTTTTTTTTTAATCCAACTTAGCTTCAATTTGGTAATTACTCAAAAATTTCAAACATAAATAATTTCCCCACTTAAAATGTTTCGTTAATTAATAATAAAGTTAAAAAATAAATCATCTTATTAAAAAGTTTTTAAAAGTTTGTTTGCTTTGTGTCAAGAAAGTAAATTATTGTAACTTACACATCTTGAAAACTTCAAATATTAGAAAAAGTGTGACATTTGATAGTTCTACAAAATTACTATATATATATTAATCTATCTAGGAACCATAAGGCCACAAAAAGAAGCAGCAAAGATTTGGCAAATAGACTAAGACAAGGAAACGAGGAATTCTAAACACATACACAATACCCACTGTGATATCAGGTTATATCATAGTCAACATACAGGTGATAATAACTGAACCCTGTATGAAAACTTTTGATGGCCCTTCAGGAGGTATTACTATGACAGTAATGCTTACACATGGTGTGACTCTTAGGTCATTACTTTTACAGTACTGATCAATTGAAAATAAAAAGCCTAATACAATATACTTTACAATTAATTCAGATTTATCAATTAATCACTGCTTAATTGAATTTAAGACATTGGGCTCAGTAAAACATAAACTAATGTCATCTTAGGATTACAAAGAGTTGACAAGCTTGTACATGTATAATCAACAGTGATGACAATAAGTGAATATTGCCACTGCTAATCAGGAACACTATCAACATCTTTCTCCTACCATATCATTATGAATAATAACAGGAACTAACTCTCAAATGATTGCTAAATATAATCAAGAATTACAAACAGCCATAATAATAATAATCACACCCTGAACCGTACCTCCTGTTTTTGTTGACAAGTGGAGAAATAATTTCATCATTCTCAACCAACGCAAATTGTGTCAAGGGTCTACTGTGACAAAGGAAACCCCACACAAACCCATCCCCTTGTTTTGAATCGAATGCTGGAACTGCAAAACCACCGCGCAAACATGTTGCAAAAGTTCACGTCCTGTTTATACCTAGCTTTCAGAAGCTCAACAAGTGGTGTGTGCTACTGGTGCCCATTGTTGAAGCTTCCTACACAGTGAAGTACATCCTTACCTGTCTGTCATTGCAGTCAACTCTCCTTATCAGAAGTCCTCTACAATATGCCAGGCAAGATCATCCCTCTAACAGGCCATGGTAGCTATTGTCTCTTGTTTGCCTTTGCTCCACTGCATCCCGCGCTCCATTCAACCTGTTTCTATGTCTTGTGTACTTTCAATTTAATCGACAAACATGTTTCTACACAGCCTCTGAATACAGTGAAAGAAACTTTTCAAACTGGTTCATTCCCGCAGCCAAGTCGCAACAGAAATAACTTTGAAGGAAAATAGCCTCACTTTAAACAAATGCTCTATTACTGCCAAATAAAGCCAGCTTAAGTATTGAACATATTGAGTCATCAGCCGAGTTTTCAGTAAGGATTTGATAGTATTAATCAATAAGACACAATGTTTTGTGTTTCAATAAAATCAAAGCATTTAGTGCTACCAAAATTGACCCTTAAGGAATGAGACACAAAAGGTAATTCAATACACACCAGACAGTAGTATCTTACTTAAACAGTTATTCTCAATATCCTCTTAACTGATGCTAATCGTCTCCTTTTTCTCATTCTATCCCTAGTAGCACCTATTCACCTGTCTAAGGCTCTATAGCTTATTACTGCAGCGTGGAATTTATAATCACCTGATCTAAGGGAGTATAACAACAGGTTTATTGACTTTGTTCATTTTCAAACAGGTGTAAATCAGGTGTGTTTCCAAACTAGGTCAGCACCTAGATCACTGCCCAGAACACACCAACCAACTCATAGGTATCTATATCTCCCTGTCTAGACCTAAAACAAGGGACATGAAAAAGCAGCATGTTAAAGATATTCTGTTTCAGTTACAAAAATTCTGAATAACTTTTTTCCTTCTATTTGCTATATTCTCTCTCCCTCTCTCTTCATTTATCATAAAAACTTCTTTCCATTTATCAAAAAACAACATTTGATTAACTTATAATCAACACCTCTCCATTTGAGCTAAAAATATACACCCAGTATAAAGTGTTTTGACTGAATCATCTGTCATTAAAAAATGACTTGCAGCTGTCTAAACTGATGAAAAAAAAACACCATATTGTCCTCAACTATACACAAATGTTGAACATCACAGTCACCCTTTGACTTACTAATATAAATGTCCTTCACAAAGACACCTCACTGATTTGCAAGCTAGAGAATTTTTGTCGCAACTTTAATTTCCCACATACACCATCAAGACGCAAATAGCTGCCTGGCGTAAAATGGAGTCCATCATATACATATATACCAAATTCATAAAACACCCACTGATGAACATGTATCAGCTTTTAGCCCGTGCTTAGAAATTATGCAAATGTACATTACCTCAGGACACCAAAGGCATCATCTGTTGAAAGGAAAACACTTCATAAAATTCGCATTAAGTTTTACAAAAAGTGTAATGCACATTTTCAAAAACTAGCACAACAATACAAGCTTCAAATCACATATTTAGCTTACCTTCTATTATAAAAAAAACAGACCATGAAATTACCAAGCCATTTTTTTAACTGAAGCAGGTGGATTAGGAAGAATCCATACATGTTTAACAACATGCACTGTCAAAATATGGTATAAAAAAAATACCTTGTGGACACCAAAAAAATATACAGAAACTGATAACAGATATACTGCCGACATCCAGGTTAACTGACACAACTCGGAGAGACTGCAAGTGTCTTCACAGTGTCAATAAAACACAGGTAACCAATGCCATGACCCAGTTCACATGTAAGTCATTTGGAAAATCTGGACCATCCAAAAACAAGCTGTATGGGCCACTGTTGAACTGGAGCAACCAATCTTATCTGAGGGCTGGACTGAAGAAGATTAATGTGGCTAATAATACACTTAAACAAGATACCACTTTACACAAACCAGAATTTTTCAGTGGCAAGTGCCTGTCGTATCTGTCAAATGGTCACAACAAATGCAGGTAGACTTATCTTCTAGTATGATGGTACTATTACAGCACAAAACCTACTAAGATATGCTTGCAAAATAGCTCATTTGGAACCAAAAAAGTGCAAATCTTCTTGGAAATTTGATGAGCTTACTTCATCAGTTGACAAACTGTGTTTTAAACTAAATACTGGTATATTTTGTCATAATAAAAATTGCATGAAAATGCTTAATTGACTGTCATATTGATCTTGTAGCACTAATATTCTGAGAAAGTTTAAAATGCAGTTGATACAACACAGTGCAGGTTCTTCCTCACATAAAAGACCTCTTTGTATCAAAACTTTTTATAAGACAGGACAATGCTTTCAGTTTTTTTTTTTCATCAATGTCCTTACTACACACCTCTCCCGCAATATCCATTAGGGCCAGATAACAGATATAACCACAGCAAAATACCACATAATTAACCTGGTCAACTTTGTACCCAGTTGACTGTAATTTCAAAAACCATTTTCTTTACTCAAAATAGCGTATTCAAAAACATTACCTCTACTACACATTGTACCTCATAACCAAAAATTTATTGTATATGCTCAATACAATAAGTGTTAGAATACTAAATCCAAAGAAAATGGTTTTAAAATTTCATAGAGTGTCAAGACAATTCTGAAAAATAGTAGAATTTGCCAAATTGTACCAATCATTCACAGATCCATGGGTTTTCTACATCAATGAAGGTGGATCATATAAAGCGATCAAATACTAAACTTATCATCAACACCACCATCCCTGATAATTTAGATTCAAAGAACAAGCAGATCATTACACGTAGGTGTTTGGGTCAATAGAAATCAATATTGTACAGTTATTGGTGACTGTGGTCAAATGTATGTTGACACCCACATCTTTCTATCATAAAAGGTTGTTTTTCATTCCTCTTCCTGACAAAACTGATCACTGCAGCGCTGAAAATATTATTGCTCAACTTTGGGTTGCACAATCTAATCAATACAAAAACGTATGTTCTTTGTACCTTCAATAATGACTGAGTCAATAAAAATGATGCATTATTCTGATCTGCAGAATTAAAGACAAAAATCTAAGTTTTCAATTATAGTACAAGTTCCACTATTTTTTTATTTGGTTGTCATTATTAAGCTAGTGTAATTAAGTGGCTGCATCAAAGATTTCAGCAATTTTTTCAATTAAGTCTGACCACAGTTCCACCACCCCCAAAAAGTTACCAAAATACCAAACCTTTACACTCTGACCAAAGGGTCCCCATATAGTACACTACAAAATTATTGTATCAAACCCTGTGGGATTTCACGTTATCAACGGTAACGCATTCCTTGCCAGACATACCCTTTGAAATTTGAAATAGTCGGTGGGAGCAATATCACACCTAGATGCAAAGTAGCACACACCCCGATGTAAGTGTAACATAATGCAAGTCAAGTATCGTCTCAGACTTTTTCCAGATGCGTAACTGAGGCCTACCCAACTACCAGGCTCGGCACTGAATGATCAAAAATTCACCCATATATTGGACCACACTACCCGTTTTCAAGGTGTGCATCAGTACGCATTTCACAGTATCATACCCCAGAACAAATTTTGAGATGAGATGCACTACTTTCCAATCCAGCTGAAAATCATCATTATCACATTGCATACCAGGCAAGAGCAGTGTCACGTCTGATACTTCAAAGTGCGTACTGATACACACCTTGAAAATGGGTATTGTGGTCCGATCTACCGGTGAATTCAGGATCATTCAGTGCCGAGTCTGGTAGTTGGGTAGGCCTGTAGCTGAGTGACTACACACAACCCCACAATACTGTCCACCTCTGTTGCTGAGGCACCCTTAAAGGGGTGGAAAGGGGTGGGATAGTTGCATAAGACCAGACAAGCTGATTGGGTGTTATCCCACAGGGTCCAATACCTTTAATTTTATATACTATTTTGGAGGCCCTGATATCACAGTGTATCAAACCTTCATATATGCAGAGCATCAGAAGAAGAGGAAGAAGATAAAATCTACAACCTACAAATCTGCTTGGCTGTACCACAAGCAAAATATACCTTATCTGACGGATAAGCAGGCCATTCAATTATTTGAAATGTATTGCTGTGCATGTCAGAATTTAATAATGACAAAGAAATGGAAGGAGTACTTGATGAATAATCAACATTTTATCTGTTTCACCATCTATGATAAAAGCATTTGATTTTTTTTACTTACCTTGTTATTTAATGAAGCAAATTAAGTTCTTCTTGATAAAAAGTGATAAACTGCATCAAATATGACAACTCCCAAGTACTTCTAATGGTCTCATAAGGTTGTCTTGCTGAAACAAATAAAAAACATAGTTTCACATATGAAACATATTATATCCCTATGAATGACGATACAAATGTATGTAGACATTTCTTTTACATAAATATAATTGCATCTCACCCCTATCAGTGAAAGCGTAAATTGGGATATTGTTAATTGCAAATATATAAGATGCTGTTGACTGAAACACAAACATGAAGCTTTGTTTTTCACATGCTGTTAAATTGAATCTTCAGTCATGCTATACTCAAAATTTAACTGACAGTTGCTATTCTCATTGTCTCTATTATACCTCTGTTGGTGCTGTATCAAGTACTGACACATTTTATTCCTGGATGTCAAATTTTTTACCTAACTACTTTCTGTAATAAATAACAACAGCCATACTAAATTATATTTGACTGGACTAACATGTCTTATGTTACTTTCTAGATTGAAGTATGTTATGAAGATTTTCTAGACATGGTTATGAAACATCCACTAACAGTATATCAATAAGTTAGTGTAATTTCACCTGGCAATATAGCTAGAAGGTGTATTTGCCTGCCTTACAAATGATCCATGAAAATTCTTTCTCCACGGGAGCCAATAGCTATACATTATTTGTTGCTCACCCAGTACCTATATCATCAGGCATAGCTTAGCCTAATATATCTCCCCACCAAGGAGTTCTACACTACCATCATCATCAGTGCCTCAGCGTACCTTGTCATTTTATCTATCGCCTTATCTACGCCACCCTATTTGCACACCAGGGGAAATAAAAGGCTTTACTGCTACAACCAAAGCAGTGAAAGGCAGCCCTGCAGATGTGTATTGTCATTAAAACTGGGTCTTTGCACAAATTTGCAGGTTCAATTATTTCCTACTATGAGTGGACACAAAACCCCCATTGACTGTGCGCCACTGAAAAAATTTTAGGAATGATAGCGGAGAGGCAATCAATTGTGTTCTAATCCCAGTCTGAATAAAGGGCACCTACACACATATTTGCTGCACTTAACATATAAATCTACCTGTTGTGTTTGGATTGTGTGCTGATTAATCTGTGCTTCTCTTTCATGCCCTTACAGGAGAGTGGCTGGAACAACAAACTTACCTCCTGACCCGGATTCACAAGATCTCAATTTTATATATCACCTTTCAAACTCTGAAAGGTCTCTGAACTCGACTCATACGTCTTCTCACCCCTGTCATGTTATAAATCTAAGGATAATAAGAAGTATTTGTCACAGATTTTATCTAAATTTACATAATTACAAAAAATTATTAACCAGCTGTCACCTCGACTAAATCAATCTTTTCAGTACTATGTCACTTGTTTCATAAGGCTTGGCCGTCAGTGAATCAAATGCATTGTCCTAGTGAAGTAAGTCATCACCGCTATGGCCATTAGTGTTTACATGGTGAAACAATTTATCATCCCACCCAAATTGTAAATAAATGTCTCATTTCCCTACCAAGATGGATACACTAGCTTTGGTATGTCTCATTTTTTCTACCTGTATTAATATACCTATCTTTACCAAAGAACCCCCCCCCCCAATACTATCCCAACAGTACTCAACACCTTTACTAAATACCAAGTTATCTGGGAAAGATATTCCTTACTTCAATTCTCCTAATTAATGGAGAGAGACCCCCCCCCCCCAAGAAAAAAAGATAAAAGCAGTACCTTGCCATACCAAAATATGCTGTCCCTTCAAGCTGTCCCTAGCTCCCAATGATGATGTGAGAAAAATAAATACCTTTTTTTTCTGCATGTGATTCATTCACACAAACTAACCAAACAAGTGACAGTCCATTTATAACAC